TAAAATGAAAGTTGGGAAAGCGGCAGGACCAGATAACATTCCGGTCTCCGCCATAAAAGAATTCACGCCGATAATAGAACCCATATTGACAAAGATAGCGAACAGCTCCTTGCACCTTGGACATTACCCAAAATGTTTCAAAGAAGCGACATGCATTGTGATTCCAAAGCCAAATAAGAAGTCATACCGAGAAGCGAGTAGTTATCGTCCGATCTCACTACTCAACCATCTTTCGAAGCTGATTGAAACTGTCATGACAAAGAGACTACAATATAAATTAGATACCAGAAAGTTAATCCCGAGTACGCACTTTGGGTGTAGGAAGGGCTCCGGTACAGACGATGCTTTACTATATGTCACTGAATTCATTCAAAATGCTTGGAAGCAAAAGAAGGTAGTAATGGCGCTCGCCCTAGACGCACAAGGAGCTTTCAACAACGTCATACATGAGAAGCTCCTTGAGGAATGCAGGAAGGTCGGACTACCGAAGTACCTCACGAGATGGATAGGATGCTTTTTGAAGGAAGGAAAATACGCTTCAAATTCTCCAATTATACTTCCTCGACTTTCGCACTTAGCAAAGGCTCCCCACAAGGGTCCCCAATAAGCGGACCATTGTCTTTGATATATAATACCGCGTTACTGAGAGCCAGCCGAGAGGTTATCAAAATGGGTTATGCAGACGATGTACTATGGATGGCAGCAGCTAGTACACCGAAGGAAGCTAGATCCTTATTGGAAAGCCAAATACACGAAATGTACACCACACCAAATTTTATCACACTATCTAAAAAGAGTGAACGTAATGCTGAAAAACTCAAATAGAAAATACGCATATAAGCAAGGCATTAATCTGGAAATTCTACATGAAACATCAGAGAACAACGCCATCAAATTAATAATTTGAAATGATCAACGCGCAGAAGAGAACCCATTTATCTCATAGTACTATAAGAAGTATTGATGGACGCAGTTGACCTTTGTATCGTCTTAACAATATATTTAGATTTCATCCATCAGCCGCTAATGAGATGGAGAAAGTCATTCCTGATTTTATGACACCGTAGCTCTGACGAAGAAGATACTAAAACTCTATCAATCGTTCCAAATAGTTTAGAAGAGAACACTCCATGTAAACACTGGTCTTCTTGGGGCACTTTCTGCATAATATTCAACACTGAAGCAGGTCTTGATTGAAAATTAAGCAACCTAAAACACGCAAATAGAGGTTACAACGCGCTGTTTTAAACCTAAGAAAGCGTTGCAAGATGTATCGATGTTGTTCAATACATGTCTAATTTAATAAATTATTAAGAGCCTTAATTAGAAAGGTCTTAGCCTATGTATCTTAAAAATCAAAAACTTTTTATTCGATCTTTTGCCAAACTTCAACTTTGACCGTCTCTTGATATAGTTAAATCACCTTAATAATGCAGATTTCAATAGTGTTACTCCTTTCCTTTCTAATATTCCTGGCTACTACTAAAAATCATAAAGTTTTTATAGTTAAAAGCAATGCATTTAAGTCTAATATACTTCAAGCTTCTTGGAATATCCGATTTTCTAACCAAAGAATTATCATTCCCATTGTCAGCTGGCCTTACAGATTTAAAGATGTAGTCAGTTCAGAAGGGAGTCCACAATCATCCAAGCAGTCAAAGCGATAAAGGGTTATCTGTATGTGAGCTAACGCGCTCTACTGGTACTCTTCCTGCATTCTTGAGAACCAGAATGACACCTCCAGCCTTGTATAGGAGTGGTCTCTCTTGTTAGCTCAGACACAGGTAGTCCATAATATGTCTAATCCAGTTGAAGGCTAGGTTTGAAAGAAGTGGCTTTTATGACTACGAATATAACGAGCCGACAAGACATGCTGTCGGTGAATCTGATTTGATGGAAGACACTAACTCATTGTACCAATTAATGGAAATGAACACTGGAGCAGCCTATATAACGATACAGAGTATAGTTATTAAATCTTCTCTATTGTTCATGCATCCAGGAATATCCCTTTTTCGTGTCATTCAGTAAATTCCAGTATGATGTTTATGATTTTTAGACTCCATTGTTCTAGCACTCACGGTAACGAAACGTCAGATGACTTAGAAGTACGTCCGAATTCTCGGTACGTCAGACGGATATGAGTCAGCATAATTGAATTGTAACGAATTCTATGATATATTCTTCTCATTTGTGGTGGAAATAGCGTTTAAACGTGAAACATACGGTATTTGTTGGAAGCAAACAATCGAGGTTCTGAGGAAGCTTGTAAGGCAGCTACTACTAGTGATGGCAATTAGGATGATTGTACAAATTGGACACCATTCTATCAGAAATATCCTATAAGTTTGTAGCCTGAAAATTAGCTATAGGTAAGAGCGTAGAAATAGGTGGTCAAAGAGGAATAAGAGAATTTGAAAAAGTATAAGAGGAAAATCTCGTACTCCTAAGGGCAGCACAGCTTATGACATATTATACTTGAAGTCAGACCAATTTATAAGCCAACATGTTCGCGGTTTCTATTTTTATGATGATGGTGAAATCTAAATACATCGTTAAAACGACACAAATTTTACCTGCGTCCATCAGTACTTTTTTAAAAACGATGAGGATCTGAATGGACTGCCAAATTGATTAAAAGCGTTTCCTGAGTAGTATCGTAAAACGTGATGATGATTTACGTTGTGTCTATCTCCATTATGATGACGATGATGATGATGAAATCTGAATATATTGTTAAGACGATACAAAGTTAAACTGCGTCCATCAATACTTCTTAAAGCATGAGGATTTGGATGGTATGTTGAATTGGTGGGAAGCGTTTCTTGACTAGTGTCGTAAAATGTATTGATGATTTGCGTGTCCGGGAGTTTTCTCGGTTACGCGGAACCACCGGAGTATCTTGGGTACGTAGTCAATTGTGGTTTGAAAAACTCGTAAAGGGCTTGAGGAGCTTGTGCGTTCCTGAGCATTGGACCTAATTCGAACCGAATGTTGATCTTGGTTATCTTTCTTCGCAAGGTAATTCTTGCCATTATGTATCTTCTACATATAAATACTCTGTGCGAGATGCTATCATCTACGCCGCACGTCCTGCATTTAGGTGAGTCGATTAGTTTTACACATTAGCGGCGAAATTTTGCAAATTTTTGTACCTAAATTATGGCAAGTATCTTAAAGATGTAGAACTTCGAAATCTTCAACGGTCGCTTAACTCAGTTGGTTAGAGTGTGGAGCTAATAATGCGATATATCGCGGATATACTCCAAAGTCGCAGGTTCGAGCCCTGCAGTGACCATTTCTTTTGACTTTTTGGGCAAATGATGGTTTGCAATTTCTGTTTTTTTTTATCGTATCTCGATACTATTCTTGGAATGGTACTTGTTGTCTGTACGTAAATTAAACTCCTTTGATTTTTGTGTCGATATTAGTATCATGAGTAAATGTCACCAACTCGTAGATATCTGAGATCTTCTCATTAGTGTACTATATCACATTCTTAGAATAGACGAAATCGCGATTTCCGCACTTTCAGACATGATTTTCATGTTATTTTACTTAATGTTTAGCCACTTACGATCTGAAGAGGATGCTATTCACAGACAGATTGAAAGTTATATAATACAACATGTAATGGCAGGCTTGAATTAATCGAGTTTGAAATTCGACAAGTCGGTATGGAAAAGAAACCATGCAAAATTTTCAATCAGACTTGAATACTGAATACCATCAAGAGATACTTCAATACGTTTGGTTTCGACCATAATGTTTGACATACTTTGGGTCTCATATGTAATTCAATCCTAGATTCAAGGATCGCTTCAATAAAGATGTCTTCAATTTGATTAAGTCTATTTTTAGGATGGCTGAGCGTTGGTTTTGAGAAGTGAATTGTGCTATAAGTATACTTCCAACCATTGAAGACCTTGAATTTTGTTACGCATTATTTGCTGTAATGCATGAATACCTATACTCACGTTCGTCGCTACGATGTTGAACATAGGGATAAAGTGGATTTGATAGTAAGAACTAGTGACACTTACTGACACCGCGCAACAATAATGGTTATACCTCATAGATACGATATACGAATACATTCGTAAATACTATGTTAAGGACGCAGGCGAACGAGACACGAACACGAAACAGCCAGTCTAACATCATAGTCAGACTCACACATGCAAAAATTACAAGGTCGTAATATTTATTAAAGCAAAGTACCTAACAACTATAGTTTATCCTATATTCTTTCATTCGTAATTTATTCAAGACGCTTCTTAAGTTCGCCACGGAGGGTAATAGCATCCTCACCGAATTTACGGATACCTTCGTGGAGCTTGTCGAATGCCATTTGTTCTTCGAAGAGTGCCCATCTGAACTTAGCCTCGTCGTTGATGAATGATGTCTTTTCGATCTTCTCAGATGCTTGAGCGGTTTGTGGGTCAAGCTTTCTTTCGATCTTGTCAGTTGAGTTCTTGAGTTGCTCAAGGAGAGCTGGAGCGACTGTCAAGAAGTCACATCCAGCAAGGTTCTTGATTTCGTCGGTGGTTCTAAATGATGCACCCATAACGATGGTGTTGTAGCCGTGTTGCTTGTAGTAGTTGTAGATCTTTTGGACGGAGACAACACCTGGGTCCTTCTCACCGTCGTATGAGCCTTCTGGCTTGTTCTTCTTGTACCAGTCGAGGATACGGCCGACGAATGGTGAAATGAGGGTGACACCAGCTTCAGCACAGGCGACAGCTTGACCGAAACCGAAGAGGAGGGTCAAGTTACAGTGGATACCTTCAGCTTCCAAGTCCTTGGCTGCTTGGATACCTTCCCAGGTGGAGGCGATCTTGATGAGGACACGGTCCTTGTGAACACCGTTCTCCTTGTAGAGTTGGATGATTTCACGTGCCTTTTCCTTGGTGGCTTCCTTGTTGAATGAGAGGGAAGCGTCAACTTCGGTGGAGACACGGCCTGGGATGATGTCAAGGATCTTTCTACCGAATTCAACGAGGAGACGGTCGAGTGCGTGTTCAACCTTCAAGTTGAGGTCACTAGAGCGTTTTAGTAAGGTGTATGACTAATAATTGATAAACACACCCTTGTTGAGACTTAGCGTAGTCGATGGCAACATCGATTAACTTGGCGTAGTTTGGTTGCTTGGTAGCAGCCAAGATAAGGGATGGGTTAGTGGTAGCATCTTGTGGCTTGTATGCGTCAATTGCTATATGCGTTTGAGTTTGATATACCAAAAAGAATGGAGTACTAACATTCGAAGTCACCGGAGTCAGATACGACGACGGTGCCAGTTTGCTTTAAGAGATCTAATGAGTTTGACATTTTTAGTTGTTCGTTGTTAAAGAAGAACGGTTTGGAACCTGCTCCGAAATAAAACGTAAGCGGAGTGAAAATTGACATCATAATCTATGAGTAAAAAATAAATATTATATTTATATTACATTCAATAAAGCTATTAAAATTCATTGCCACCTTTTTGGGCTTTTATGCGGATTTTTCAGAGTGTGACGTGTATGATCTACTAGTTGATCTCAAACGTTTGTTGATCTTAGGAGTGTTATTATGACATAAATAAACTCTAGCATATAATCTTTTCGTGAAATCTATCATTTTTATCACTCCGGTGGCTACGACCGTATTTGCGACCCAGTACGGAGGGAAGTATTTTAGGGGAAATATAAAGATATAAGCCAACGATAATAATGCACCGATTGCACAACTACAATACAGTATCTTCTCACGAGACAACCATCATGGGTGACGAAAAAAGAATGAGATTTGACAACTTCCAGGATCAGATGAAGCACTTAAACGTAACTATAGAAAAGGATAATGACTATAAGCAATCACTTAGAGACACAGTAAGCTTAATGGACGAGCATCTGCAGAATGCCATGGCGAATGCTCAAAGGATACACACAACTAAACAAGAAGACATCAAAATAAATGTGATTGAACCAACGACCAGCTGCTTAAAACAATTCCGTGAATTCTATTTATCAGAGTTCGCAAACAAAATGTCTGATATCGAGTACTTAAAATATCAACACCTCTGGAGTAGATCTATACAGACGTACATGTTCATCCAGTTGTTACTAAACTACCTGCAAGATGAAGATTTGCTCACTCACAAGGAATTCAATGAATTCACAAAATACGACGACCATTTATATGACTATTTGTTCGCTTTGATATCTTTAGTCAATGAGTTGACGCGTTTAACTGTCAATACAGTTATCATGAATGAGTTTGACAGACCGAAGCGTATATCTGCATTCTTGAAGGATGTTTATCAGGGATTATCGTTGCTAAACTTCAAGAACGATGCCTTAAGGAGAAAGTTTGACTCACTCAAGTATGATCTTAACAAGGTGGGGGTTGAAGTATCTTACAGCATATCTTACTGACGATAATATAAGGTTGAGGGTGTCATATACGATCTAACATTAAGGAACCTCAACTGAATGACAAGTTATATAGCGATTATAATATTTATTTATTTAATTATAAAAATAAATCTACCCTAGCTGCGTGTCTGTTCCTCTGCTTCTTCACTAGAAATGGTCAGGTTGAAGGATCACCCAAAATTTATAACGATAGCTTTATTGAGTAGTTTGTCCCTGGTATTGGAATATTTCTACTTTGGTTTTCCCTCCAGTTTACTCCTCTACTTGACCCTCCTATTGATCACAACACCGCTGTATATTTTATTGCAATGCCTAACATTCAATAAAGTAAAGCAATCAAGATCAAAACTGGTCACTCTAGCTCTTGTTACATTATCATTCATTTATTTGATATCTAGACCAACTTATCCAGTAACTGGCCCCGGATCGCAACTAAATAGACAAGATCCAATCAGTAACAACACAGATACGTACTTTTTCAGTGCAAACTTCTATAATAATCAAGATGTTTTACCGGAGTTCTTCAACCAGTTTTTACAGTTGTCTGACTATCTGGGACACGATAAAGTTTATCTAAGTATATATGAATCAAACAGCAAAGACAATACAAAAGTTCTTTTACAGGAGTTCAATAAATCACTCAACGATTTAGGCATAAGCCACACTGTCATCACAGATCAATCTACTGTTAAACCAACGTTGGTCGGAAATGAAAGGATTGGCTATCTCGCAGGAGTTCGCAATAAGACCTTAGAACCACTGACGAAGGAATTAGATGAGAAATTCAAAAAATTCAAAAAAATAGTATTCTTTAATGACGTCTTTTTCGATTGGTTTAGCGTAGTTAGACTACTGAACACCCGCAATGGTGATTATGATCAAGTTTGCGCATTCGATTACTTCAAGATCGGTGTATACGATACCTGGGTAACTAGAGATACCTGTCAACGTAGAGTTAAACCAGTTTGGCCACATTTTCAAGATAAGCACAGCATAAACTTACTTCGTCAAGATAAGCCAATTCCTGTAAACAGTTGCTGGAATGGGCTTACGGCATTCGATTCAAAATGGTTCGTAGAGGGTCGTCAAGAGGATATCACTCCCGTTCGGTTTAGAATACTCGATGAATGCGTAGCTTCTGAATGTTTGATGTCTAGCTACGACATCCACTTGCAATCTGACAAGCAGCCCGACATATACATGAACCCACAAGTGCCAACTGGTAAGTAATTTTACTACCTTCACTATACTAAGACGCTAACAAATGGTAGCCTACGAAAGGCCAGTCTTCCAATTGAGAGCCAGATTGGTTAATCTTTCACTCACTCGTCCATACCTTACCTATCGTTATTGGTTTGAAGAGAGGTTGTTTGGATGGCTGACTGCAATAGGTAGGAAGGAGGAAACCTGCGCGGAATTCCTCACAAAATGGAAAATGGACAACTGCAAATCCAATAATTAGAGAGAAACTATCACAGATAAATACCCTTTCATTTGTTTATCATTGTATCATTAAAAATTATACTTTGTATTGAAAAAGAAAACTAAAGAATAAGAAAGACAAGTTGAATTTAAAAATAAACTTGTTAGATTCTGTTGATGTTAGATTGATTGTTGAAAATAATAATTGAGAAAAATATAAAAATTTTGATGAAAATTTTATATTTTTATATGGTTATGGAGAAGAGAAAAGAATCTAGATAACGACGCATTTAGATTTCTTTGATCTATTGCCTGACTTTGTGAGTAAAGCAGCTCTTGTAGCGGTTTGGAAAACTTCTTTTACACCTTCACCGGATCTAGCTGAACATTCTAAGTAATGCTTTGCGCCAATCTTTTGTGCGACGCCTCTACCGTCGCTCTCTTGTACAGGTCTTTGTTGTGTCTTACGTAACTCTTCGAGTGTTTTAGGGTCATTTCTAAGATCTTTCTTACAACCGACGAGGATGGTTGGTAATCCTTGGCAGAAGTGCATGACTTCACTAATCCACTGGTTTGTATTGTAAATAAGAGGTCCTACTTAGTAATAAAAACGTACCTTCTCTTGTACGTTATCAAGTGAGTCGGGGGAATCAATAGCGAAACAGATGAGTATAACGTGTGAATCAGGGTAAGATAAAGGTCTCAATCTATCGTAATCTTCTTGACCCGCGGTATCCCAACTAGGAATATAAGTAAGAAAGGGGGTTTTAAAGTGAAAGTAATTAAAAACGTACAGCGCTAATTCAACATGCTTTCCGTCAACTTCAACGTCTGCTACGTAATTCTCGAAAACGGTTGGTACGTATACCTAGTATGATGAGTTTATAACTAAATTGAGATATAGACGACTAACCTCAGGGAAAGTACCTTTTGAGAAAACGATCAAGAGGCAGGTTTTACCACATGCACCATCACCAACTATGACCAATTTGCGACGGATTTCTGATGACCTGTGCGTTGTCAGTATTCAGAACTGGGGAGCAGCGAACTGGAGAGCAGCTTTACTTACATTGTCTATTAAATAATGAGCATATTTATTTTATTATTTAATAAATAAACTTACACGTTTATTCACTTAGACGGGATGATGATGGGAGGTTAAGTACGCGACTCAACTGAATAGAAAATTACATTGAAAATTGTAATAATATATATTTATTCTTCTAATTAAAACATTTTTTATTCTCTCAATTTATCTCCCTTTATACCTTACCCTCTAACTCTGACCACTCTCTTTATATGGAAGTACTAAACGCTAGAGTAGGACATCTCAGTAATTTTGAAGTATTTGAGATTATTAAAGAGCTAGGGAGCTCTACAGTTGATAATCTACGTTTTACACAGACTGAAGTTAGTATTCGTGGTATATCGTCCTCCTATTTATCTCATAGACCATAGGCTGTAAAGTATCTTAGTAACGATAATCTATCAACTACAAAACAGAATGAAACTGGTATCACGAATCTACTCCAATCGTTGGAACAGTTTCAGACACTCACTAGAGCTGAGAAGCTGATGATTGTCAACCTTTCACCAAAGAGCGTCGTTGAATTATACGTCATTATTGAAGAACTAGAAGACAGATTAAGTGAGGAAGATATTGAAGCTATCCTCTCACTTGTCTCTACCAATTTGGGTGAAACAACCAACTTACAGAACAACAACAATGATGATAATGGCCCTACAGACGAGCCACTATTTGTCGACGAGGATGAACAAGAGAACGCGAAATATGAACAAGAAATTGCAGAACAGGAAGAGTTAGAAAACGCAGACGTTGGCGAAGAAGAAGCCAGAGGCATTGATGAAGTGGACGATTAAAAAGTTTTAGCATTACATTATTATAGAGTATGTTGTATATTATCCAATTAACCAGATTTACGTTTATTAAGTTCTTGTTCGACGCGATTACGTCTCTCTCGTGCATTTTGTCGATCAGTTGTTATTTGCTCAAATTCAGCTTTACGCTTCTCGTGCAACTCTTTAGCCTGCTGTTTAAATTTTAGCTTATCAGCTGAGCGTTGATCAGTGATCACTCACATCGAGTTCCTTCTTGGCGTTATCTGAGAACATGTTCGCTCTGTTGAATTGAGCTTCTGCATCGATCTTTTTCTTTTCTGCTTTCTGTTGTTCTTTCATTGTCTTGTCGATGTTCTTGGTCGCTTGACTTTCCGCCTTGGAATTCTTAATGACGTCGTGGTTTACATCGGACAACCCACCTTTTCTGCATCCCTTAAATGCTTCTCTGCATTTTTGTAATCCTTTTCAGACTTTTTCAACAGTTTGGATGTGTCTTTATCCGACTTGTTGAGATCTTTAAGGCGTCTGCTGGTATTAAGCGAGCTGTTAGGATTGTTTATACAATACACACCTCTCATTCTCCTGAGCAGACACTTCCTGAGTGTCTGTAGAGGTTGCGTTTCTCTCACTCTCTGTCATATTCTCTTGTATGATGTTCGTCATGTTCAAAGAGCGAAAATATTCACACGACAAGACAAATTATTACATTTGTGGCAACATTCATTTTAAATTAGTTAACATCTACACCGCGACTCATTAGCAACTCTCTGATTTGTTGCAAAGCGCTCTCATATCCAGTTTGTTGTTTGACCGTAGGTGAAATTCTTCTCCAACTGAGACTATTTTTGAGCAAACATTTAGCCAATTCGGCGCTGACATTTGCAGGTATGCTGTTAATTGCCTGAGTAAGAACTTGTACTAATGACATTACGAGCATCTTAGATGAAGTGTTAGTGTCATAGACAGTGTGTTTAAAGTGCACTCACGTCTAATTTTTCATCATCCATACCAAGTAATCCACCTTCAACCATCTCAACCAAGTCTAACGCATTCCTAGTCTCTGTCTCATTGTATGGATCATAGCCACCATTTCCAAAATGTGTAATGAGGTAGGGTATAATTATTGTCGAGAGAAGGTGTGGTACACATTCTCTTTCCATGTTCAATTTGGCTTCTTCGTCTTCTGTCTGCATGTCTTCTTCAGTATCATTCATAGAAGCGTAATTATGGCAGAAGTCATATGATTTCAAACTCATGATTGATTTGTTTGAATCCTTGATTATGTTAATACATAATTATAATTCGAATGCTAAACCCACCCTGAGAGCATCCCAACCTGCTACTTCCACTCTCGTCCAGAACTCCCATACGCTAACCATACCTAATGGAGCCCAAGCGCGAATATAGTCATCACCAAAGGCTTTCCGCCATGCGGAAAACTTTTCCATGAGTATATCTGACGGATTCAGGAAGCTAGATGCTTTGACATCCTCGAAGAGCACCTTTACATCATCTTTAAGACCTTGCCGGGCAGTGTTGTATTCTGCAATCTCATGAGGTTCAAGATTGAGAACGACATTACCAGTCGTTCTCCGTTCGTTCAGGATCCTAAATCTTTCTGTCATTACATCTTGATGTCTTTGCTCAATTTTAGCAAGGTTTGGTTGCTTCTCGTCTAAAAAGCTTGCAATTTCATCTGCCCATTGCCTCAAATCGTCAAAGAATGATCGACGATTTTCCACTTCCTCGACTTGTTGTCTTATTTCGTTTTCAGATTGTGATAATTCTTGGAGTTCCTTCTGAGATAACTCGGATAACTTTTGCTTCTCGCCGTGTGTCTTCTCCCCTTCTATTCTGAGATTTTTGAGTCGCTTCATTGCTCCATTGAGTGTCGGAAGTGGTGTTATTTCGGGTACTTTAGTGGAAAGTCAGCGAATACAATAGCGGAGTGGAACACTTACTTGGTGCTGGAATATAGACATTACCATTTGCTGGCTCTTCGTGTGCACCAGCCATCGCTCGCTTGGCTTGAGCTTTCTCCCATGCCTGTTGTTCTTCATCTGATGCTTCATCCATTCTAGGGCATATGCGTCAGAAATCAAAGAGATCGAACTATCTATCACTCACACTTCATCGACCATTTCGCCACGTTCCCTCCTTTGTCGACGAAGGGCGTCTTTTTCACCTTGGTTTGTAAGATGTATGCTTTCATCAGCCCCCGTGTAGGCTCCCATAGCTGCGTTCTATGTAAACAAGAAGTAATATAATCAAGTAAGAACGCACTATCGTCATCAAACACATCATCCTCATGCTGCAATCTGCTTTCAATACCACCGCCAGTGTCACCAGTCAATGTGAGCGCTTGACTGCTACTAGGACCACCACTCAGACTAATATAATCACTCTCATTTGAGTAAGTACCAGCCTGCCTCTTTTTCTTAGCTGCCGTGATGGCTGCATCACTTGGAATTTGGCTCTCTTTGAGGTCGTTGATTGCCTTATCGCCATATATCCGTTTCGCAATGTCACTATAACCATCCTCAGTATCTATATCATCTGTAATGCTAATTTCTATATCGCCTTTTGTTGGAGTATTAGCTTTCAATTCTTCTATCACATTTTGTGAGTAATTCGAGGTTGGCGTTTCAGATGTTTGTCTATTAGATATAGACTGTGATAATAAACTCTTCTTTGGTTTGAATGTACTATCTGTCTCCTCTGTAGTCCCAAATGAGAGATTTGAACGGCGTGGCTGCTTTTTAGCTTTCTGCTTCTCTTTATAGGACAGTGTGGGCGTGATACTCTCTTCGTCATTTGTAGATCTCACTGGAGATTTTTCCTTCTGACGGGTTGATCCCCTCCCAGATCTCTTCTTGAATACTATCTCGTCAGCCATATGATGTAGATGGTAGACTGGGTTCAAGGAAGGGTAAATATTCAAATATATACTATAAATTCTAGTTATCAGTTATTACCTCTTCCTTATTTCGCGTCTCTGATTTCTTTCTATCTAGTTAGCAGCCATCATCATGTGTTTTATATGCAACTATATACAATAATAGTTCTGTAGAAATATTTTCACATTCCCTTATTCAGACTTCAGACCCTTCCATCGGTCATGCTTTTTGCGACACCACGTGATGCTTAGACAACTCTAATCAAGATCTGTGATGTCAGAAGAGGAACAAATTAAACTATTAGCTTTGATCACACGCGATCCTTTATTCTCTCCATCTATTATACGAACAATGGTGAGAAAACTATCAGTAGCACTCCTAGCTTTGTCGGGTGTATTAAATGCCCAACAATCAAACAGCCAAAGCGCTACTGCAACTGTATCACATATTCCATTGTCTACAGCTTCACCTTCACCCGCTCTCCCCACGGACACCAACATTCCGGGCGACGATGAGGAGGTATACCCTCAGCCATGGTGCAGCAGCCCTATCTACTGCTCCGGTGATCTTTTGCAATCTGTTGCACTTGCAGAGCTGTACGAAGATGGCAAAACATTTATAGATAAACCTACAAAATTTTCGCAAGCTCAAGTCTTAGACGCTTGGAGTAAAGTTAATGACGGCGATCAAGAGAACGCCACAGTAGGTCAAATAGAACAATTTGTACAAGAAAATTTCGGTCCAGAAGGTAGTGAATTGGTGGAAGTTCTGTTGCAAAATTTCGATACGAACCCTGAATTTTTGAATAACATTAATGATGACCTCGTGAAGGGATTCGTTGGTACTATACATAGCTATTGGAGCCAACTTATTCGCCAAGTTAACACCACAGCTACGTGCGATAACGACAGTTGCGACACCACATTGTTGGAGTTGCCAGACACATTCGTTGTTCCAGGTGGTAGATTCAGGGAATTGTATTACTGGGATACTTACTTTACCTTCCTCGGTATGCTTAACTCAGGTTTGAGTGAACAGGTCCGCGAGACACTCAATAATTTCATTCACGCTATCGACACATATGGCTTCATACCAAATGGCTTTAGGAGTTACTACCTGAATAGATCCCAACCACCATTTTTTGCACTCATGGTAGAAGACTACGTGAACTGGACAAATGACACCGGGTTCCTGGATATCGCTTTGCCGGCTATCGAGAAGGAACTCGTCTGGTGGAAGAACAACCGCACTACGGAAGTAAAGTCTCCATGGACTGGTAAATCTCACAATGTTGCAAAATATAATGTAGCAAATACTGCGCCAAGACCTGAGAGCTACTTGGCTGATTTCGAGGTTACTAATAAAGATGTAGAATATACGGAAGAAGAGAAACAAGAACTCTACGCTGAGCTCTCATCTGCTGCTGAATCAGGTTGGGATTTCTCCAGTCGGTGGTCGAAATCACCTCGTGCTAGTCAAGGTCTAGATGACCAAAATCCCGTCCTCAGACAACTTAACATTCGTCAACTTGTTCCTGTCGATCTCAACTCCATTCTTTACAAAGTCCACACAGCAGCAGCTTCTTTATATGCTATATCATCGGATAGCAATCAAGAACAAATAGACGCACACAACAAACGCGCGGAGGAAATAAAGGAGGCCATTTTGGATCTTAACTGGGACAACGATCAAGAGTCTTTAATCTTCAAAGATTTCAACACAACTGCAAGCGATTACTCTTCCACTTGGTCATTAGCTAGTTATTTCCCATATTGGGCGGGTATCATTCCAGACAGCGTCTCAAGCAGCGTAGATACTGCTCAGTCTGCCTTTGCTGGCTTGAGATATACATTGGATAGATTTAATGGATCATTGCCAACAACTATCATTGATAGTGGCTTACAATGGGACTTGAATGCTTGGGCACCGCTGCAATGTAAGTTTTTTTTAGGTCTTTGTTATACCTCTGACACAAACTTAAGACATCACAATCAAGGCTCTTGAAGCACTTCCAGATAATGTTACAACACAGGCACTTCGCAGACCTGAAGAAGGCCAGTCAACTTTCTCACTTGTTCCTTCCAAACAATTGGGAATGGATGACGAGTCACAAGTACCTATTCAACCATTGTACAACATTTCAGGCAGCACTTCATCTAAGAACGGTTTCACAAATGAATATGAAGGCAACAACTGGAGAGACACACTAGCAAATGAGGCTGTGCAGAGATTTATCAGTAGTTCTTTCTGTAGTTGGTATTCTACCGGTGGTTCTATTCCAAACATGCTCGATCAGTTGCCAGCTGAGAAGCTCGCACTATACGATGCAGACAGCTCATATACAGGCTATATGTTCGAGAAGTACAATAGCACAAACCTTGTTGCAGCAGGTGGTGGCGGCGAGTATGAAGTCGTTGTTGGTTTTGGTATGTCCAATGGTGTACTCATAGACCTTGGAAGCAGATATGGAGATAAGCTCAGCAAACCACAATGTCCAGACATTGAAATCACAGAAAGGCAATTACCTCGTAGACAAATCGGACCTCTTTACAGTGGAAGGAGAACCCTGAACTACGTCGGACAGTAAGACATGCGCACGACGCAATGACCACGAATATAAAAAGACAAAAAATAAAATAAAAAATAAAGCCCACACATTTGTTTGATTGTTGTTTTAAATATTAAATTTTCTGTTTTAGAAACTGCTGTGCTACATTGTTGGCACAGCTTAGAATGTAGTTCAACTTCTTGATTTCAACCATCAAAGGATGAATCGACATCATCACGTACCGCTAGAAGAGAGTGATGTGAGTGATTTTTATAACAGCGAGTGTATTCTCATAAAACTCCCGTACAGTCAGAAGATCACACTTCTTATCCACTTCAGTCTACAGCTGAACTGCCGCAGTACTCAAGCCACCCATTTAACGACTACGAGAGCCCATTCCAATACCCACGCTCTCCCCCTCAGCCAAATCCTTATGGATATGCGCCTGTCCAGGAATCAACAATTATGATGCCAGAAGCACAGAGAATGCCGGAGCCGGAAGCTCAGGTTTTTACGAGCAATGAAGCTACCCACGGTCCAAATCCAAACCCTATGCCACAAGGCATTCAACTTTATGATGCACCATACAGCAATCCAAGCGATCCATTTGTGGACGATCATATGATGCCAAGCCACCATTTACATCCTGAACAAGAAGGTATGGGTTTGCTTAGACCTAACACAGCTTTATCTGGTTCTACTCAAGCACCTAGTGGTACAAGTCAATCAGTCAGCGGTGATGATGATATTGACCAGGTGCGTTTACTTCCTTTTTATGTATCATTAAAACTGAAACACATTAGGATACCGCTATTAGGTATGGTGGAATACCCCAACGCGTTCCAAGAAGATACAAGACTACGAAGCGTGTCGAACTTCAAAACGGTAACCTCGTCCTTGATTGTCCAGTTCCTACGCGACTGTTGGACATGTGTCATAACAGAGAAGGCGACGAGTTTACCCATATGAGATATACAGCAGCTACTTGCGATCCAAGCAACTTTGACGCTGAGCGTTACACTCTTAGACAACAGCTTTACAATCCACCAAGACGCACTGAAATTATGATCTGTTTGACAATGTGGGTATTGCTATTTATATTTGATTTAATTTAACATCCAATCAGGTACAACGAAGATGAGTTCTTGTTCACGAGAACCATGCACGCTGTCGTCACCAACATCGTTCATTTGTGCTCCCGTGGAAGGTCCAAGACATGGGGTGATGAAGGATGGAAAAAGGTTGTTGTTTGCATTATCTCAGATGGTAGACAAAAAATCCACTCAAGAACATTAGCTACTATTGCAGCTTTGGGTGCTTACCAGGACGGTGTTGCAAAGAACGTCGTCCAAGGTCGACCAGTCACAGCGCACATCTACGAGTACACTTCTCAAATTGATATAAAACCTGACATGAAGTTCAACGAAAAGTCAAAACGCAAAGTACCAATACAGATCTTATTCTGTCTTAAGGAAAAGAATCAAAAGAAGATCAACTCACATAGGTGGTTCTTCTCAGCTTTCTGTGAAGCATTACAGCCAAACGTCTGTATGTTGTTAGATGTTGGTACTTCTCCAGGACCAAGATCTATCTACCATTTGTGGAAATCTTTCGATTTGAATTCAAACACTGGTGGTGCATGTGGTGAAATTGTCACTTTCAAGGGCAAATTCATGTCAGCATTGCTTAACCCATTAGTCGCAGCCCAAAACTTCGAATACAAGATGTCGAATATCCTCGATAAACCGCTGGAATCGGTATTCGGTTATATCTCAGTTTTACCTGGTGCCTTCTCTGCTTACAGATGGGTCGCCTTACAAAATGATATCAATGGACAAGGTCCACTTGAGAAATATTTCCTTGGTGAAAAGTTACATGGTGGAGATGCAGGTATATTCACCGCAAACATGTACTTGGCAGAAGATAGAATTTTATGTTGGGAGCTCGTTTCTAAGAGAAACATGCAATGGACATTACATTACGTAAAATCCGCAAAAGCTTTCACAGATGTTCCAGACAGAATACCAGAACTTATTAGTCAACGTAGACGTTGGTTGAATGGTTCATTCTTCGCTGCTATTCACTCAGTTACTCACTTTTACAACATTTATCGCTCAAGCCATACTATTCTTAGAAAGATATGGTTGCATATTGAAATGATTTATCAGTTTATTAATTTGGTTTTCAGTTGGTTCGCGATTGGTAATTACTTCATTGTATTCCGTGTTTTGTCGGATTCAATGGAACAAGCTGAATCTAAACTTAAGGCTTTGAATGTCATCCTGGAATTTTTATATATCGCTCTACTTGCTTTGTCATTCTTGCAAGCTATGGGTAATAGACCTCAAGGTAATAGTAGTAAATGGGGTTATCTTGCAGCGTTTATTGGATTTGCAATTATTACTTCTTATATGGTGGGTTTACATTAATGTAAAAACAAATACTAACATGGCTAAGATTGCTGCTGCTATTTATTTGGCTGTCACAGGTATTCAAAACGTTATCCAATCACATAATGGTAGCATTTCAGCAAGTGATCTATTTGGTGATCAAGTCTTTATCACCATTGTCATTTCTATTTCAGCTACATATGGATTATACCTCGTTGCTTCACTTTTATTCGTAGGTGGATATAGTATATTTTCACTTAATTACTAACTTGATACCCAGTTTGAACCATGGCATATGCTTACCAGTTTCTTCCAATACCTTATGATTGCTCCTAGTTATATCAATGTTTTGAACGTCTACGGTTAGTCTTTAGATAACTCAATGTGTTTTTGACTAACAAAAATCTAGCATTCTGTAATACTCATGATATCTCCTGGGGAACTAAGGGTGATACCAAGGTAGCAACAGATCTTGGTGTTGCCGGTGATAAGAAACAAAAAGACAGTAACGAGATTGATGTTGCACTACCAACTGACCATTCTGATATTAACGCCGCTTATGAAGATGCGTTACATACAATGGCCAACCCACCACCTCCTCACAAAGAGAAGGAAGATCCAGCCACGAAGCAAGCTGACTACTATGCCGCATTCCGTACTAACACTGTCTTGGTATGGGTTTTGTCGAACGCTCTTCTTGGTGCTGCCATTCTCGCATCAACTAGCGCATTTGAAGTAGATGATGATGACAAGACAAATAGGACCAATGTCTACATTGCTGTCATCCTTTACTTTGTAGCAGGTCTATCAGCTATTCGGTGAGTATTATAATGTCAAAACAACAAAGCTAATAGAAAAACAGTTTCATTGGGAGTTGCTCATATTTGATATTGAGATTGTTTAATCGTGAATAAGGTATATTGTTATTATAATAGATTGCAAAATTCGTTTCTTTTCTTTGAATTCGTTTGCTTATTTGAGCTATTGAACTGTTACGACGATGAGTAATCGCGGTGAATATAACAAACCAATTCATATAAAGAGGACGTCTAACGATTGATGGGCAGGTAAGAAAGATAATAAACTCGATAGACGCGTTCCTGTTATAGCGATTGATAACGATAACGATGAAATTGAAAGCGGAAGTACGTCATTCAAATTGCGTCCAGTTAGTCCAGAGCCTAACTTAGGGTTCATATCTACTGCCCGTAGGCTTTAATCTCTCTTCATCTCTTTCCATCTCTGAATTAGATAGCGTCACCACATTCTAAGAATAGTCGCAAAAGGGATATGACTGAAGGAGGCAGGCATGACTCAGGTGTTTTTAAGAAACCGAAACATGATCTCATTCCAGCGAAAATGCCATCTGTTAAAGAGAAGCAAGACGACAGTAACCTCTACGCTAATCAAATGAAAAGAGAGAAACTTAATGGAGACAACACCAATAAACCCATTCAATTCGCTTCACCTAAACAACGCAGTAAAATTCTGGACTTTGTCGGTTCACCGAGCAAGAAAGGTAAGACACCATCGAAGAAGACTCGTAGCGATGGTTTATTTCAACTCACACCAATTGATCCTATCGATGAGGTACAAGATTTGCTTGAAAAAGAAGAAACTACAATACCTGAGAATACAAATTCTTCACAACTGGATGTCTACAAGATGGAGAATATGATAGATTTGCAACAATTATTGGACAAAGAAAATAACATCAATAGGGAATTTAATAGAAATTCAAGCGAGGGAGCTTCAAATAATGACCATTCCTCCTCTAACAACGCTACTACGTCGAGTAAGACATTATCAAATAATGTTGATACCGAGGATCTTAATCACGTTGGGTGCAATGGAAAATCATCTAATGGCAAACCCACCAACAATGATCATTACTTACAAGAAATTACACTAGATATCCTTGATCATAATGAAAGACTCGAGTTGGAATTACGTAAACAAAGATGGCAAATGTGTACACTCGATGAATGGAAATCCGATGGCTTGGAAATAATAGATGAATTTGCTGAATTGATTCGTCAAGTTCAAGAGAGAGTTACATCAAAGATAGATAACATGACTGATTTCATAAATCGCATTAAAGAAGGCAAAATCGTACTCAAAGAACAAAAGCATAAATTAGATGTATCAAAAGAAGAAGTAAATGAAGCGACTAAATCACTAATTCTTAAGAAAAAGTATATCAAATAACTACTATTAGATATTTATAATATCTACTCTGCAGCGTTCATTTATTTTATGATGAATAAATTGGTTTGTATTGCTTAATTGCTGTTTGCTCATTGGATGTATCGATAAATGAGCAAATGTTCCGCTATTCTTTCCCCTTGCTGTTGGCCATGGATTCACGCAAATAGTTTGATCAACGACCTGTGTTTATGTTAAGTTGCGTTTCCTAAAGAAAAATCTACATCACCCACCTTGGCAAAGTTTTTGAGTATGCTTGGTAAAATTAATATATCGGGTATAACTCTCTCATCGGCATCTTCACTTGTCTTTCCATTAGGGAAGTTCGCGAGTTCTAAATGCGATACGTCGAGGTTAACATCTTGAGACAATTCTTTTGGTGCTGGGAACATAGGGTAATAACTATTATAATGTTAGTACTTAAATGAAGGTACCATTTTATTACCCACATTTGTTGATCTATTATATCACTACAAAGATTCTTCATATTGTCATTCAATGTTGCTCCATTAGTTTCATTTTCTTCTTCATCAGCTTCCTTTAGTGGTTTGAAGAATTCCTCTTTGCGAATGTGCATGAAATTATCGACATTTGAAATACCGAATAAGACTTCATTTACGTGGAATGATGCTGGATTACTGACGCATTTACATCTCTTTCGGATAACTGTCAGCCATGATTATCAAAAAAAGCAAGCTACGAACCTGTCTTGGAGGCAAACCGAGATTATTGAGCGGTAGTGCGTTTTGGGGGTAGACTACATATGGTGTGATCAAGTCTCTGACACTTGGTATCAGGACAGCTGTACATCCTTTAGCGTTTTCAAGAGCTCTTGTTAGTCTGCTACCAATGCGCATCTTGAATAGATCCTCGGTAAGTAAATCCACCTCGCCTTTCTTTATCATTGGATGATTGGCATCTACGAATGGACCGAGCTATTGTAATTGATAAGGAAGAGTGCAACAAGAAATATATTACGCACCAGAATAACAACATCTGGTTGCTTCCTTTCCACTTGAGTCATTAGAGCATCGAACGGCTCGTAATCTAAGTTACTGTCCAATGTATATGGTCCGGCAGCAACGATTACCGACATCGGTGATGAGCCAAGAGATTCCGTAGAGTGTTGCATATCATAGAGCTCTTGTGAATGTGTCTTCACGGTGCCCAAAGGTGGCATCTATGACTGAGTTTAGTATGTCTAATAGCATTGAAATACAACACCCACAGTAAAGATTTCTTCAACACCAAAGTAACCAGCACCTCTGTTTGATCCCAGAACACCGACGATACGGCCAGGGAACAACCTTATTCCACCACTGCCTTTAGGTACACCTCTAACTTTACATTCATTTGAGAATCGCAAAGGTACTCTAGCACCACTACCCAATGACTTGGATGTTTCAAGTATGATACTATCCTCATCTAGTTTTGTAATATCGGTTTCTTTACATATCCTACCAATGCAGATAGTTTGTGACTAGTCGTCTGTGAGACAATCACGTTGATTGTTGGGAAGATTACGCACCTGATTCATCATTCCTGGATCACCAATTTCAATCTCGAAGCTACCTTTGTAGAATTCCTTAACTCTGTTCGCGAAATAGTCTATACGTTCATCTAATACGGCTGAACGTTCGGAAAGCTTTTCGAACATGTACCTATACTTGTACTTTTTCAAAGAAACAGCAGATAAGAGACCAACGCGTGTGTCAAATACAGAATTGTTTGGTGCTATTTCAAGGTGACCATTGAGGGTGTTAGTGATAAGACCAGGGTTTTTCCTACTAACGAAATTGCTCTGAGATGCTTTGGGCGTACTATCAGACGCGTAGTTAGATGGTGTGAGCGGAGAACTACTGTTTCTTAACGGTGTCGACTGCTGCTGAACTCTTTTCTTTAGATTTAAGCTTGGTTTTTTAACTGGAGTATTTTGTACAGCTTCAGATTGTAATTGTAACTTAAAATTACGTAAATTCATAATATTTAAACTCTTATCGCTGCTAGTACAGGTGTTGAGAAGGTAGCTCTCCCACTTAAAGTAGAGCTCTTCTGCTGGTAGATTGTGTATCTTTGAAGTTGCCAGCAACTCGTAAGTGATTGTTTCATCCTGGGTATTGAACAGTCTGGCAATAGTCGAAGACATCGTCGTCGTGTAACAAGACGCGTAAAGTGGATATAATGCAAATATAATTTATCAGAATTTCATACAACATGTTTGATTCCTCTATCGTTAGTCTACACTTCTCCAGATCCTCTCCTCTCCCTTGGTTGTTGTCCAGAGTTAGGTGAAGAAGACAATGCGTTGGAGTTCGCACTAGGTGATGAGTGTGGAATGCTAATGAATCAATAGTCAGCTGCTATTCTATTGGAAATAGTGTATGACCCACGTTTCAGGTTTTGGTATAGCTGTACCAACCGGTTCCGAGGATGTTTTAACGCCGGCTTGCTGCATTGCATAATCACCTGAGTCAAAGTATTGTCTACCTTTGTTTGCCCCTGTATTGAATTAATATATGCACCGTGGAGCAACGATAAACTCACCCAATAACGCACCAGGCGCACCTTTCTTTGGCTTTAAATGTCCAAACTTTGATTTCAATTGCTCCTCTTGGGCTTTCAAATCACTCATCGTCGTTTTTGTCTAAGCGACAAACGTCATAGCCAATTAAGTAAGTGACGGCAAATTAAGAAAATTTTATTTTTAATTTCTTTATTATTAAACTATTAATTTACATATTATATAGCATATCATTTAGTTTATATCTTCGTCTTTATAAAATGGCATAGGCGTTCCGATTGAACGAACGAATCATGTCTTGAGCGTTTTCTTTGAAGGCGTTTTGCTAACAGACTTATCACCATACTTTAACAATTGATATAAAGATGATATCTGATCGGCCTGTGCATCGTCATGTGAGTGTTTACCAAAAACGGAAAAAGTACATACCTTGGATTCAAGGACAGTGATAACTTGGTGCAAATGCTGGGTTAACACTCTCCTCTTTGCCGCATTAGATGCTGGATCGAGCACCTTAAATTGTTCTGACATCTCAGAGTAGATGCCCCTGTAATGCGCGAAGTCATCTTCTAATTCTCGCACAACTCTTGCGAGCACCGTCTGTGGAGGTACTTTGCTTTCCCATCCTGAAGAACTCTTGCCCATGCGCTCGATCAATCCCTCGACGAAGCCCTCGTCATTCACTTTTTGCTCAAGTGATGGTGTAGGTGGTGGTACAATAGCAGATGACCTCCTCGTAGTTTTCGTCGTTGAACCTGTTGATGCTGGCAAAGTCCAATAAATTCCTGGTTTCTCTTTTGTTGAACGCTTCGATGTACGCGGTGTGGCCGTAACTGAAGTTTCTTCGATATTGATCGCAGGAACTTCCTTAACAGGCGAAGCTTTATCTTCAGCCTCTTGCTGCTTAGGTTGATCAGCAGGGGCTGTCTCTGTTGACGGATGCGAACGCGCTGCTCTGTCTCTCGTTGGAGAGAAGAATGATTGAGGGGAGGGATCAGGGCGAAGGTGCGCACCGAATGGCCTTAGGACGAGCTTTGGTGGTGCCTCTTCTGACTTCTCCTGTACACTTTGTGCTGCATTAACTGCCCTTCGTCTCTCATCTACTCTCTCTTCCTCGCGGGCTTCTCTCTCTTTACGCAAATTGTCTTCTTCCTTCTGTTTACCCTCGTTGAGGGCTTTCCAGAGCCCATCAACATCCTTGTTGAGTTTACTAACTTGACCGTTTAGCCATCCAATTTGCTTGTCCTTGTCGACCAGTTTGGCTTCATTTGCACTCCGATCCTCCTTGAGCTGGTCGATGACCTTCGACTGAGAAGAGAGTTCACCTTTGAGGTTTTCGACTATACTACGCAGTGTTTTACCCATCTCCTCGAGTGCTAGATTTTGTTAGAAAAAAGCAAAACCAAGACATCATCACTTACCTCTCTTCTCATCAGCGAGTATCTTACACTTCGCTTGCCACTCCTGTTCCGCCTCCTGGGCGCTATTGGCTCTCGCGCGTGCGACTTCTCTCTTTGCTACGATCAATTCATTTTCTAACTCCTGCGCCCGTTCCTTCGACTGGGCGTTCTCGGCATTGAGTGCGTTCAACTTATGTTCTAAATTACTGATGCTGTTGAGTATAACCTGTTCATCTTCTCTTCCTAACCGCGTGCGCTTGGATGATAATAACTTGTGAGTGCTTCCCTTATCCGGAGAAGCAGTAGCATATGTTAAACCCGTGAGATCTGGCAAACGCGCACCATCTAATGTTCTACTATGGTTCGTATCCTCATACGTCGTACCACCAAATCTGGATGGATTAAATGGTGATGGATTGACCGGCTTGTTGCTGATAAGTCGATCAAGCTCTTTGCTGAGCAAAGCACGTGAAGACGCAGGCGCGGGCGTACTACCATTCACAATATCTTTCAATGGTGTACTGCCTGTTGGATGACCTTCTGAAGCTTTTGAAGGCGTGTATCCGTAATCATTGCGTCCGTATTCGACTGAGTAGTCATAATAGTCATCATAATCAAGATCTTGCAATGTAAAACCTTCTAATTGATTGTTAAAACACTCCTCTGCGCGTCTTCTTTCCCTTTCTTCATCCGCAAATTGTATAGTTTGCTGTCCGGGCGTACTTATTGACGATTGGCGACTGTGTGAGGTGTGTGAACGTGGTGTCGGTGATGGACTTGCCGGTGGAGAAGATTTGTACATGTTGATAGATTATCTACCCCGGTTTCACGTTCTTGATATGATGGGTGGAGTTTAAGAGACGCGATGAGATAACTACCAAATTTAGAATTTTGATAAAATACACGCGTGAATAACTTAAATATCTTATTAATTGCTATCATACTTTATTTTATATGCAAGCTCCTTTATTTACTTTAACAGCTGTACTTGTGACTTGCATTCGGAGGCTATCGCTAATAAGTTATGAGAAAAATATATTCCATTTTATTATTTATATTTACATGCAAAGAATATTTAAATCATTATGTCGACCAGTTGATTTTTACCATGATGCAGCGAATCTAACGTTTCCAGGTTCACTTGAGAAAGCAGCATCCAAAATCTTCTTAATCTCAGTGGTGTGTACAGCCTTTGAACCAGTTGCAACACTACTAGATGGATCTCTACCGACATATTGAGGCCAACGCTCAGAGTGGTGCTTAGTTTGCTTGACCAATGTCAATAATCTTTGTGAAACGTATGACCATGCACCGTTATTCAATGGCTCTTCCTGACACCAAGTAATCTCAGCGTTAGGGTATTTGTCCAAATGACTTTGAATCAAGTCGTATGGGAATGGTGAAATTTGTTCAAGTCTTGAAATCGCAACGTCATAAGCTTGTCTTTCCTCTCTCTCTTTGTATAATGTGTGGTAAACTTGTCCGGAACATAAGATATGCTTGCGTACTTTCTCTGGCTCGACCATCTTCTCACTGTTTTCTGGAATGTATCTTTCGAATTGAGTTTCGCCAGTCATTTCTTCCAAAGTAGAGCGAGCCATTGGGTGACGAAGGAGCGCTTTGCTGAAGAACAAAATGAGTGGTTTACGGAAGTCTCTGTGGACTTGACGTCTAAGAACGTGGAACTATATAATGTTAGAAGAAACCTAAAAAAATCAATAACACTCACGTAGTTGGCTGGAGTGGTTGGGTAAACAACTTGGATGTTACAGTCTTGGTGTTGACGTGCCATTTCTTCTTCAGTTGGTACACTGAATGGATTGTCATCAGCCAATTGTAAGAATCTTTCTATTCTACCACTTGAGTGTTCTGGACCTTGACCGTCGTATCCATGTGGAAGGGACATAACCAAACCGCTACGTTGGAGCCATTTACGTTCACCTGAAGCGATGAATTGATCGATGATACATTGCGCGTTGTTTGCAAAATCACCGAATTGGGCTTCCCAAAGTGTGAGATTATCCGGTGAAACGAGCGAGTAACCAAGCTCGTATCCAAGCGTACCAAATTCAGATAAGGATGAGTTACATACGACAACGCCTGCTTGTCTGCTACCAAGGTGGTTCAAAGGCATGTACAATGACTCATTTTGTTGGTCAACAAGGATCGCATGTCTTTGAGAAAATGTACCTCTTTCAACATCTTGACCGGATAATCTAACATGGATTTTTTCGAGTGCTAATGAACCGAAAGCAAGTGCTTCAGCAGTTGACCAGTCAATTCCCTTTCCTTCCATGACCATTTTACCACGGTTACCGATAATTCTAGCCAAATTCTTGTGTGGAGTGAATCCATCTGGGAAAGTTGAAATGACTTTACCAATGTTTTCTAAGGTCTCTTGTTTCACACCTGTTGTTGCTGTTGGAAGAACTCTAGCAGCGAGATCATCAGGTGATGGGAAACCTTCCCATGATGAACTCAGCCATTCACGACCGTGTGGTTTGTAGTTTGGTGCGTTCTTGAAAGCACTTTCGAGCTTAGACCAGACTGCCTTACGGTGCTCCTCCATTTGAGTTTCAGTGAAAGCTTCCTCTTGTTGAAGTTGCTTAACGTATTTAGCAAGAGCTGTTGGTTGCTTAGCAATAGCTTCGTACATGATTGGTTGTGTGAATGATGGTTGATCAGATTCGTTATGACCATGCTTTCTGTAACAAACTAAGTTGATGACAACATCCTTCTTGAATTTAGCTCTGAAGTCGGCGGCCAATTGGAAAACGAAGGTGACTGCTTCAGCGTTGTCACCGTTACAGTGGAAGATTGGTGCATCAATTGACTTAGCAATGTCAGTTGGGTAAGCAGTTGAACGTGAGTCTTCTGGGTCAGTAGTGAAGGCAACTTGGTTGTTTACGACAACGTGGATTGTACCACCAGTACCGTAGTTTGGCAAGTTGACCATACCGAGTGTCTCGTAAACGATACCTTGTGCAGCGAAGGCACCATCACCATGGAGAAGCAAACCTAATGAAGAATCACCTTTGCCTTCATCACCTTCGATATGTTGTAAAGCACGTGTTTTACCTAAAACAATTGGGTTTTCAGCTTCCAAGTGTGATGGATTAGCAACAAGTGACAAATTGACCTTCTTTCCTGATGGGGTTGGGCGAGTGTAGTTAGCACCCAAGTGATACTTAACATCACCACCGCCAGATTGAGTATCATCGTTTGCTCCGGTGAACTCGTTGAAGATAGCCTCTGATGGTTTTCTGATGACGTTTGAGAGGACGTTGAGACGACCACGATGAGGCATACCAATGGTGATGTGCTTAGTACCGTGGTCAACAGCTCTGTCGATGAGAGCCTTCATACCTGGAATGAGTGATTCAGCTCCTTCCAAACCGAAACGCTTCTCGTTAGGGAATTTAGCAGCGATGAATTGCTCCCAGCAGGTGGACCAGAGAAGTCTGTCTAAGATGTTGCTCTTCTCTTCGATATTGTACCTCCATGGGTGAGGAATTTCGACTCTTTTACGGAGCCAGTCACATTGATCCTTGTCAGGAATGTGAATGTACTGTATACCGATTGGACCACAGTAAATTTGTTCACAAGTTTGGATGATCTCGCGCAAAGACATTTTGTTACGTCCGTCGATAGCAAAACGAGGTAAAATACCTGGACCCAAGCTAATTTGACGATCTAAATCGCGTTCTGACCAACCATAACTGTCGATTTTGAGTTCTGGTGGTACCATATTGTTTACATCAGTTTGTGTAAGGTTGAGTGGATCCAAGCTGGCCAAGTGGTGACCACGAACTTGATACGCACGAACGAGGAGTTGTGCCTATATAGTAAGTCAGGTAATAGAACGCGAGAGGGGAGTACAAACCTTCAAGTGATCGCCCAAATCTGTGTGCTTTGGAGATGCAGCAGAGTCAGCCAAAGCACCTGCCAATTTTGGTGGTGGTACAAAAGCCTCAGCTGGATCTACACCGTTCTCGAGTGCTTCAAAGTAGGTAGCAAAAGAAGGGTGCACCGAGTTGTTATCCTTTCTCCACTCGCCGTACGCAGATTCTAAGAAAGCGTGATCCAAGCCAGTTGTAGAGAAAGCATCGAACGGCGCTGGGGGTTGTTTGAGCGTGTCTTGAGATACTCTTATTGAGGTGGATAGCAGCCTCCTACTGCATAATCTGCTGTTAAACAGCGATCTACGTAACATCATCGTCGAGGTAGGAGATCAAGATTCCCGAGTTCGAACTTCTAACCTGTTTTTACCGAGATGGGTTAAAATATAATAAAAAATCTATTCCTTAGTATCTTAAGTGCGCTTTATTTTATAGAGGCTAAACCCCTGCAGACAAATCATCTTGGTGATATTACACTCGTTTTGGAATATAACTTCGTTATGCATAAATTAGTCTCTATTATATAAATAACACATCCTCAAATCAAAACTTCTGCGTTTTGAACGACTTGTATACCTCCCAGGGCAGCTTCCAATACCTTTGCTGTAGATTCACGTCGAATGGGTTGAAGTTGTACTTTTCCAATCTATTCAAGTATGCCTGAGGCGGGACAGCACTCAGGAATACAGGCATCAGCTGCTTCCTTATTCCGTCTTTGAGGAGACTCCTAGCGGCGATCAGCTGGTCATTCGCCTCAGTCGCAAACTCAAATGTCGCGTCAGAGAGTTTCTCAAGCGTATCCCCATCCACTTTATCGAGTTTACGCAGGATCTCCTCTTCAACGACACCATGATTAGCGTTTATATCCGATGGTATGACTAGTCGACCCTTTGCCGCATGATAAGGGAGAGCACGTAGTAGGGTGGCCAAGCCGATACTCTTCCCTATGTGGCTTAACGCAAGCTGATAATTTTCCTTCTCAAGTGGATCAATTTCTGTTAATTGAGGGAGTAACAGCTCGAGTTGAAGATGTAATAATGATGATTGTGTGAGCTCCAATACTGTACCTAAACTTTGCAAATCTCTCGGAGTCTCCAGGCTCAATTCACGTTCTCTGCCTTCTATAACGTTCATAAAAGACTGTCTAGGGAGTTCAAACTTTTGAACAGAGTCGAATAGCGCTGTGGCTACTGGTTCGTTTGTTATTTTGCCCTTATAGACATTGTTGATGGTATCTTTCCAGAATTGAAGCCTAAGAGTGGCTATGAAGTCCTTAGATGAACTGTCTCTGCAAGTGTGTTAGTGTATAATGTATAAAGTAGCCAAGTTACCGACTTTATCGTTGCTAACTCGATATTCCATGCTTTGAGTGCGTAATAGTCATCTAAAGCGTACTTTGGATAGAAATAACCGCATAAGTGAGCAGGATAGTCTAATTTTCTGACTGTATCCCTGCAATAACTCGCCGATTTGACGAAGTCGGCTAATCTGAGAGATGACGGTCTCATGATGGAGATATGTGAAGATGATATAGAGTGGATATAATAAAATAACTGAAAATAAGAATTTGTGGATATTTTAACCTTGTTTTCGCATTTCGGAGATCATTGTGATTGTTGAACCAGATCGATCATGTTCGTTAGTAGAGTAAACGCTATAAGAGCCAGCAGAAAAGTAGATATAAACGTACTAGTACCAATAAAGCGCTGTATAGATTACGCAGTCAAAGTTAGAGTCAGCCCAGACGGTAAAGGTGAGATAGTAGCCATTTCAGCGATTTCGGACTATTCCTAATACTCCCTATAAGGCGTCGATAACACTGTAAAACACTCTATGAACCCATTCGATGAAATCGCTGTAGAAGAAGCTATCAGATTGAGGGAGAAGAACAAGTCGTTAGTTGACTCAATCACTGCTATCACTATCGGTCCACAGAAAGCACAGGATACACTCCGTACTGCACTAGCCATGGGTGCTGACAAGGCTATTCATGTACAAGCAGAGCACAATGTCGAACCCCTCCAGGTTGCAAAGACACTCAAGCATTTCATCGATAGAGATAAGTTTGAGTTAGTTTTAATGGGTAAGCAGGCCATCGATGGTGATGAAAACGCTACCGGTCAGATGCTCGCTGGTTTGTTGGATTGCGGACAGGCTACTTTCGCTTCTTCTCTTAAGGTAGCAGACGGAAAGGCTACCGTGACGAGAGAAATAGACGGTGGTTTAGAAACAGTAGAGGGTAACCTTCCTATGATTGTCACCACTGATCTCAGATTGAACGAGCCACGCTACGCTTCACTTCCAAACATTATGAAGGCCAAGAAGAAGCCAATTGAGAATGTCAAAGAAAGCGATCTCCCAGTAGACCTCAAGAACAGACTTGAGACTATCAAAGTAACAGAACCTGCTCAACGTACAGGCGGACAAAAGGTCGATTCCGTCGATGAACTTGTCGAGAAGTTAAAGCAGAATGCTCTGATTTAAACTGATTGTAACATTAATTAGCTAGATTTATATTTTTTACTCAAATAACCTTTTTTGTTCCTTACCACGACTTTGACGCGTAAATAAAACACCACGAAATGACGAGCGTACTTGAACGATCCAGGAGTTTTGGGCATTCTAGATCAAATTCGCGCTCACAATCATTCTCTGAGGATAGGCAGTGGGAGACTGTGCAAGCTAAGAGTATGTTCCTTCTTTATATCGCGTATATTGACTCATATACACACAGCATTCATGAAATGGCTCAATACAAAGTTGGAAGTGTCTGGTATCGAGCCTATGTCTGATTTGGCGCGTGATTTGAGCAATGGAGTGAGACTCATTCAACTTATGGAGATAATGGGTACGGAAATCTTTATATAGAATATAGAACACCCTAACAAGCTCCATAGGGGATGTAAACCTCGGCAGATACAATGTAAACCCCCGTATGCGTGTTCAGAAAGCCGAAAACGTCACGAAAGCCCTTGACTTTATAAGATCGCGAGGGATCGTCTTGACGAATATCGGTCCAGAGGGTGTGTCTTACTTTCCATCATGATACGCTTCTTATATGTGTAGATATCATGGATCAGAACCTTAAACTGATCTTAGGAATGATATGGACGCTCATTTTGAGATTTACTATAGCAGAGATTAGGTAGGTGGATCTTCAATAGACAGAGACATATTAAGATCCTTCAGTGAGGAAGGTCTGCAAGCGAAAGAAGGTTTACTTCTCTGGTGTCAAAGAAAGACAGCACCGTATGAGGACGTAAGCGTCGAGAATTTCACTAGCAGCTGGGTAGACGGATTGGCACTTTGCGCCTTGATACACTGTCACAGACCCGATCTCCTAGATTATTACACATTGGATCCTACAGAACGATTCGCGAATACGAAGCTCGCATTCGACATAGCGGAAGAACATTTGGGTATACCGGTGAGTAGATATGTATATTTAGTTGATATGCTAAGTCAATACAGCAACTCCTTGATGTAGAGGACCTTTGCACCCGTCCGGATGAACGCTCGACAATGACTTATGTTGCATCATACTTCCATGCTTTCTCTTCAATGGATAGGCAAGAAACGAATGCAAGACGTGTAGCTGCATTTGCAGATGTCATAGCTAGCGTTTGGCAGGCTTCAAATCGCTATGAAGCTAAGGTTCGAGCTCTCCTTTGGTCACTCGAGCAAATTCAAATCGAATGGAGCAAGTCCCCACCAGCAGACAGCTACGCAGATGTTAAACTCCAAGGTGCTCAACTGGCAGAGCATAAAAAGACGACAAAGAGAGATTATGTCTCTGAGAAAGCCGATTGTACAGCTCTTTTTGGAAACATTCAGACAAAGTTAAAAACATACAAGCTACGTCCTTATGATCCCCCAATTGGTGTTAGATTGGTGGTGAGTTTATAGCATCAATGGTTTACTCCCTAGCTTAACTTATTTCGCAGGACCTCGACGAGAAATGGGTAATGATGGCCGAGGCAGAGGCCAACAGGTCCAGAGCTATCAACGCTCGTATAAGAGATATCAAAGAATTCCTCAGAAAATCCTTTGCTGAGGTTGCAAATACATTCGAAAGGTCGCTCTCACGTATTACAGTTGCGATTGGCGAACTTGACGGTAGACTTGAGGTAATAATCGTTAGAGCATTACGGTGATTTGCTAACATATGTCTAGTCACAACTCACCATCGTCAACGAACTCCAAGCGGAGACAGAACCATTGGCACAGTTGCTACACGGAGAACTACACGCACTTGAGAATGAATGCTTAGACGCAAATATCGAAGAGAATGATTACACTATTTTCTCTTTCGATGATCTCGAATTCGAGTTTGAGCTGGTGCAACTCAACTTGAAGAATAAGTTTGCGTTCCTTGAGAATCAAGTGAGTGAGCCTAAGCTCAGTATTTTCATCAACTAAGTCTCCTATAGATCGTCTCAAGGGAGGCTAGTAACGTTACTCCAGACAAATTGGAAGAATTCGGTTAGTTGATAACCGCACTCTCTGTGATCACACTGACGTTTAATAGAAAGCACATTCAGGTACTTCGATAGAGATGACAGTAACTGCCTCTCATATGGTGAATTCGGAGCAGCACTTGCAAGTCTTGGTATTACATATCCAGTGTGTCAGATTATAAAGTGCGCTAGTAAACCTTCTAATTTGTGATTACAGGAGGATGAAATGATTGAGATACATGAGCTCCTAGCTAAGGAATCTGAATTGGATGGGTATGTTAGTTTCAGGGAGTTTGTCAGATACATGGTCGATATCATGGAGGACACGACAGACAAAGACCAAGTGAGAGAAGCGTTCGAGGGTGTGTCGGGAAATAAAGTGGGTGGCTATCTTAGGTAATCTAAGCCATTCTAACGTACTATACAGCCGTATGTAACAGAATTGGATCTCAAGTTGGCGTCATTAGGAGGACAAAGCATGGAAAGTCTAAAGACGCAGCTTCCTGTGTTAGAGCAAGACTCCGAGGAAGGACTATTGTACGATTATAACAAGTTTTTAGATAGTCAATTCATATAAATTTTGATAGCAAACAACTTGATTCATTACGATCATCAAATTCTATGGCACCCAAACAGCAGCTGAGAATAACAGACAAATTCCGCGTTGTAAAACCCGAGTAAGTTTAGCGCCGATTGAGAATTTAGTTCACATTCCTGATCTTTGAAGATTACATCCATCTACTACCAAACTAGGAAACGGCAGCAACAGCGAAAAACCTAAAAGGAAGTACACCAAACGATCTGCTTGGTGGTCACAGAGAAAGACACAGTCTACTCCGACGAAATCGCTATTACCCCCTCTTGATATTGAAGATATGTCGATCCCATCAACTTCTTTAGGATTACCTAGCCAATCAACGAACGTAGAACCTCAGTTCGTTAAAGGGAAAGGTAGAATGTTGGTTAGAAATGTAGATAGACCCCCGCTATTGAACTCTAATAGCACCCGAGTACCACCTCCTACTCCACAATTCTTGATGAATTACATGTCCGATGATGATGACGACCCTAATGACAAGCTACAAGTTAACCACGATGCGAAATCAGCTCTGATACGCAAACGCCGACAACTCAGTAGGGTGAGGTCTGAAATCACACTATCTAAGACGAAGAAACACAAATTATCACCAAAGACACCGGAACTAGCTCCGACGGCGACATACCATGATAGATTCATGCACGGTTTGCCATATGCTCGAAATGCCAATCATTTATACTTCGGTTTACAGCCATCGCCAAATCTGCTGGAATTCACAGACGCGAGAATACCCTCACCAAAGGAGACGCCAGCTAATATAGTGCACTCAAGCAGAAAGTCAAAGCTAAGCAGTGGACTGGGAATTACCCCACGTTTAGCCCTCGACGATATGACAGATGACCAGTGGAGACACCAGAATATGTTCTCGTCACCTACATTTGGTAAATTTGAAATAATAAGTATTTAGTGAACTGACATATCGTTACAGGCGTTGAACACCAATCTCCGGTGAAACTAACACCGCAATTCCAAACATCGCAGGCGTTCATCAACGCGATGTCGACATCATCTATACCACCACCATTGAATTACTCTAGCTCATCAGCTGAGCACTCACTCATAATGACGCCCTCCAATTTCAACGACAGTCCGTTCAAGCGAAAATTGTTTAGCGAGTTAAACAACGAGGCTTTCGATATTGACAACGCAATTGAAGAAATGTAAATGTCCTTTTTATTGTTACATGTACACGAATATCTATTTATCTATTTTAATTTATTTTTTTATTTTAAATTAACGCTCCAGCTTCTTGACGTATACAGTCAAGACGAATAAGAAAAATGGTACGCAGTTTGGGAGAGAAAAAATAATATATTGACCTATACCCAGTCATCAGGTGTCGCAGTATCAGATGAATGTTTAACAGCATTCCAAGATCTCAAGTTAGGAAAGAAATACAAGTACATCATTTTGAAGATTGCAGAAGACGGCAGCGCCATCGTCTTAGACAAGACATCAGACAACCAGGATTACGACGCTTTCCTTAAAGACCTCCCAGAGGCTGAGCCACGCTGGGCCGTCTACGATTTCCAATATCAAAAGGGTGAAGACGGTGTACGTAACAAAATCCTTTTCTACGCATGGTCGGTCTTACATTCTCGATATATCTCCACTAACTTCCTATAGGGCCCCAGACAACTCAAAAGTCAAGCAAAAGATGATGTACGCTTCTTCAAAGGACGCTCTTAGAGCTAAATTGCAAGGTATCGCTTTCGATATCCAATGCACAGATGAGTCTGAGCGTGCTTATGACACTGGTACGTTTTTTATTTTTGCTTTTATTTTTACTTTCTAACACCCCCTGTAGTCATGGACAAGGTTTCAAAGGGAGCTTAAAAACAAGGGAATACCAGAGCTAGAGAGCTAGTTTGAATATTAGTAGACCGTTTGTTGTTTTTCAAATTTATGTAAAAGATATTCTAAATGCCAATTTCTATCCACTTTGACTGCTTGGCGGTGCCATTCAATCGTGCCGATGATTTTCAGTTTGGCTTTTTGAGTGTTGTTTTGGTGGGGCATTTGTGAATACTCTTGAAACAAGTGATAGTAGCTAAATTCATGGTCATCATTATATCTTGAAAATTAACTTTTATCGGCAACTATTTGAAAGTTAAACCGTGCGCACAACTAATTGAGACTTGAAAATGTTACTATAAGTTGATTGTTGTCAAGAATGCTTTCATAGTAACAACTTACAGATCAGATTATAACCTGTCTTAGATATGTCTAAGCGTCGCATATCTTAAGCTCAGAGAGCGAAAAGGCGGCTTTTAGGTAAAGTGCTGTACACAGTATTGTATATCATGTACTATATGATGCACTTGATAGTTCATGCATTCTCTATATCACTGATGTTGTGACACTCCTTATTGGCCACAACCGGATAACAATCTTATCATCAAAAGGAATAATAAATGCTGAACCATCTACACATGTATATTTGCCTTTTATTAATTTTCTCCCACCGTCATAGACTCGCTCTTTGATCACATTTTTGTATCGAGGAATTCTTCTCTCTTCCTACGACCAAGAATGGACGCCGCACAGCTCCAGCAATTATTTCAGTCTACGTATTCTCCGGATGTCAACGTACGCAAAAGCTCTGAGCTTCAGTTGCGTAGCTTAGAAACTCAAGAAGGTTTCCCAATTGCAACGCTGCAAATTATCGCGGAAGGACAGGATCTGTGAGTGAATGGATATCTATAGTGTATCTCCTAACGTGAAATAGTGCTGTTAAGCAAGCCTGCGCTGTTTACCTTAAAAACCGTATCTCTAGAAGCTGGGATATGGAGTTAGCTCGTCCACGTCCTAACCAAATCGCTATCTCACAAACAGACAAAATGTCAATCAAGCAAAATATCTTACAAGTTTTGGTAGCATCTACTAGCTCTGCTATTAGAGTACAAATCGCGAATATCATAGGTACAATAGTGAGCTCGGATGTACCAGAACAATGGCCACAATTCCTTGAGAACGTTCTTCAATTACTCGTCTCACAGGATCCACGCGAACAATTCGCTGGTGAACTCGCTTTACATGAAATTCTCAAAGCTTGGAGATTTAGAGTTACAAAGAGGGAATACATGACAGAAATTGTTTCAAAAACATTCCCAATTCTCGTAGAATCTGGTAAGAACATAGTCGACCAAGATTCACCAGACGCTGGTTCAATGTTGCATATCATTTTCAAAATTTACAAAGCATCAATTCAACATGACCTCAGCGAGCATCAACAACAGTCCATCGTTGCATGGGGCTCATTATTCCTTTCAGTTATAAACAAGGATATTCCTGCCGAACTCTTGGCTGACGATGAAGAGGAACGCGAGCGAAGCCCTTGGTTTAAGGCAAAGAAACATGCCTTCTACTGTCTTAACAGATTATTTGCAAGATTCGGTAGCCCATCTCAACTCTCTACACGTTCACAGCAATACAAACCATTCGCTAATACCTTTGTCGAGAATTTCGCACCAGAAATTCTGAAATCATACCTCGCACTTATCGAGAAACATCGCACACAAGGTCTCTGGTTATCCAGCAAGTCTAAATTCTTCATTTTTGACTTCATGTCGGAATGTATCAAACCAAAATCAACTTGGTCATTGCTTAAGCCACATGTTGGTCAAATCGTTTCAGAATTTGTCTTTCCACAAGTTGTTTTCAACCAAGCACAAGCGGAGCAGTTCGAGGATGACCCTGTTGAGTTCATCAGAAGCGCTGTTGACCCATTAGAAAGCTTCAACAGCCCTTCATCAGCCGCCACATCCTTCTTGTTGGCACTCACCAGAAATAGAACCAAGAGCACCTTTGAGGATGTTTTGGCCTTTGTTAATAGTGTTCTCACCTCAAGCAAATCACCAGAAGAAAAATATGGTGCTTTCTCTATCCTCATTGCACTCTCTTCTATCGTCATGAGCTCTAAGAAGTTCGGTGGTATGATGGAGTCAGTTTTCGTTAACCACGTTCTCCCTGAATTCACCTCTGAGCACGCTTTCATGAGATTGATCGCTTGTGAAATGGTTCAAAAATACGAAACCTGGGATATCACCTGGTCAGACAAATCTAACCTCGAAGCACACTTCACGGCAGTCGTTAACGCTATGTCTGATAGTCAATTACCTGTTAGAGTTTTAGCTGCATTGGCATTGACTGAACAAATTCAACATCCAGAAGTCAAGGCTGCTATGGCACCAAACATCGCAAAGATCGTTCAAGATCTTTTGAAGTTATCAGATGAAATTGACTTAGACACACTTAGCCAAACTATGGAAAGAATCGTTGATGACTTCGGTGATGAATTAGTTCCGTTTGCTGTTGATGTTTCAAGACACCTTGGTGAAACATACATGAGAATCATGAGCGAACAACTCAACTTGAGAGAAGCTGGTCCACAAGGTGAGATCGATCAATATGTTGACGCTGGTGAAGATAAGGTTATGGCCGCTATGGGTGCAATGAAGACACTTCAACAATTAGTCAGATCATTGGAAAACAGCCAATCTATCTTGAGAGAGATTTCTTCAATTTCTACTCACTTGGTTGTCTTCACTATTCAAAATGAGTTCATTGAATTATACGATGAAGTATTTGAACTTGTTGATTGTTTAACGTTCTTTATGAGAGCTATCCCAGATGATCTCTGGCCAGTCTTTGAAGCACTTTACCAATCATTCAAGGGTTCAGGTGTTGATTACCTCTCTGAGATGTTACCATCCTTGGATAACTTTATTAGTTACGGCTCACCTGTTTTCGCACAAAACCCAACTTATAGACAAATGGCTATTGATATATACTTATCAGCAATGGAATCAGATCAACTCGGCGAAACCGATAGAGTTGTTGCTTCACAACTTATTGAATCTGTTCTTCTTCACTTACCAGGACAAGTTGACGATGTGAGTTGTTTGTTTGTTTGTTGTATATCTTTCTGACTCTCTACATTAGGCGTTACCACTCATTATTGGCACTGCTATGAAGAAACTTGATCCAAAGGATACTCACACTAAAGCACTTCGCCTTCACCTCCTTGAGACTGTTATCAACGCACTCAACTACAACCCAGTCATTTCACTTGGTATTCTCGAAGAAGCTAACGCTACTACTACATTCTTTAACACTTGGATGTCAAACATTGGTTTATTCACTAGAGTCCACGATAAGAAGTTAGTCGTCGTTGGTATTTGCTCATTGATGCAGTTATCTGTCGATCAAACACCACCATCAGTTCAATCAGGATGGCCTGCACTCTTTGGTGGATTGTTAGATATTATTGAACAGCTCCCACAAGCTATCGCTGAACGTGATGAATTGAAGGAGAGAGCAGGTGAATACCCAGAAGAAGATGAAGAAGATTTAGATTTCGCAACTGAAGATATTGATGGTGCGGATGATGAGGGTGATATCGTTGATGAAGAGAATGAATATCTCGAAGTTCTTGCAGCAGAAGCTCAAAGAATGGCAGCAGAACAACAACAACAAGGTAAAGGCATGGGTACAGACATCGACGATGACTTTGATGATGATGATGAACTCGAAGAGGAGTTGACATTTGAGTCACCACTTGATAACTTTGATGTCTTTGTTAGATTCAAGCACAGACTTTCAATCTTCCAAGCTACAAACCCAGCTGGTGCTACTGCAGCCAATGGATCACTCGACCAAGATCGTCAAAATAAGTTACAAAACGCGATCACTTTGGCAACTGAACGTGAATCACAAGGTTTCGCTGCATAAAAGATAACTTAAACGAAAATATATCCCTAATATTTTAATAGAAAGTAACATTTTAATGAATTTTATTTGAATCGATGCTTATTCTTGAATTTTGGCAAGGATTTCAGAATCTCTGAAGAGGTAGTACTCCTGTGTGATTTGTTAGTGGGTGTACGGCTAATAGATCGTACGAACATCTTCGCCAACTTTGATGGATGAACCACCCCATCCTGGGAGCAAGACCTTGTCACCTGCCTTTACGGAGTTTGGTATAGTGTTTCCTGTCTTTGTGTCTCTGATACCTGGGCCTGTAGCGATAACAGTAGCCTCTGGAAGGGGAGATGCAGTAGAAGATGAAGGCAAGAACAAACCACTGGCTGTCTTCTCTTGTGGTTTGAAGCGCTGTACGAGAATTCTGTCGAGTGTTGGTAAAACGCTCTTAATGTTACGAATTGTAGTGGCCATCTTGATAGTCGAATGTTGAGAAGCTAATCGTTTGTTAGAAGATACTCGAAGGGAGAAAAATTTCTACGGCTTTATAGACAAACCAGAGATAGATAACTTCTTTTCCTATTTATTTATTAAAATACACCCCTCTCTCCTCTACGATGACGCCGCCGCCAGCCAAGCGTCAGAAACCAGAGATTGAATTCAGCGATGGCTTAGATTTTATCACCAAGTTTAGCACAGCGTATAGGACATCCTCATACGAGGGTCACTCTATCAAGGATCTCTTGACTGCTTTCAGGAATGCTATCAGCGTACCACAGGATCTTCCACTATCAGATAAACGCTACAGACTTGTGTTAGATTATCTCAAGCGTTCTTCTAACGCTTCTGAATTGTTCAGAGCATGGGAACTTTGTCATCAGGTTTGTCTTCTCTTTTGCAATTTTCTGAAATGCTGATATAATCAACAATAGGATAAAAATCTCGCTTCTACTCTGCCATTGCCAATATCTGCAATAGCTGCTTTACTCAACGTTGCAGCATCTCACACTCACTTGCATCCATCAGCACTTGCTATCTTGAATGAAGCTATTAAATCACAGCATTTCCTTAGAGATTACATGTCAGAGACCAAGAATGATCTCATATTGGCCGCATTAAAGCTCACGCTCGCTATGGCTGAAGCTGCCGGTAGAATTGGTGTACAACGTGAAATGCGCACCATTTGGGAGAACTTTGGTTGGAATTATAAGGTAATTCTATTTAAACATACAAATACCAGCTAACGAATGCTCAAGTTTGTACCAAAATTGTTAAATATGCGCAGAAAGAAGTCAAGCGAAGCTGATAACGATCCGATTGGGAAAGCAGGTAAGTAGTACGTTGCACTTTACAATAAGTTTCTCATTTCTTAGACATTCGCACACTCTATTTGCTTCTCAACTTGGTTTTTATCTCACCATCACTCTCAAACCCTTACCTTATCAATGCTCATCTCTCGCAAAAAGAGACCAACCAGCAACTCTTCCGAGGCCTTCTACATGATCACTACCTAGTTATTCAGAAATTTCTGCAAGTTTGGCATGATGTCTGGTCAGATGGTCGCGTATCAAGATCCACCAAGCTGTTTGTTTGGAATGAGCAGACTATTGACCACTTATTGAAACTTTACAACAGAGTCGATGATGAAAGTAGTGATGATCATGAGTTTATACCAGCCAAACTCGTTCATGCGTATTTAAAATCATTGTGCACAAAGCCTGGTTTTGCATTGTGTTTCAAAGACGATGGCTATTATCCTAGAAGCAAACAGCAACCTAGTGATAATGTCATGACTGAAAGACTCTACAATCGTCAATTGTTGGGTGTTCTGAAGAACCTTCGCATTGGTGATAGTGAACTTCATGCAGACTTGGCTTTGTCAATTCTATCAGCATGCCCAGAACTATCATCCCACTATTGGAAGCAATCTAGTCTTACTCTTGAACCCCGCTTATCATCAAGATGGATCTCAAACATCTCATACTTGGCATGTGCAGTTTCTTTGCCAGTACCATCAGATACGTTCAAGCATAATGATTCATTCAAGTCATCACCACCACCACTCAACAACATGATTGAATCTATCTTACCAACTATCATACAGAAAGCGAACTTCACGAAAGCTTTCTACGCCTCACCTCCAATTGAATTGGTACAACACTGCATTGCGTTGGCACTTTCTAAAGCACTCGATAAGCTAGACAGGGTACAAAAATTAATGTTGGAAGCCGCGATTTCATTGGAAGAAAATGAAAACGATGGTCAGTGGTACAAGCGTCGTAGAGAGCTACTCCGCGAAGCAATGAAGAGACTTCCGGAAGGAAAAGCAATCGCTCATTTTGCAGCATCTCAGGAATCATCAAAAAATAAGATGCTATCCGAGAATTCATTACGTTTGTTATATCAATATCAATCAATCATTCCACCTGCTTTCCAAGAAGCCCAAATTGACATTTCAAAACTGTTATTCTCAGGTGGTCTTGCTAACCCTGATCTCAGTTCTTTTGATGCCCTTAGCCAATTGCATGCTCTCAGATTGCTCAAAGGTAGTGATGTCTACAACGTTGCTTCGAAAGTAGGTTCCGAAAGTGCGTTCAAAGCTATCATGAAATTACATATCAACACCAAGCATGCTTTCATTAGGGATGTAACAAGTGAAATTGTTTCTAATTTCCTCTCTAATAGTGTCTTATTCGAACATGATAAGACTGAAACTCAGCTCTGGTTGTCGAATTTGACTCTCGATAGTCTTGATTTTATTGATGGTTGTATTCTTCGTTGTGTCAAGACACCTTACAGATACTTGGAGCAGATAAGAAGTATGTTAGATAGCAATGTAGATATTGACATACCTGCATTGGTACCATCACCACTCGTGTTCACTCTACTTGAACAACTAAATTATCAAGTATCAAAGAAGCTACTTAGTGATGACAACGCTTCTGAATTAGCAGCATATGTTCGTAATTTGATCATTGGACTCGCTGGTAAACAACCTTCAATTAAGGGTATCATCAAAAATCTTTTCGAATGGCTTCAACGTATTTGTGATAACCACGACGGCGTCAATACTCGTAATCAATCTAGTCTGATTAAGCATCAAATCAAGGGTCTTACTAAGTCTCTCAAGAAGGTTGCTGGATTGAATGGTCTCGAAAGATCCGACTTACCTACACGCATCTATTCATTGGATCCTGTCAGTCAAAACGTTTTTGCATCTCTTCAGTTTGATGGATCAGAGAGGTAAGTTGCTTGAAAGCTTTTACTAATTTATCTCATACCGGAACAGTGTGACAAACAGATTTGATCTTCTTGTGCCTCATATTACACAAGAATCACTTGAAAATCCAGTTTCTAGAGATTATATCAAGGAGAGCGCATTATCGTACTACTCTCACGCTCGTTCAGCGCAATTCTTAATCCATAGACTAGGTGACGAGTCTGGCAAAGCTGCATTCGTAGGCTTGCTAGTCGAACTTATTAAGTTTGCTAGAAAGGATGAAAAGAGGGCTGTCATTGAGACTACTTTACAATCAGAGGAGCTGCTCACTATTTTCAATGGAAAGGATATTGATGCTAATTTGTCAAGATCTTTGAGGAATTTCACAAGCGAGCTTAGAAAGCTTGAATACGTATCTAGCGACTATTCCTCTCAATTATCTAATTTTGTAGTGCAAGCTGTTACTCAATTCGCAGGAAAAGATTGGAAGTCTTACGAGAACGTCATGCTTTCTTGGATACCTTTCTTCAATTACAAGCAGCTTGAGGAGGCGCTGGTCATATCATCGAGTAACATCCCTGAAAGCTCAGCGACATTAACTCAAGTTTTGAAAATACTCAGTGAAGGACAGCACTCAGAATCAGTAGCAACTATTTGCGAGAATTCAAAATTACTTCCAGCTCTCATTGATGTTGTATTCAGAACTACCGATGAGGAAGTGCTAGACCAGCTCTATGTATTCTTCGAACGTTTGCTACCATTGAGGAGCTTCAAAAAGGGTAATGCAAAGGTTGCTGATGTCCAATTCAAGAGTGTCTTGAAGCCAATTGAGATAGATGTCAAGAAAATTTCGTTACCTCAATCACCAAAGCAGGATGCAATCATTGCCTTGTTGATCACAAGGTTCCCACAATACAGACGTGCATTCTACAAGTCAGCCAAAAAGGTTGACGCTGGTGATATCCCTATATTATCTGCTACTACATACGCTAACATCATCGCTCTTGGTGTCCGCTTGGATGGCTCGATCAAAGATGACGAGATTGACTTAGCAAAGAAAGTGGCTGGAAATGCTATTCAACATGCCATCAATGGCGTAGAAGAAATCTCGATCGAACATACTTTAGCTTTGTTGCAATCATCCGAATATGTTTCAGCGTTATTATCCCATTTAAATTGGGTGCCAGGATCTAGTGCACAATCTTGCAAGGTCCTCAGTCAAATTGCTAAGTGGGCATGTAAATATGATGATGCAAAGGACTTTATCAGATCTGCTTTCCTTGAAAATGTTGGGAAGCTTCTAAGAGTTGTCGACAAGCAAGAAGAGGAGGTCAGCGAAGTTGCTCTAGAGCGTCTTACAGAGGTAGCTTATAAGATTAGCTTAACTGCAGATGACCTCGAATCATTCCTCATTACAACGTCACAACGTGGACTGGGCCAAGCTCATGTTATGAAATTCGCAACCACATTGCTTAAATTAGTAGATATCCCACCACATCTCTGCCTATCCTTACTTCAACAAGTTTATGGTTCCGATTTGTTCAAGGATGCGTCAGAAAAATTGGACGTTACAAAGCAAAGATTAGTCGAATACATTCATACACTATTCTTCAAGGCTCCTGTTGCACTTTGCCAACTCGCACAAATTAACCCTTTGGTTAATATTTATAATGCAACTTTGCATAGATCGGATACTCTCATATTGGATATTTTCAATCTCTTTGAGCGCGTTTGCAGACAGTCACTTATCGCAATCACGCGTGTATGGGTACCACCTTCGACCATTTCAGCGGCAAATTCGGGCAATCGTACAATAGATGCAATTGTTGCTTTGGATTCTAACAAGATATTCAATACTTGCTTGAATTTTCCAAATAGATTGTCATTCTCTGACGTTATATCTAACGTTGATGACGTTGAACATAAAGAGGATCTCTACGATCCAAGGTTTTTAATGGCATTGCTTTCAAGTGTCTTCAGGGATGAAACTCTGACCGATTTTGAATACCTCGAATTAGTGAGATGTTCTATTATCAACATCCCAATAGTCGGTTTGTCATCACGCAGACCTGACATAAGGAAGGTGTCCTTGCATTTAATGGGTCATGTCAGTGCTTGGTTAAATGTGGGTGTCTAAAGTCCTTTTAATTGCTCTTCTAATGATATCTAATAGAAACATAACTTCACTGAAAAGCAAGAATTAGAATATCTGTTGCAAAACTTCCGCAATACTATCCCACCACATGAAATGCACGAGGAAGTACCTAGATCATCGACATTAATAACGGTTTTGGTCGCTCATGCTACGAGAGCTATAGTCAATCCAACAACTCATGCTTACCCACTCATAATGAGGTTCCTTCTTCAACGTCCGTATATGGATGTGAAGAACGTACCACTCTTCTTTGATCTCTTGTTGAGCTATAATGAAGATAGGAAATGGGAACGTGGTTGGATATTGCGTTTTGTTCGTGATGCCGTTAAATCATCGGATGTGAGTGAAAGTGCTCATATTAAATGCAATCACTAACGTTTTAAAGGACTGGCGTATGATGAAACGCAGACATAACTGGGACGTATTGGCAACTCTATATGAATCATCCAATGACGATTCTTCAATAAGAACCTTAATTGAAGAAATAGCTCTCACTTTAACAACTAATCCAAGTACTGCAACGAATTTAGTCTGCTCAAAGCCAATATTAATGTGGATTAATCAACAATTTGCAATTACAAAACTTGGCAATAAATCATTACAGAATTTCCTCAATGTTGCTTTACAAATACTTAAGAATGGTGATATTAACGCAATCGACCATGCTACTAGAGGTGTTTGGAGGTCTGAAGTGTTATCTATTGCCAATTTATCAACTAAATATGCCAATATAACATGTTTGAAATTATCATCAGAAATTATTTGGAGATTATCACGATTGGATAAACTAGACAGATACCCTGATACAATTACACCAGTTTCTTTCAATGTTGTTTTGCAAAATCTCATCACTTCAGTGTCAAATGCTGACTACGAAGCTGATGAAATGTACAAGGAAACTTTAAAGTATCTTGGACTTGTCTATTCAAGTGTTCCAGCGACATCTGACAATATTAAAAACGGTTGGATACAACTTACGAGCAGATTGCTAGCAACAGGTGACGAAGAGTATTACAACATGGTATTGGGACAATTACATGGGTTTTTGTAGTTAAATTTTAATAATTTATTCTCTATTGTTTATAGCGTTTGACCAACTGGTGATATTTAGACCATTGCATATCTTGAAAATTAGTGCGTTTATTATGAGGTTATCACCGTTGAAGGCGGGTTGTTCTGGTTCCTTTTTGAATGTAAGAGAACACTCATAGGGAATCATAATAACTCACTTTATCCACCTCTCCCCAAACCATTAGTGTATCATGCAACTCGGGTATTTCACTATACTTTAAATCTGAACTGAGCAAACAATTCTCGAGGTTTACTGTTAGTTTAATTTTGTTATGTTGTATTTCAATATACGGTAGTTGAATATCTGATACGCTATCTATCATCAATTTGAAAGCCTTCCATCTAATTCATCAAACACACCTCCCTACAGTACGTATTTTCGACATATTCTCTGAGTTTTTTACATTCTCAATCGATTTTGTTTCGGCTACTGTGAGTGAACTCATAATAATGTTAATCGTACAAAGTGAAAGGATATTTTATTTACGATAAAATCTATTAAAGATGTTAGTGGAGGTTGAAAATTTATTAATAACTCACATCTTTTTAAAGTTGAAGTATAATTGCATCACTCCTCTATCAAACGATGATCTGAAACCACTTTTGATATTCAATGAGTATGTGTCAGTTAAAGCTTTCATCAGACTCACCGTTTATGTGAATGCTCCCACTCTCTATTTACGATGGTAAACGCGATATCTTCATATGGTGGACCGGCTATGAAGATAATCGTTGAAATATCGCTATTGTCTGGATTTTTTATGACTTTGTAAGTAGGTGTCTTCGTCTTGTCAATGAGATCTGGATAAAATATATTGAACTTGTATCCCTGTACTACTTTTGGTGGTGGATTTTCGTAATCATAATGTGTTTGATTGTACCTATAAGGTACGTCAGATGTGTTTACTCAATGAAAATGGTAACCTACTTATTCCATTCGTACCCCGTGTGAACTCTATTAAAGTATCTTGGCTTCCTTGGCCTGTTCTTGTCATTCCAAGTGTAAGTTACCTTCGCAGCTTCTTGAGTTTCTGTGAAGATGTCATCATTATCAAATTCGTCAGCGTAGTTATGTGGTGTTTGAAGATCCTGTAATCTAAACCAATTTTCAGTTTCTACATCAGCTATTGACGCGCCAACATCATCTGCTCTGAGTGCTACCTGCTTCTGAGGAAGTTCTGACCTTGCAATAAAGGAGGTATTTTTGAGTTGGCGACGGCGATCCATCTAAAGAGTTGTTTAATTGGGAGTGTTTAGGATATGTCATCAAACACTCACCAGATTTTTAACATCATTCTCAATTAATATAAGAGGCATTTGCCTGTCTTCGTATGGTAGCTGGTTCTTGTGCGTTGGTTTAGGCGACATTGCTGGGTCATACTCATCAGCCAGGATATCTTCAGCTGGTGTACTGTCGGCAACGGTGGGTTTCTCTTGTTTGTCTTCTGTCATTGTCTTTGTAAGCTCAGACTCTATTCTCTCTCCCTCAAGTTTTTGTCTCTCACGAAGCTGGCTTAGACGGTTGTTGAGAACGAGTTTGTGCATATCGTTAAGCTTAGCTTTGGCTTTATATACCATTAGGCTTTTGAGGAGGTTTTCCCAGTATTCGGTGTCGATAGCATCATCTGATCTCAGCTTGTTCTGAATAGATTGCTGTAATTGGGTGAGCTGTTGTAGACTCTTGCCTTTCAAGATCATCTCTATTTGTTCTTCGACGTCTTCATCGACAACGTGAGAGCCTCCCATTGACTGTGCTATTCTCTCCAATTTGTCTTGACAGACGGCGAGCATACACTGGCAAGTTGTTAGGAAGTTTTTGGAGATATATATAAATACCTACATGCCAAAAGTCCTTATTAGCTTCTGCTATCTCCAAGTCAAGGAATTCGCAGATATCCTTATGTAATGCTTTTGTCTCATTTAAGTTGAGGTTTTCTAAAATGTGATAGGGTTCATCTAAGTCGACTTCTAATCCGGTTTCTAATTCCTCCTCATCATCGCGGGTGTGCGTCGTGTCAGGATGTGCGAACTTCAAATTCAAACAAAGAAAGTCAATCGGTTGAGCTCTGTTACCTCTTATCCGCATAAGAGCTCGCAAGCGTTTCTGCTCTAACATAAATTCATCCTCCTTATTCAGCCATTCCTGAGTTTGTGCTGATTCGTTCATACGCTGCCTCCGCGTGTTCTGATCTTCTCGCTCTTTCCTCTCGATCTCCCTTTGTTGTCTCCTACGAGTGAGCTTTTCTAACTCTGCTTGTGCCTCTGCACGTCGCTTCTGATCTCTTATAGCAGCATCCTGGGCGGATAAACCAAGTTTCCTATCCCTTTCTTCCTTCTTCTGCCATTTAAATTTGTTATCGTCGTCGTAGTTGATAGGATTGTCGACACTACGCTCTCTTTTAGTTTCTCTTCCAGCCTCTTGGTTGAAATCGTTATCTGAACGATATCTTTTGTAAGAACTAGACATGATGGTAGTCTAAGAGTAAGGGATAAATGAATAATTCAATAGCTCGTAGTTCAATTTTAAAAATTTAAATATAAAAATATCTTACGCTATCTTTACGCGCCTTCGCGTTTGTCGAACGCGTTGATTAGAAACTACGAAAATGTCGAACAGAAGCAGTTCACCGATGCTGTTCCCTAGCTCACCTAATAATAACAACAATACACCAACTAAGAAGCGAGAAAACTCTGAACTGTTCCTGTCTTCTCCAGGCGTTAATCCAGACTACTTAGCTGCACCACCAAGCTCAGATGTTGGTGGTTCATTTGTCAATCCACGCTCTTCCTCTCCTATGAACTTCCCAAGCTCTTCTGCTGGTACCCCACGAGGTTCACAAGCTACACCAACTCAAAGACGCGGTGATATACACTCAAATCTACCACCAAGTTCACCTAGTTTTATCAAGTCATCTAGAAGACAAATTACTTTGCAAAATCAACCAACTTCTGATATTCACAGATCAGATAGAACTTACTCACAAGGAAATGTACCAAATACCGACGCACAAACAGATGAACATGGTATGATGAGAGTAATTTGGGGTACAAACGTACAGATTTCTGATTCTATGGCTGCCTTCAGAGCTTTCTTGAGAGGTTTCAAGACAAAGTATAGACGCGCATACGAAAGAGAGCAAGGTAATCAATTACCTACACTTAGCGATCAAGCTAGCTCAGAGAATTTGTTATATGAATCTTACTTACGTAAAATGAGATTTACAGGTCAAACTAACCTTAATTTGGATATGAACAACTTAGTTTGTGAGTCGATCATATTCAACAAAATGTATATCGTCTAACAAATCCACCCAGCATACCCACCTTCACGTAAATTATACACTCAATTACAAAAATACCCACAAGAAATCATTCCAATCATGGATCAAGTACTTAAAGATGTCATGCTCGAACTTGGTGAAGAAGATGCTGATAGAGATGAGCAGAGGATTGGCCAACAAGCATGGGATGATGAACTTGGTGAAATTATGTCTAAGATCTACAAAGTCCGTCCATTCGGTTTGCCTTCTGTCAACATGCGTGAATTGAATCCATCAGATACAGACAAATTAGTTTCTATCAAAGGTTTAGTCATCCGTGCAACTTCCGTCATACCAGATATGAAAAATGCTTTCTTCAAGTGCACAATTTGTCAACACACCCATCAAGTTGAAATCGATAGAGGTAGAATTTCAGAACCTCAAAGATGTCCTAGAGACATCTGTAACTATCAAGGTACAATGTCGCTCATACACAACAGATGTGAATTCGCTGATAAGCAGATTGTAAGATTACAAGAGACTCCAGATTCTGTTCCAGATGGTCAGACACCACACACAGTTTCACTTTGCGTTTATGATGAACTTGTCGACGTCACAAAACCTGGTGATAGGATAACTGTTACTGGTATATTCCGTTCACTTCCTGTTCGTGTTAACCCTCGTCAGAGGTCTATAAAATCACTTTTCAAAACTTTCTTGGATATCGTACACGTTAAACGTACAGACGCAAACCGACTGGGCTTTGATGCAACGACAAGACCAGGTGACAGAACCAATTTGGCAGGTGTTGGTGTTGGTGGTGACGATGAACTCGAAGCTGAGATGGCCAACAATGATGAAAACCCAGCTGGTACAATTGCAGAAGAAATGGAACAAAAACTCATCGAAGTTTCTCAAAGACCGGATGTATACGAGGTTTTGTCGAGGTCTTTAGCGCCATCTATTTGGGAAATGGACGACATCAAGAAGGGTGTTCTTCTTCAGATGTTCGGTGGTACAAACAAGTCAATCGCCAGAGGTGGTGGCGGTGGTGGACCAAGATTCCGTGGTGATATCAACGTTCTCCTCGTTGGTGATCCAGGTACTTCTAAATCACAAATCTTACAAGTATGTTTTGAATGAACATAGTGAATTACTACTAACTCAGATTGAAGTATGTTCACAAGATAACACCACGTGGTGTCTACACATCTGGTAAAGGTTCTTCAGCAGTTGGTTTAACAGCCTACATTACCCGTGATCCAGATTCAAAGCAACTAGTGTTAGAAAGGTATGTGATAACTTATGAGGAAAGGAACTTCCTTGACAAAAGTCCTTCAGTGGTGCACTCGTTTTATCAGACGGTGGTGTATGTTGTATAGATGAATTTGACAAGATGTCAGATGCCACCCGTTCAGTTCTTCACGAAGTAATGGAACAACAAACAGTTTCTATCGCCAAAGCGGGTATAATTACCACACTCAACGCTCGTACATCAATTTTAGCAGCTGCTAACCCAGTACAATCGAAGTATAATGTCAAACTTCCGATAACGAAGAACATCGATCTTCCACCGACACTTATATCCCGTTTTGATTTACTCTACTTGGTTCTGGACAATATTGATGAATTCGCTGATAGAAAATTAGCCAAACATTTGGTGTCGATGTATCTTGAAGACGCACCAGAGACAGTTGGTTCTGATATTCTTCCATTAGACGTACTCACTGCGTATATAACCTACGCTAAGAATAAAATTCAACCTGAGTTGACAGCTGAAGCAGGTGAAGAACTAGTCAAGTGTTACGTACGCTTACGCAAAACTGGTGAAGATGCTAATAGTGCCGAGAAGAGAATAACAGCAACAACTCGTCAACTTGAATCAATGATTCGTCTCGCTGAAGCACATGCACGTATGAGGTTATCACCCTTCGTTGAACTCTCAGATGTAGTTGAAGCTAACAGACTTATCATCGATGCTGTTAAGGGATCTGCAACTGATCCAACAACCGGTTTGGTTGATATAAGTCTTCTTAATACTGGTTTCTCTGCTCAATCACGTCGCCAAAATCAAGACCTTAAGAATGAAATCATCCAACTAATTGATAGTTCGAGAAGCTCAAATATTAAATACAACGATATATTCCAACAGATATCACAGCAATCTTCTATCTCTGTAGAGAACACTGACTTTGCAGATGCTGTTCGCCAATTAGAAGAAAATGGTGATATTCAAGTCGTCGGCGAAGGCTCGAGAAAGATGTTGAGGAAGGTCAATCCATGATAGTGTAATTATAGCAAACTGTTTTCTCATATATATATATATATATATATAATTCATACAAATTTATAGAAAAAGTTAAAAGAAACTAAAATTGAGACATATACAGGTAAAACTCTACTTGTGAAGCAGCTGGTCCGTAAGTATAGCAGAATCTAGAAATTTGACAAGCGAAAAGTGCTTTTTGGTATGATTCTGGGAGTCTTTCAATCAGCGTGTCAATACCGACGTATTCAACGAGTGTCTTTGGCATAGCCTTCGCGAGAACCTTTTTACGTCTTTCAATATCCCTAAATAAGCTATCTGAGCTTTCCAGTTCGAGTTGTAATTTGTTGAGAGTTGATGACAACTTATCCGAAATAATAGTACGTGATTCTTGACCATTAAGTCTTTGATGCTCCTTCCAAATACAGTTGAATTCCAATGTTGCATTGCTTGCGATAATATCTTGTATATCCTTAACGTAGTTATTATAAAACTCGGATGGTTTACCATCCTTATACATCATTAAGTTAACGTATTCATCTTCATTAAGAGCCAAACCAGCGAGAACCTCCAAAGAAGATGAAGTGACACCACCCTTGTTAGCTGATGAATCTCTAATGAGTATGACGCCACGCTTTTCAAGGACAAGACGAGCTTGTTGGGTAACGAACAAGTTTGCACCTTCGACAATAATCCTATCGAGTGTAAGTAAGAAAAAAACTATAAAGAAGACTGTCACTTACTTGAAATGAGGTTTGCCCTCTGCATCGAAAAGCTGGTTAACATTCGAAATATTAATAGCTTGAGGTCTACCACCACATGGAATGAGTACTTCGGCTTTGACTCTAAGGTGGTATCCATTTCTAAATTGTGTACCATCAGCTACCATCTCACCTGATGGTAAACGAATGTCTTTGTCTTCACAAAGTACTCTATAACCATCTTTGCTAAGCTTCTTCAAATCGAATTGGTTGATCATAACACGAGCAGTCGCAAGACGAGTTAATTCATCTCTGTTCAAACCAACTGGATCATAAATAACACCAGATCCATCGACGATAGCGACTGTCTTGTCTTTTGATAAAAGAATCTCATTGCTACCAAGGTCACCATCTGGACCACCAGTTTGTACCTTCGTGGTATTCTCTTCATCCATTGCCAACTTATCAAGAATACCAACGTAGTATTGACGTACAGAGCGTGATGTCATACCATAGGTATCATGTGGAATACCACCTAATGATTCTGCGGTCTTACCGGTTGTGAATGACTTCCACCATTCAGCACCACGTGAGCGAGCGTGGAAGGCTGCCCAGTCCATGAAACCAGCTGTACCTTCATCTGGACCTAAGAAGAGAATTTCTTGTTTGCCCAAAAGATCAACAATTGGTTCTTTAATACCTGGTGAAGAACCAGGAATGAGCAAGTCAATTATTGAATCAACGTATCTCTCAAATGAAAGTTGTGGATTGGCATTGAGGTCTGGTAAGATAACACCCTTCGATCCACCTTCAGGTATATCTTTATTCTTGAGTGACTGTGTTGAAGCCAAATTGAAACATTCGTCGAACAACATACGTTGATTCGTACCATAATTTTCAGCATCTCTAGAGCGAAGAATACGGATACCACCTCTAGCGACATCCTTAAATCTCACATGGAAACCTTGGAAATCTGATCCGACGACGAAGAAGACACCATATGGCTTTTGTGGATATTCTTGAATAGGAAGGAAATCACCATCTAATCTAAATGAAAGAGCAACCTTAGTTGGTTGGTAGAAGTTAGTCTTGAGAACATGTTTGTTGAATACCATGAAGGATTCTAAAACTTGCAATTCGAATTGATTTCTGGTGGACTTCACAAGCTTGTTGTGGAGCTCCTCATCGGAGAATACATTAACCTCTTGAAGACGTTGATGAGAAAGAGTTGGTACGAGCTGTTCAGCATCATCACCGCCAGCTGGGTAATGAGACATTGCGAATTGTGTGTACAACAGTCTGACTAATTCTGGGTAAGTTTTGATAACTTCCAGAATAGCAGTTTTAGTGAAGGTCTCTTCTCTGAATCTCTTCTTAAGGTCTGCTAAAACACCTGCGTGATTTGGATTTGATTCATCAAGGATTGACTTAAGAGCTTCGTAAGCTGTTCCTAGGCGATTGCAGAAATGGGTAATGTAGATATAACCAATGTAAGCGTAGGTTGCTTCTTGTACAGCATTACCCTTGCCTGGCTCTGACTCTGCTGCACGTGAAAAGAATGGATTGTCTGGTAAACAATAGATGAGTGAGACCTCGCGAACGATCTGCACTACTGAATGTGATATTGGTGGTGCAGGAGTGAGTGGGTCTGTAGAGATAATTAGCATAAATAATATAAGTAACTCGGAACTCACCCTTATTCAGATAAAGACTGACTATCACGGAACCATTTGAGAAATGTTCGACGAACTTTCTTGTGGAGTATAAACCGTAAAAGTGGTAAAGGTTTGTGAGTGTGCTAAAGAAAGCCTTTGTTGTACCACGCTTATAACCAATAACGATACGATGTTCAGTTGAGCCCTCGATTTCGAAACCTTCGACGACGGGACCTGCACGAACGTCTACTTGGTTGAGAATGCGTTGATAAATATCTAAAGTGTTATTTGAAGCTTTCTCCAAGAAGAGAGGATCAGCGACTGTCCTTATATTGACATCGCCGTTAGTTGAGATAGTCTCTGGAAGTTTGCACTTTGCGAGGAAATAACATCTAAGATGTGACGATCTGTATGTTTCCATTCTCCAGTGAGCATCCTTGCTGTTGAAATATTTACTGTCGATGATTTCTTCTACGTTGCTACCTGATTTTGGAGAATGTATGAAGATAGCGTCATTCTCGCGTTCCTTTTGGAGATCGATATCAAGTGACTTATCTGGACGATGTTTTGTATAAGCAACTAACTTTGCGGCGTATAATGATATGATATGATCAGAGATCGTGTCTACAGTTTCTAACTTAAAGTAGGTGTCATCAATGCCCAAACTGGTGTAAAACCAGTTGACCTCGTTGTCTACCAAATTGCTAGGAATGAAGCCTTTCTGTTTGAGGTTATCTATAACTAATTGACATTGTGCGTCTTTATCCTTATATACAGTATCCCTATATCCAGCGTCGTTCTTGAGCTTATTGAGTGCCAAGTCACTATTGGACTTCTGCAATGGGGAAGGCGTGGAGGGAATAAATAAGTGTGGAGTTTGAGATTTCAATGCGCTTGTCATTTCCGATGATTGTTGTAAGAAAGAAAGGAATTGGAGTGTCTCGGTGATTATAAACCAAATGCGTGATATCGCTAAATGATATAAGACGAGAAGCCGTTCGAACCGAGGCAAGATGATTCAGAAGGATGAAGAAGATTGATAGAGATAATTTATATTTTACTATCTTAATTTATCAGATCTCTAGAAATACACCCACCACGTTCCTCATCTCTTCGAATTTGTCCGCCATCTGGAAATGCTTAAAATATTTTCAAATAAAGCATTGAAACTGCTACCAAACCAACCAGTCAGGAGTAAGAACTATAACAAGACGATTACCTTAAACGGCAAGTCAATAAAGAAGCCGAATAAGATTCCTTCGACTGCAAAAGTAGAACCAAAGGTTTATTTGGCAAATGAGAGGACTTTTATTTCTTATTTGAATGTCTCTGTTTTGTTGCTGACTTTGGCCTTGACGATGTACAATACGTCGTCAGACAATCTCACTAGGTGGTTTAGCGGTGTCTATATAGCTATATCATTAGCTATCATCATTTACAGCTATATTATATACAATAAAAGATTGGAAATGATAAACAACAAATCTAGCAGTCATTTCGATCAACTTGCCGGTCCATTGTTCATCTGCGCATCTTTATTCTTATCAATTATTTACAATTTCTACATTAGAATTCCCTTTTAAATATATTGAATCTCTTCTTATTCCTGTTGTCAACCTCAATAGGTGGATATTCATTCAGCAACCATTTAAATTCTTCCTTTATCAATCCGTTGTAGTATTCTGGACTCACACACCATGGTGGCCCTGTAGCTCCTTCCCCTTCAATCGGTCTATCTTCAATTGGGAATACTATAGATAACAACAATCCACCTGGTTTCACTAATTCTGCCATTCGCTTTTTATACTCTTGTCTTTTATTAGGATTCAATGCACAAAAGAATGTCTACCAGTTTGTTAGTTGTGTCTTTATTGTAAGCTACACCAACATAGTCGTAAACGACGTCATATTGTCCGATATCGCAAGTGAAGAAGTCATCACAGATGAAGGATGTCTTTCCATTCAAACCTTGCTTACTGTACCATTCTTCTGCCAACCTGATGCCTTCTGGAGAGAGATCTAAGCCTACTGTTTCATAGCCGAGACTGCCGAAGTAGACTGCATCGTAGCCTTTTCCACAACCAGGGATTAAAACTCTCACACCCTCCTTTGCTGGTGGAAGATCTACCTTATTATTCTCTATATAATGTCTCAACAATGGCTGAACTTGGCCGTTATCCCATGGTGGCGAGTCAGTCAACTTCCAGACCGCTTCCCAGCCGAGATCACCATTCTCTTTCATTATTTTCTGCCTTAGGTAACACATAAGCGATGCATTTTGAAGTTTAAATCCTTACATTGCCGCTCTGTCTGTCATTTTCGCTTACGTAATTTTAAAGTCACGAGAAGACATTATCAGTCATTTCTAACAATCTGAAAATTATCAAAACAAATTTCTAAGTAAATAAAATTCACAAAATTTTTAAACAATCTTTACCAAACGTATGGTATAAATTTATATGGAACTCTACGGCAGTATTCTTCCCAATCTTCACCATATTTTTGTGAGCATCTCTCAAAGTCTCTTCCACATCTGTGAACGAGAACAATGAAGAACCAAACAGAATACCAGTGTGGAATTGGTGGTGATGTCAAGAATGGAATACCAGTTGAGAAACCCCATGAAGTAGCTTGAATCCAATCAGCGCAGTAATTTGGTTTTCTTGCGTAAGCCCATGGACCGGAAGTTAACAACTTTGAACCATGTTGAGTTTGAACAAATGTTGGGTTCTTTGGTGTAGCACCTGGAATTTGTGGGAATGTCTTTCTAAACTTGTGAATACCTTGTTGTTGCATTTTGAATCTACTCTTTTGTGCCATCGCGAGATCGAAAATTGTGTAACTAGTGAGAAGGACACCAAAGAGGAGGGTGTAAGTTACCCAGCTCCAGCTGTATTCCTCTGGACGGTGGTTGAGGAGATAAAGAACTGGGTAGCAGTATGTGAATGGTACACCCGCAAAGTTCCAGAAACAGAGCATGTATCCGAACTTCTCCCAAGCCATATCCCAAGTTTGTGGAATACATTCTTCACCTTTAGCACATGCGTTGATGTAAAGACCTGTAGCAAGTACCATGAAGGCCATGTTTGGACTGACTGTACCATATTGGTCGTATTGCTTGCATGCACCACTAACGGCAATACCGAAGAGTAAAACCCATGGAACACGTACCTCTGCCCACATTTTGATGTCAACACCTAAGAGGCGTGGATTAAGGGAGGCACCCATGAAGAAATCGTAGAAGAAGTTGCCGGACATACGCAATGGTTTGCCGAATAAGACGGTGAGTACGTATATCAACAAAGAGCAACCATATCCAACAATGATAGCGACTGTCATCAATGGACCAAAGTTATCGACAATTTCGCTAAGACGGAATGTGTGGGTGAGGTGCAAACCGGCTGAAATCAACAATGTTGCGTAGAAGCAACTGAGGGCGTTACAGTTGTAATCTAAACTCTTGTACTTCAATGAAGGTACAGGGAGACCTTTTTGCTTGAATCCAGGCATGACGACTGCCAAAACAAATTCCATGGTCATCAATCCGAGGTATATTCCCCATGCTTTTTTGTGTGGGTATGCGTGTTCCTTTGCGTACTCCCAAAGGTATTTCAAGAGCGGTACGACATCCGCTGTACTCTTAGGATAGAGGAACCATCCGTCGTTCGCTTGCATACAGATGTAGAAGTAGTACATCAAAAGTGGGAAGCCAATCATCATAGCTACGACACCAGCTGGACCACCAAATTCATATCTATAACAAATTAGCCGTTTCCCTTCGCCAAAAAGAACAAACGCACTCTTGATGTTCGAAGAAGTGCTTTTTATCAGTCTTCCTTCCTTCTCTACTAATAGTTGGTGCAGCGGTTGATGCTACGGACGCTATTGACTCGTTATCGCTGTCGTCTTTCGCGCGACTACGCAGCTCGTTGGACATGATTGAAATCAGCTGAGAATCAACACATTTCAGAAAATCATAAAACGTCATGAAAATATCGTTAAAATTACAAAAGACGCTGTAGTTCATCATCATGAGCGCTTAATATATCCCCATCCACTACATTCTGATCTTGCCTCGTTCCAACTTCTTGTCTCACTTTAACGCGGCCGCCGTTTAAACCTTCGTAACTTGAATCAGCAGATGCTAGAGCACAAATTGCTCCCGCAGATGTTCCATATATAGCCAATGGTTGTAATTTATCGCCCGACCTAGTCTTTGCACGCTCAATCGCTGAGACGTTGTCGGGTAGTTGAGCAAGTGTTCGAGACGTGATCCCAGATGATGTACGGTCGAGCGCAAATAAATGGAAGCGGATGTCAGCACCTAATGTAGTAAATGTCTCCTCATTTCCATCGTCAAGTGCGACGACAAGAGAGCTCCAGCGTTGGGCAGTATCGTAGCCCACTTGGGTGAGTGCACCGCGTTCAGTGTCCAACTGAAGGTATATCGCACTTTTGAGGAAGTCCGCGACAACGAGAATCTTCCCTACCGACGTTAAAGATACGACAACGAATGCATTCCCGTAACTGGCGATGAACCTCATTTTATAAGTATCATCCCGTATGCTCTCAATGTCATACACCCGTACCTACCAGATATTAAAACAAAGCTTCTCGAAAGGACAATATTCTTACCTGATAGTTGACTGCCACAGCCAGCTTTTGATCAATACCGCAGACGGCATAGACACATCCAGGGACTAAGAAGCTACTAGCAATAATGAACTTGTCATCCTTAACTAATAGTATAATAAAGCGACCTTTTGTAGCTTCTTCCGTTCCCTCAGTTTCGTTATTGTAATACGTTCCTACAACGAATACCTCCATATTTGCAATGCTGAGAGACTCAACCACAGAAACTATCTCATCTTTCTCCATCTCCATCTGAGCAAGCTGCTCATAATTATTGTCAAGAAGTTTTACGCAGCTGCTACTCTCGTAAAGTGTACGATCACTTCTGTAAGCATTTCGCACGCATCCCACCGCATACCTGTCTTCTTTATAGGCCACTTGGCGTGGTACGTCAGCTCCCATTTCTATAGAGTGTATATGTACTCTGTTCTCCGTCGAGAGGATTCGAGAGAACTTCAACTGATCATTTTGTACGAATACATAATTGACCATGTCATTAGTTTTATAGCTTGTGAGACCATTTATGTACTTGTTAACACATCAGACATGTAAAAAGTTATGAACTACTAGATACTCACGTTAATATTGATAGAAGAATATCTCAACCGAGTGTTATCAAGGGTAACGATAGAGGGAACATCGCACAAGGCGAATATGAGCCCATCGTTAGACCTGGTGAGACAAACAGGTGTGCTACCAATAGCAACAGTTTGAATATCCACGCTTTTGAGGTGTTCATCAAACCTGAATGCGTATAGTGACCCGTCAGCACTACCAGCTAGCACAACCTTGTTTTCAACCAGAAGTGATAATATTGGTGTATCATCGCGCGATTTGCACGAATATATCAGCTCATTACTGCGTGAATCGACAATATTCACACTATAATCTGTCCAAGTCGTATAAACTATGTGATTATCGTCGAGGATCGCGTAGGTTGCTGCATGTTCTGGTTTATGAAGATTCCTTGCATAAAATGTCAGACATAAGAGAGTAAACCCATTGAATAACACACCTTCGCTGTCCCTTTTGATGTAATACCAGACCTTCGACGCCGACAACCAAAACACTCTCGAGATCTTCGCTAACTGACACGAAATCTATTTCCGTTTCCTTTCGCTCGACTAGATTTCCACTGTCATCAAAGATAGTGAGCAAGTTCGACTGATATATACCATGTCTGCCACCACTAGAGACAACGCTCAGTGTAGGCATATCACGTCGTACATCCTGATATGCAACGGATTCATCGAACGTACCATATAACCCATTCGGAATGTCGTATATCTTCGTCGTAGATAGATAAGAGACAAGTAAATGACTACCTAAAATGAAGACATTGCTTATAGAATCTCCCAATCCCACTTGATAGATATCGCACAAGCCAATTCCAGTAGTGACGACTCTCAATTTCCCTGTCTTATTGCTGCCCGAGCATACCACAAGTTGACCCTGTATACCATCCGGATGTGTGAGAGCCATGTCAGAGACTGGTGCCAAATTTGTGTAATTCTCTAACTCCACTATGCGTACCGGGTTTGTCTGCACAACGAGGAGTTTCGAATCTTCATTCTGGGATCCGAGGAAAAGGAAACCGCTGCCAAGATGCTGTAAGGTTGAGGCCACACTTGAGTTGCCAACCAAGGTGATTTCGAGGAAATTGCTAATAGATATGTAGTAGATATCTCCCTTCTCGTCTCCAATGAGCCAAGCAGTACAAGAATCATTTACCGCCGTATATCCCCTTACGGCTGCCATGGGGGACTTAACTGAAAGATGCTCCATATCGACAACTTGAGGACTTGTTACCGTCGTTGAAGACTTCCGACGTACTCCTTTGAGATCCTTCTTAGGTATTTCGTAATATTCGCAGCCGAATGCACCTATTACAAGCACTGCTCGTTTCTTGCCTTCCACGGCGACTATTTTCTGAGCTGACGGACATTGGGTTTCTATTCGAAGAACTGTTTGGGATATGTCGACATAGTCTTCCTTGCATATCAGATGCTCAAAAACGAGTAATGGGTTATCGACGTCCGCCGACTGCACCAGACGACATAAAGTTGGTTTTTCATCTTTATCAGTAGCTAGGAATGCCATTGATAGGACCACACTATGATCTATTTGGCTGTTGCGTCCGTCGATGATATGTGTCTTCCTTCTATCGTCATAGCTAAGCTTGAAAGCGTGCAATTGACCTTGCCAGAGATGACTAACACCTATTTGCGTACTCTTATCCACTATCGAATTGCAATATTCGTAACTGGGCTCGCCTGTAGTTTCAACCAGCATCTTTGTACACTCCACGATATGCTTTATTACGCCATTTTCGTACGATAAGCTCAGAATGACGAGCTGAGCTTGTGGGTGGTCCAGTGTGAGTAATAAACTCTCGTGGGTCTGTATCGACATTAGGTGAATACTCCAGTATGACTATCTACATACCTGGAATATAATCTTATCTATTCCTATCACTCGTCCATTCACATCTACTCTACCGATCTCGCTAATCCCATCTGTCATACTCCCCGAGTAAACTATCAATTGAGAAGTTGAGGCTGCCACTAAAACCTTTTCTTTATTGTTATTGCTATCTAGAATATCATAGAATATACTAGCGGTTATCGCATGTGTTTTTACTATCGTTTTATTGACCAATACCATGGCCGTTAGTCTGAGAGATGGATGATGCAATAGTAGATCTATATTTTACAATAAAACTTGACATGCGGCAGACGTGGATAATGATTTATTAGGCAGGACTATGCAGCTCCTTATCAAGACATCCCTCGTTACGAGGACGTCGCAGGCTGGTTCTTGTCTTAGTTTTCTTATCATAACTCCTTATACACTCACCGAGGATGCATATTCCAGATTGTGTTGGTGCTGATTCATCACCTGTGAATGGTTGTCCTTCTACACGTGCCCATGGTGCTAATCTACAGCGAGCACCTATGATCGAATAGACTATACAACCGTGTGCCTATCCATTGTCAAATGTTGCATTTCAAGAGCTGCCATACTAACCTCCACAACTGTGTTTCTTTGGATGATCGAATGTGCGATTCTTGCGCCCTCTTTAATCACGACATTTGGGCCTATAGACACAAATGGTCCAATTTTACATCCTTTGGAGATGGTAGCAGATGGCTAAAGACGGTTAGCTATGTTTATCACAGAAGCACTTCGCCTTACATCGATTGTCACTGGTTGGATGATCTCAGCATGGTCGCTCTCGCTTTCTGCTGGTTCACTATAGAGTAGTTTACTTTGTTTAGATTGATATTGACCGAGGTATAAGGCATTAGCAGGTAGTGCAGATCCCGCACTCTTGATTGGTCTCCACGGGACGTCAGTCTCAAATACATACATCTTCTGCGCATCTGCTAATGGTCTTATCACGTCCTGCTCTAATCTGAGTATCTCCTCATCGAAACCAATCTCCTCGGATGCAAGTTGCTTGTAGTAGTGACTATCCATGATTGCCTTTATCTCGCTAAACAGACTGACGTCAAAGAGATAAACGCCGGTGCTGACGAGGTCTGACACAAAACTATCTGGTTTTTCAGCATAATGGATCGCCAATGCGTTCTCATTGCTGACGATACAACCGTACTTATGTGCAACGTCTTTATTTACACGAGCTGCCTGTATTGTTCCTACACCCCTATGTCTTTCGTGGAAGCTCCTCAAATCGTTAAGTGGGAATGCACAAGCGATGTCGCTGTGTATGACAAAGAAAGCAGTTGGTGAGCCCTTTGCGATAAGGTCTCTGAAATGGTATGTTCCTGAAAAAGTAAGTGAGACAGATCCAAGAGCCAGTAGAGAACACACCACCACCAGTACCGAGTTCCTGCCATTCTCGGAGGTACCTGACGTTGAAATGGTCCTTGAATTCAATGTTGCTCTCGTTGACGAATGCAGCGAATGTTTCCTCGGGCCAGAAGCCAATAAGGAAGACTTCCGTGCAGTCGCTTACTTCTGATAAAGCTTGTAATTGATGCCAAATCATAGGTTTACCACCGAGTGGGAATAATGGCTTGACTTGTCAGAGTGTGATAGAATATATTCTATATACTCACTTTAGGCATGTCCTGTGCTAAATTGAGTGGTCTGAAGGTAGTACCCCTACTAGGACCACCTGTGAGTATCTAAAGGCTATCAGAAGGTATTCCCTCCTTATAAAATATCGTCATACAACTGCTTTTGTCACCATCCTGAACGTTCAAGTTTAACCATCAAGATGGCATCTATTGTAGTAACAAAAATAGCAACTGGAACAACAGACGAACAAATAGTAAAGTTCTTTTCTTTCTGTGGAAAGTGAGTCTTATTATTTACGCTATACATCGCTTATTTACCGCTAAATAGAGTTAAGTCGTCTAGCTTTGAGCAAGATACGACCCACAGGACTGCTTATATAGAGGTGAGTGTATTATTATTGTATAACAACCTATTAACCTATACGCAGTTCGAAAGAGGTATCACTTTTTGCTCCACAGCATGTAATTCACTAACAAACACTCAGAATCTGCTGCTCGTACTGCACTCTTACTCAACGGTGGTAATCTCGAAGGATCCCTTATTGAAGTATCCTCTAAAGAAGTCTCAAATACCTCACCAGCTGCGTCACCAGCTGCGACTACTGATAAGGCATCACAAGCAGCCGCGATGGAAGTAGACACTATTAATGATAATGTTGCACAGGAGGATAAGCCACGTACAGCTATCCTCGCACAATATTTGGCACACGGTTATCACATCGGTGACGAGGCTATTCAGAAAGCTATCGACTTAGACACTAAGCATGGTATTTCTAGCAAGTTTATCACATACATAAAGCAACTGGATACCGGTGTCGGAAAGAAGACTGGCGAACAACCACTTTCTTCACAGCTCTATGAGAAAGCACAGGGCTTGTTCGGTAAGGCCAAGGAAATTGACAATCAGAAGGGTATCTCAGAGAAGAGTACAAGCTGGTTTGGTCCATACTACCAGAAAGCTCTCGCTTCTCCATATGCAGCCAAAGTGCAAAATTTCTACACCAATGCCTCAAAACAGGTTTTGGATGTTCACGAGGAAGCACTCCGTATCGCTGCACAGAAGAAAGAAACCTTCGTTAGAGACGGTGGTGATACCAACGCTACAACAATCGCAAAGGCTCCTGCTGACACTGATGAGAAGAAATCTGCTTAGTTTCACTTCTTTTTCTTAATAGTTTTACGAGTATTCTTATGTCATATTACGATTGATATGTTACATTTAGGTATATTAACCATTTAGTGAGTATTTACCCAGTTTGTCATCAGCTTTAGCCTGGTTGTACATCGCCATTAGCTTTTCCCACATCTCATGACCTGGACCATCACCGAATGAGGGATCTTTCATCCATTCGAGCCCGTGTTGGAGAACACCAATTGCACGATGAGAGCCTCCCCTTAGATCACCATACGAACCGTGGAGAGTTGCGCGCGGTGGTGAAGGAGGCGTGCAAGGGTACTGTAAGATTGTTAGTGTTACCAACTTTACTGATTGATCTCCCACCTGAGCACAATGGAGAATATTTGCATCGTAGAATAGTATCTGACCGGCTTTGAGATGTACTTGTATTGCGCCTGGCATTTCAGCTGGATTATCTGCAGGTTTTGTTTCGCAACTGAGCGCTCTTTGGGCTGGAGATCTCACCATCTTGTGCGATTTTGGCACGATCCATAAACAGGAGTCATCGTATAATGCAGCATTGAACTGAACACCGTAATGTGGTGTTGTTAATGCATCCCTCTCCTCTTGCTCGTCTGCAGAATGTAAAACATGATCACGATGCCAGGATAAATTGAAGGATGAACGCGTAGGGAGGATAAGCATATTGAAGAGTTCCATTTGGAGATATTCTGGTGAGCATCCAACCAGATTTGCTGCTAATTCTACAAGCTTGTCTGAAGCATAGAATTGTCTGAAAATTGGCATCTTCAAGTCTGGATGCATAAGATGCTGTACACCCCAGCTATCAGGTGAATCTTCATCGGTCCATGGTGGAAATTGCTTGCCTACTACACGCCTATAAGGCCAATTGTGTGTTCTTGTCAAATTGATCGCATCATTTGCAGCCTGTCTGAGTTTGTCGATTTCTTGACTATCTATGAAACCATCTATTATAACATAACCATCGTTTTCTAAGTAGTTTTTATATTCCATCGTTCTTGTACTTATACTATCACGTCAAATGATAAGTTCATTAAGAGCAGCTAGCCGAGTACCGATAGCGGTGCAGAGAGGTCAGCAGCGCAGAAAATTCGGCGCATTAGCAGTACCATTTTTGGAAATACCTAATATCTTACCATTCACTCCAGCTTATGCTACCACTATCGTCCTTCTCTCACTAGGTTTGCGTGCTGGTATAACACTACCTTTGTCAATTTGGCAGAGAAAGCGTACATATAGACTAGAGCACCATGTTAAACCTGCTCTCGACGTATGGGCTATTGAGAATAAAGACAAATGTAGACGTGATTGCAAAGCTGCAGGTATGAGTTATGAAGCCTACACTAAAGAGTGGACGAGAATGTACAAATCACAGCGTAGAGCTCTCGCGAGAGCTCACAATTGCTCTGTTTTACCAACAATAATTACACCACCATTGATTGGTATACCGATATTCATCATCGTCAGTAATACCATAAGAGTAGCCTCAAGCGTGGCCCTCACAGAGCCCGAGAAGTGGTCATTAGCAACTGAGACGCTCTTCGATTACCCAAGTTTAGCCATTCCAGCTACAGATCCAACCGTTGCACTCCTTATCGGTGCTAGTTTCTTAATTAACACCGAAATCAATTCAAATTTGAGAAAGAAATTACTCGAAATACGGACACCTAGTTCGCCAACAAACGTCGACAGTGAACAAAAGGATGTCTCACAAACACCACAAGAGAATAACTCCAGAATGGATATGAGTGTCCACGAGAAAGGAGTCACTATCCTTCTTCGTAGTCTTAGTTTGGGAATGAGCTGGTTTGCGCTCAGTATACCACTCTCTTTGGCCTTATACTGGTTGACGAGCGGTGTATTCTCAGTCGGACAAACAACAATACTCGGTCTGATGAGCAACAGAGATGCAAAAAATCATGTAAAGAATGATATCGAACGTCTTCGCGATATCAGAATACAAGAATACCGTCGCTTCGAGGAGAAAAAGAAGTACGCGAAGTTAAGAAGATAATCTGTAAGTGACAAATACAGTCATAATGTGATGAAATATAGGATTTTGCATACACCCCTTGACTTACACCTTGTGGGCGTAGATGTAAACTCAACTTGATCTAATCTGATAATGACTTACTTTATACCAAGTAACTAACCAGTACCTTTGACAGGGATATAGAACTAACAATAAATTATACATATAGATAATCATTACAATTCCTTATTTGACGGCGGTTTTTGAGCGTGTGTGTGCACTCGCGTTATCCTTTTCTGCAGACCCTTTTTGTCTAGCTAGATTCTTCTTATCATCTTTATGCATCCATTTGAGAAGGGACGAAGATGCACTGGCTATGCCCTTGGTTGTCTCAATGAGATACATTCGTGAAAGATTTTACACCCACAATATACCAAACTATACTTGGGATAACATCTAACTTAGAGTGCAAGTATAGTGAGAGATTTGTGTAAACATCCATATAACGCGCGCTATAGCTTGTCAAAGAAGCCAAATTATACAATCATTCAACTTACTATTTTCCTTCATAGCTGAACTCGGAGTCCCAAATAGGAAGATCTTTGTAGCCTTTCTCTAGCAGCAACTTACGCAAGTTTGTCGATGACGGAGTATAATGATATGGTGACATAAAGCGCAGAGTACGTCCATTATCGTCTGTGAATACATAGATCGGTACTTGGAAGAGCAACCAACGTGTGCTCAAGCTGCGTATATCGTTTCCATCTGAGTGTTCCATTAATAATGTTTCATAATGTGGCCTTCTCTTACAATCTGCTCTGCCGAGCTTGATATTATCGTCATCGCGTGTTTCTTCTGCAAGGTTATTGAATGATTCTTTCAATAAACGCTCAAACTCGTCCTGTTTTCCCGATGTGCTTGTGCACTGTTAGCGAGGGACTATCGCGCCGACAAGAAAACCCACATGAGGATGAGCCAGACGTTATCCTGATTGCTATTCTCTACTAACAACTATACGAGCACTTAGATTCGTCATATAGCACTCTAAATTCCTACCTTCCATTGACTGTCATTGATATTGTGTGCATATTCGCTCAACTTGTTCTGCTCTTCTATCTTCTGAGTGACATTAATACCAGTAGCTTTACCGACTAGATCTTCTACTATTCCTGCGCTAGTTATTGACAACAAAAGGCAAACTGATAAGCAAATCCAAATGACGTTCTTCATTGAATGATGGTCTCAGTCTAAGAACAAATAAATTAAAAAATCTACAAAAAGCCATTATTATTTTAATCAAATGTGATCTTTGTACCAGCGGATGGTTGATTGATAGCACCACTGGCTTTCTCTGAACGCTGGGCGTTCGCGAGTGCAGCACCAGGTTTGGCACGCTTTGGTTTACGGTTATCTGGGCGCTCATTGGTGTCCTCCTTTTCAGCTTCCTTATCATATTTACGCTTCTTCTGCTCACTTCTATCTTGTCCGAATTGTACAACAAGGTCTCTTCCGTACATTCTGTGGTTGTGTGAATCACACAATGCAGACGTTGCCTGTGTAGTATTCTTAAAGTCGATAAAGCACCATCCTTTGCATTTACCGCTGTCTGGGAAAGTACCAAGTCTAATTCTTTTAACACCAACATCCAATTTGCTTTCTTGGTCAACTTTTTGCTGCTGTTTTTGACGCGTGTGTAACTTCTCAGCGTTGGATATAAGCCAGCTTTTTATTGACTCCTCTGTGGTTTCAAATGATAAATTACCAAAGAACAACGTTGGGTTTGGCTTGTTTTGTTGACTGCTGAGTATTTTCTTACTGAATTTACTCAAATCATTCTCATTTGATACTCCCTCAGGCAATTGTGGCTTTGGTCTACCACCGAAGTCACTTGCTGATTTTATGAGAAGTTTTCTGCCATCGAGATTGTTCTCAGATTGAGCTATAACTTTGTTCATGATATCCTCAGTTGTAATATCAACGTAAGCGAATCCCTTATTGTGTTCATGGGCTCTCTGACCTTTTGGCATATTGATTCTGGTAATAACATCCTCAGATTCTTGTATATTTGTGGATATCCACTCGAATAACCTCTCTCTTGTAGTCTTAAATGACAAATTGCCTATCCATACAGCATAAGCTGATCTCTGCGGTCTGCTTTCTACTTTCTCTGTCTTCTCTGAATCTTCTTTCTGCTCTGAAGATTGCTCGGTATCAGCTTCTGGCTTTTCTTTCGCTAATGCTTCGGCTCTACGCTGTTTTCTTCTCTCCTTGTGACCTATATGCTGTTAATAGAGAGTTCCTAGAAAGTGAATAGCTACCAACTCAAGGCTTTTTCTTGAGGTTCTTCTGGCTGTTCTTCAGCAATTTTCTCAGGCTGTTCTGCTAGAGATTCTTTATCGCTATCGCTGCTGCTCATTGTTGACAAAGTTCATCGACGATAAAAATGTCAAACGAGGAGAATAAATTTAAAAATTCTTTATTGAATAGGTTGAACTTTGGTGGTAGACTTTATAAATTACAAGACGCTGATTTGGACAATATAGAGTCATATCAGCACGACAATAACCTCAACGACGACAACAACGACAATAACGATGAAATAACAAACCTGGAAGTTAGTAAACAGTCAATAATCTATTAACTTTTAATAAAATCCAACAGGTTGACGATCAAACGCGTCAGAGACGACTTGACAAATTCGGCGGTGTACAACCTGATGATATCCCAATGAGCGCAGCAGTGGATGAGACTCCAATAGAGCCGGAATCTGCAGAGGAGAATGTTACCAAAGATGTTAAACCGGACGCTACCGTCAGACCATACGCTCTTTTCCTTACTGGTGAAATCATAGGCAAGCTGTCAACTCAACAGTTGTTAGCTTACGCATCGGAATTCTCTGAACCACCACCCTACGGTATGGAATGGATTGATGACCACCGTTGTGTTTTCGTTTGGCATGAATCACAAGATTTCAGACAAGGTTGGAGGGGTTTGCTAGTCGATATACCGGAAACCGGTCTACCAAGACACGGACAAGATCACTATTTTGACCTCCTTCCAGCCAGGAATGTACCTTCTACTCTCAGCAAAATCGAACCAAAAGATGATTCAGTTCAGATACGCGTCAGACCAGCCACACTTGGAGATGTAAAGCGCAAAACTCAGTACAAAAACTCTCAATGGTATAGCAGCCACGGTAGAAGGGCTGGTAAGATCGGTGACTCCCCTCCACGTCCCGAGAGAAGCAGGAGAGAGGTTAGTCCTGACAGATGGCAAAATGATAAGGCGGATTTGGACGCAGAGCTCGATGGTATCAGCAGGGGTGACTATAGGCAGCGTTCACCTCCAAGGGACAGATCTAGAGGCAGAGGCAGAGGTAGAGGCAGAGACAGAGATGACAATAGAAGACGTCAACAAGTGAATGCAGACGACCTCGACAAAGAGTTAGAAGATTACCTTTCAAGTAGGAATTAATAAATCATTACATTACATCTGTACAAATACACCATTCTTAACAGGCAAGAAATTGTCCGAATATTTTGCAAATACTTTGCCTTTTAATAGCGGTAGAGCGACGGGTCCGTAGCTTCTACTATCACGTGAGTTTGTAAGGTTATCGCCTGTCAACCAGACGTGATTCTTTGGTACTTGGATGTACCGACTCTCTTCATCATCAGTGATATCCTGGAAACGCTTCGTCATTTGTAAATAGAGAGGGTCTCGCAATATCCTATCGCCAGGGAAACCAACCACGCGTTTACAGATACTCTTATCAGGTTGGTCTGGTGTGATTGCAACGACGAGATCTCCACGTCGTATACCAGTTCCATACTCTTTTCTGAGTTGTTGTAATACAGTTTTGCCCTCTTCTGTCGTATTATCGAATACATCATTCTGGAGACCTTTCTTTACGGATATTGGTTCGTGTAGAAGCCATGCACCGGATGATTCTATAGTTGGTATCATAGAAATGCCATAGCTGAGCTGTATATCTGCGAAATACATTCTAAATATCTCTGCACCGCACCAAATCTAATAACGTCAATTCCATTATCTTCTCTCGTACACTGCTTACTTGTAAAGTTAATAGAGAAGATCTTAATGCGATTCTAGAAATTTGTCGACGGTTATTCCATATCGACTTAATCATTTCTTTCTACTCGACAGTGAAGAAGTAAAAGTATGAGTGATGCACCAGAAACGGTGAAAATAGATAATACACCACCTCCAGGACAGAGTTATGATAAATATAAGAAAGCCTTCGAGATGATATCCTTAGATGATGTTAATAGAATAGAGAATGTACCTTGTATGCGGAACGCACTGTTATACGGTATAGGTGGTGGTATGGCATTTGGTGCTATACATTTCATATCAACCAGGCGTTAGTTTTGTTATTATTGACCTAACGATCATTAACACCCTCTAGGGATAAAAAGCAGTTGGAATTGGACATTCGCTAGCGCTATGGTCGTAATGGTTGGAACCTGGCAACACTGTCGTAGTAGAAGAACTGAGGAAATGGATAAAATGCGTCAAATTACTGAGAAATACTCTGATCATCACATTTCAAACCTCAAACGTAAGAATGACGAAGCGAGAAGACAATTCAAAGAACGTAAAGAGCAAGAAGAGCGAGTACAATACAGTTGGTATAATCCTAAGCGATATTTTTCATAGAATATATTAACATTCCCATAACTCTTTCCTATAATTCTCAACCAAAGCGCTTTGATCTCCATATTTTGCTTGAAATTGAGTGAAACCACCTCTTAAGACGTATATCTCTTGTGGTTTTGCATCAGGAAGTAAATTTTTCCTTGTCTCTGCATAAATCCTGGCTGACTTAGGACCCCTAACTTGTGATAATGCGCAATGGAAGACAACCTTTGGGATTTCTTCGCTTTCCTTAACGAGATTGTGCACTCCATCTAGGAAACTCCTAGAAGGTACGTTCTTAGCGCCTTTAATGTTACCACCCTGTGTATCCTTAGTAAATTGATAACTGAACAAAACAACATACGAGGAAATCTTCATCACGAACATCAACGACTAATAACTCTGAAGGCTTGCCAATTAAATCAACAATTTCCTTATCGTTTACAAATTCATAAGGCAATCCGAAAGACATCTTGACTGTCAACAATCAAGAGCGTCTATGTCTTCATCGAGTGAATCTAGCGTTGAAGAGGATTATGAGGGATGGCTATCAGATGATGTAGAGAGTAAGAAAACAATTGGACTGACTCTTAACAAAGAATTTGATACACCAGCGGCTGCATTAGAATTTGATAAGCAAAATGGTTTAGATTTACTTGAATTGATTAAGAAATTGGATTTAGATTATTATAATCAGATTAGACTCATTAACTTTATTAGAAAGAATGGAAAGGATGCAGTTTCATCAGTCAAACCAACTGACGAATTTTTCAAGAACGACGAATACTTGATTCCAGTCATAGAAGCTGATCCTTTACTTTTCCAACTCGACAACCAAGATGACTGGAGTGACGATGAGAAGCCTGTAGATAACACAGAGGAGAGAATCACAAAATTACAGCAGCAACTCAATCAATCAGCTACTTTCATCAATAACAACCTCCTTAATGACAACTTTGTCGATAATGAATACTTTGAAAGCTACGATTACAACGAGATACACGAGACTATGATTAAAGATCACGTTAGAACAGCTTCATACGCAGAATGGATTCTTAATAATAAAGATCTGATCAAAGATAAGACCATCATGGATGTAGGTTGCGGTACTGGTATTCTTTCTCTTTTGGCCGCAAAAGCTGGCGCTAAAAAGGTTTACGCTATTGATGCCTCAAATATCGTCGATAAAGCTAGAGAGAATGTCGCAAACAATGACCTAAGTGGTACAATTGAAGTTATTAGAGGCAAAGTCGAAGAAATCAAACTCGAGGGTGTCACAGTAGATGTCATTATATCCGAATGGATGGGTTATTTCTGTGAGTCTAGAAGCGATAGCAATGAAGAAACTAACAATTCCGGTAGTACTTTTCGAAGCTATGCTTGACAGTGTAATTGTCGCTAGAGACAGCTACTTGAAACCAGAAGGTGTCATGGCTCCTTCACATATGCGTATAGTTTTAGGTGCCGCCTCAACACATTCATGGTGGAATGAAAGAGTCGCTTTCTGGGATAATATCTATGGTTTCAAGATGAGTGGAATGCCAAAAACAATCTTTAGATCAGCACAAGTTGAGTCATTTGATGATGATTCTTTGATTAGTGATAGTGTAGGACTTTTGGACATTAACACTAAAACACAAAAAGCAAAAGCTTTGAATTTCAGCTCACCGTTTAGCTTGACAATCAAGAAAGATGAAACTATGCATGGATTATTGGGTTGGTTTGACACATTCTTCACTGATTCTAAGCAACAAGAAACACCAAAGGATTGTAATTCACAAGATCCACCATCTATTGATGCAATTCTTAAGGATACTGGCGAGAACCATAAGGATGTTTCATTCACAACTGGCCCACACGGAACAGAAACACACTGGAAGCAGACACTCTTCCCATTCCAAAAACCCTTACATGTAAAGGAAGGTGATAAGATTTCAGGTACTTTCACATCAAAGAAGAGTGACAGAGGTCTAGAAATGGAAGTTGTATGGAAACACAATGATAACGAAGAGATAAAGTCTTGTTATAAATTAAACTAGAAGTAATTTATTGATTTTCATGTTTGCTAATACAACAGAGGTTTTGCAATTAATAAATATATAAATGTCTGTATAGTATGAAAGTATAGGTCATCATGCAATTAAATCAGTCACTTTCCATTGCTTCATCTTCGTCACTATCAAGAGTATTCATCTGATCGCCTATATCATTCATTAGATCAAAGTAAGCTTGAATTTGAGCTTCATGGTCAGCATCGCTCTTCATAGATTTGGTAGCGCCAGGAATTATATCATAAGGTATCTGTTTGACTTCATCCCTGCTCGTTATCTGTCTATCACCAAATGTTGATTTCTTTTTTGGTTTATATTCAATGAATTGCTTGTCAGTAAATCCATACATTGATTTAAGATTATTTCTGACAGCTATGCAAATTGAATATATAACACTCAACCTTCTTTCATTTTGGTTGGTATCAGCATTTTCAATATCATCTCTTAATTGTTCACCATGTGTTGCGATATAAGTAGATAACATCCTACCGACGAATAAAACATCCTCATTGTGTTGATAATTGAATGTGAGAAGGTTATCAGCAATGAAGCGAGACAACTGAATGCTATGATCTGTAACAGTAGTCGTCGCTGGGTTTTTATCAAAGAATCTAAGTATACCACTTAAGAAATCGAGCTTCGCTGGTCGCTTTTCGCTCATGAGTCCAAACCAGGTTTCGAGAAGTGCACGATTGTTTCTCATCCCAGATAAATTTCCCGTGATCAGGTAGTGGTAATCGAATGCTTTTTCAATTGTAAGAATGTGGTGAGTGTTGAGAACAGATGCGTATTTGTTGTATAATGTCACATGTAAATCTCTTGCTTTTGCAGATATTGCGCCTGAAGGACTAGTTTGAAGTGCAACGAGCGTAGGTACGAGCTATGAAATGGTTAGTGTTTACTTCAAGTTCATCAACAAACATACATCTATTGGGTGAGTCAGACCTTGTTTTACCACATACCCCAAAACATCAATAGCAGGTAAACTCGTATTGGCCGTATTAGACAAAGCCGATGCGAGGATCGGTTTAAGGTAGCGTTGTAAAATTCGTGGACCGACACTATGATTGGTTAATATAATTTCTTGCAGAATTTCCAACATACTTTGAATCATTCAGTTGGTCCGCATCGCCGATAAGATGCTCCACTGTAATTGCATTCTGTTTAGCATCAACTTCGTCAACCTTCGCATTTTTCTTCTGTTCATCAACTTTGAGATATTCTTGGAAAACAAGGAGCAATTGGGAATGGTCTATTCTCTTAGTTGGACTTGTATCAGCAAATACATTATCCATGATTGCGATTGATTCCTCTTCGTTCATAAGATAAGGATACCCGACAAAGATACATCCCAAGCCACGTAAACTGATAGCTTGTATTGCTGGATCGTCCACTACCCTTCTCACATCGATTAATAATCTCCAAATTAAATCTTGTATAGCCACACCCCTTTCATTCTCTTCTGGTGCTAGCGACGCAACAAGTTTGTCAAGATCGCATGCCGCATTATAGTACTGCTGTTGTGCTCTTCTACTAATGTTCATATCGTCATAGTTACGAACACTTTCAAAATCACAGTGTTCGACCAACAGACCCATAATAATTATTAAAACTTTACACTTCGAGATACCATCTACTGTGCGTGTCCTTTCATCTAAAAGTTGATGTGTTTCGAGTGCCGCTTTCATAAGCATTCTTGAGAGTGATACGAATGCGTAAGTATGAGTGTTTACGACACTACACAAACAAGCTACTGCTTCGGAAAGTGCCTGACTCTATCAGTAAAAATGGCAGAAGTATAGCCAAACTCACAGCAATTCCATTATTTGGTGAGGAGATTAATGGAAGTAAACGATCCTGAAGATCCGCAGTAAGCTTTGTTGATGATCTAGAGAGTAGTGGTATTATCTTCTTGAATACTTTCAGCGTAGCTTCAGATGTGGCCTTCTGTTCAGGCTTGGGAGAACATTAATTTCGAACAGATTAATATGAATACACTCACAGTTATACCATTAACAAGCAAAGGCAGAAGTTGTTCAGCTGCTGCTCCTCCAACGACACCTTTAATAGTGCCCGCGAGGACAAGTATAGTCCTGACACAAGCGAGCAGATCAGAGTCCTCTTCGTTATTGTCTATTCTTTCTATCAAAACTGCAACTACGTGTTTGAAGCGATTTGATATTTGCAATTGGTGAGATTTTGGGTGTCTGCTAACAATCTTGTAAAATCAAGTTAGCAACTAACTTGTTCTGGTTTAGCAGCTCAGGACTAACCTTTTCCATAGCTTGTTCAAGTAAATTGTAGCGGTCTCCAAAAAGTTTAGTGACCTCCATCAAGACATCCACTACGCCGTCAATAGAAGCGACCTCCTCGTCTGCATCAAAATGATCGTCTTTGGTAGCTTTTGATGATTTTGTGATTTTTAAGTTGAGCCAGAGGTTATCAAGTACTTCAAGTGCGAGGTCCTACAACTATTTAAAGAAATTCATCGAAACATTGGATTGTGCTCACTTTAAGAAGATCATCCTCATCGACAATACGCATGCAAAACATCTTTCCTATTTCTGCCTTTCTTTCCAAGTCATCCGTCGAAACGTAAATGTCTTTCAGGAGTTTTACAACGCGTTTCCTAACGGCTGGACTTTCATCCTATGAACATGAGTCAAATGTGTAAAAACAGCATCATTACTTACATCAATTCTATCACTGACTATTTCAAAGTAGTCATTAACAAAGCCACTATCTATAGTCAGGTGCTTGGACAAAACATCAAGAGCAGCATCTCTGACACTTGAAGCGACATCCTTTACTCTACTACCAATACAATTTTGAATCCTTATGTCATTTAAAAGAGTGTTATCACTCATAATTGCTAAACCTAGTGCTTTAACTGCTCTGGCACGAACAGAGACGGATTTTGATGTGAATGATTGAATAATTACGTAAAGAACAACGTCTTGCATTTTCTGAAGAGGAGATAATGAAGTCAATTGAAGCGCAGTATTTTCAAGCTCATCCATATTTTGACGATCACGACTAATCGCATCAAGGTCATAGTCATCTTCTATCCAAATTGAATGAATATAAGTGAGCAACTTTTCCTGGACAATTGATTGTTCCTTTAGTATTGCCTCACTTTCACTGTTGTTATCTACTTTACTTTGTGATGCTTTGAGACCCTTTACGACATAATAACCCCAACTAGATCCAAGGAGTTCGTAAGCAGATATACACAAGTCATCTTGTGAGCCATTGATGAAAAGAGTACCCATTAAGGTTTGATGGATTGTGTGCAGACGACTTAATTCATCGAGATCACCATTCCAAACAGCTCTCTCTATGTCAGTTAACTGAGACAAGCTGGCTTTTTCATTGTATTCAATTCTTTCGAGGTCCACTTGCCTTAACTTTGCAAAGATATTTCCAAAGTGATCTAATGCTATTGATTTTATATTGACCACTTCAGTATTGGACGTAGTGTTGTCCTCTAATACGCTACGTTCCATTAACCTGAGTAGAATGAGTAACAACCATGATGCACCTTGCCATTCAGGTAAATAGAGAACGGTAAGTGTGTCGTTAATAAGATTTTCCAATATGAGTTTATAATCTGCTTCATGCGAACTTTTTGATGATTTTGATTGGCAAAGGTGAGTGATTAATTGATAGCAAATAGCCTGTGCAATATTGGCAGTTGCGTATAGAGAGCTCTCCCACAATGCCACTTCGGATTTCACGAATTCAGTGTAAGCTTCAGTCTTTGTAGATTCCTCAGCTTCCTCTTCAAGTACATTGAGTTGGTGTTTATAGCGAAGATTGTTTATCTTCTCATAAGTACTGTGTGAGCATGCTTGAACAAGTTGAAGAAGTAATGCGGAGAGTGTGTATATCGTTTTACCTGATTTAAGTTGGTACTGCCTGCTCTGCTTCTTCAACTCTGGAAGCTTGATAGCTGCTGAGAGAATTTCATCGATGATCCAATTACGTTGAGCATCATAATTGGCAAAGATGTTTTGAATGAGAGTTAATGCTATGAGTCTCAATTCACGCATTCCATTTCCACCTCCAATAGGCGAGAGAGCGTTCTTTACAGACATATCACGTAAAGATGTTGGTTCAGCTACGAAGAATGGCCCAATGGAGATGTATGTAGCAGTTATTAATACGGAATCACCCAAACTGACATGTGAGAGGCTCATCAAAGCATTCAGTGATGGGATTACCGAAGTGATAGTATTGAATAATATTGATAGTGGCTTCTTAATTGGTTGAGGATTTTTCCTTGCAGCGTATGCAAGGATATTAGATGGGTTGCTATATCCTTCCTCGATGGCTTCAACGTATGCATAAATTGTCTTGTTCAAATGATATTTGAAAACAGATAAGCAGTGCGATAGTATATCTTCGAAATATAGTTGCTTTGGAAGTTGATCAAACTTCATTATCAATAATATACACTCTACCGCGGCGATAGACTCCGTAGCTAGATGGAGGTTGTCAATAGATTCGTCAAAATCGTCCTGGTTTTCGGGATTCCAAACAGACAATTTATCACCGAGCATCACACTCTTGTCTAGTATTTTGATCAATCTTGCAAGTTTCGTAACCAATTCTGACTGTGTTGTTCCGTCAAATTCGTTGTTAGCAAGTTCAAGGATTGAGTTAGGTTTACTAGCATAGAGTTGGTTAAGATACGATGAGAGCTCCTTTGTAATACTTGGTTGCAGAGATCCATCACCTTTGATACATTTGGTATAAACCTTGGGAACTTCTGAGTCTGAAATCAAACTATCTTCAGCATCAAAAATATCTGAGATTAATTCTTTCAGCTTTTCAAGCGAATGTTTGTCTATAGAGGTAGTAGATCCATCTGTAGTTACCACTGTTTTGCGTTGTGGCATCGCTTTAGACATTCTCTGCAGGTGCGAGTTCTGCGTCACGATTCTCTCCATGAACTTATCGTCAGTAGAAAGCGGAGTAGCAGACTTTTCAAGTTTCATCTTCTTCGGAGACACTGGGTCCTCGAACTTGACTTTCTTCTTCGATAGCGACTGCTCTTTTACGTTTTTTTCAGGACTCTTTTCAGACCTTATAGATGGACTAGTAATTGGTCTCGGCTGGCGCTTCATAACTGGTGATTCCTCAACTGGAGCCGAGCGCTTATTTGACTGTTTTGGTGTCTTAATCTTTGGTTTAGACTTTGCGCTCGAGGTATTAGACTGAGGTTCATCCACGGGATGCAGTATTTTGTTCTTTAAAGCATATAAGTAATTCTTATCGTCTTGCATTGATAAGGATATCTCAGCATTACTAGTATTCCTTGATTTTGATTTCTTAGGTTTGAACGAGATCGGAGGTATTGATTTATGTACATTATCAGCTGTTGAATTTGGTATTCCGAAACTGAATTCATTTGGGTTGTTTGTGATTGGTAGATCTGTTGGTACTTTGATATTGCTATTGATTGTCAATCATGACATAATAAGTCAGAAAGAATAAGAAAACTTACGGGAATAAATCGTCGTCTATGTTCAATTGATGCTGCCTCTTGATAATATCTAGTATTTCATCATCTTCTGCTGAATTACTATTCAATAGAGTATCTAAGTCAGCTTCTGATGGCTCAAATGTAGTTGAATGTAGAGATGATATAGATGTATCAGTTTCTGGGAATAAGCTGATATCTAATTTATAGGTCATCTATCTATATCTCGTTGTTTATCTCCCACTTACTTTGCGAAGATGGTAAAGTAGTCGGTAGAGGATAGATTGAGAGGATATCGTTTAGATTGTTGATTGATTTTTTATTGTTCTCCGTCTGTTGATTATTAGGACCACCGTAGAATGACTTTACTGTGAATTTACTAGTCATCGTTCTCTACTAACAGTGATGTCTATTGACGAAAATGAAGAAGACCTTGGTCCTATGCCAATTCTAGAGCAGCCTAATAAGAAGAGGAGAGTCTTAACACATGAATCTACCTATTTGAACAATCTCCCACTCAGTGATAGATACACGAAATCATTCATGCATAGGGATAATCTACTTACGACGTCAACAACTAAAACAAACTACCTTATAACAACATCCGCTGAGGGAAATATCAAGTTCTGGCATAAAGAACCTAAAGGTATCGAGTTTAGAAAGCAGTTCAGAGCTCATTTGCAGTCAATTATTACCACAGCTGTATCAAACGATGGTAGCTTAGTAGCAACCTTCTCAGACGATAGCTCCATAAAGGTCTTTGACGTCGTTAGTTTCGATATGATCAATATGTTTAGTTTGGATTTCACGCCATTAACATGCGCTTGGATACATAGTCCTAGTCAGGGTGACTCTGTTTTAGCTATTACCGACAAGAACTCATCAGCTATTCACCTATTCGATGGTAGAGGTGACGGCAAACCGTTCCATACACTCACCAACATTCACAACAAACCAGTTAGCATTATTAGATATTCAGATATATTCAATACTGTAATTTCAGCGGACCAGGGTGGTATGATAGAGTATTGGTCACCAAATGAGCCATACGAGACACCAAAAGATGTACCAGGTCTATGGGAGTTCAAATCTTCGACCGACTTATACGAATTCAGAAAAGCCAAAGCACCCCCAACCTCAATTTCACTTTCTCCTGACTCAACTCACTTCGTTGCATTCTCTATCAGCGATAGAAAGATCAGGATATTCAATTTCCTAACTGGAAAGCTTACACGCAAGTATGATGAATCACTTGAAGCGGCTAGTGAGATGCAACAAGCAGGTACAGCAATTTACAAGCTCGATGATATGGAATTCGGAAGACGATTGGCTTTAGAATCTGAAATTCAAGAAAATGAACAAGCTGTTGCTAATATGAATGTCGTCTTTGATGAAAGCGGAAACTTTATCATCTATCCTACCCTGCTAGGCATTAAAGGTATGTCTTTTCTATTGGACGATACTGCAAGCTAACCTAGCATCCAAGTTGTCAACATTGTAACAAACAAAGTTGTCAGAGTTCTAGGTAAAGATGATTCTATCAGATTCTTAAACGTATCTCTTTATCAAGGTTCGCCATCAAAAAAGGGTTTCGTGACGGCTCAAATGGCTGCTTCCGATAATCCACTCTTGGCAGAGTCTCAAGCTCGTGACCCTATACTGTTCTGTACCGCTTACAACCGTCCCCGTTTCTACCTTTTCTCAAACGCAGATCCCGAAGGGTAAGTCGTCAATTTTTATCTCATGTGATTCTCATAAGCGCGTAGATCTGGTGATCGCGATGTCTTTAACGAAAAGCCTACACAAGAAGAGCAGGCTATGTCCGTTGCACCTGCTCAGAAACAAATAAAGCAAAGACCAGCGGCTAGCAAAGCTGTTCTTCATACAACACTGGGTGATATTACTTTGCAATTGTGGGTTAGCTTAGATACATTTGCTCATTGCTGACAATGTAAATCAGATTCCCTGACAAAGCACCAAGAGCTGTTGAAAATTTTACAGGACATGCAAACAGTGGATATTATGAAGGTGTTATCTTTCATAGAGGTTTGTTTTATTAACGTAACCAGTAAAAGCTTACAAACAATTCTAGTCATACGAAGATTTGTAGGAAGAGGTTGTTTGTTTTATGATTACACGCTGACGCGAAGCAGATGCTTCAAACAGGAGATCCTTTGGGAGATGGTACAGGTGGTGATAGCATCTTCGGACACGATTTCGAGGATGAATTCCATCCAGATTTGAAACACGACAAGCCATATACATTGAGGTGAGATTGACATTCATCATTATGTTCACCTTCTAACGAATGTAAAGTATGGCGAACGCAGGCCCTGGTACTAATGCCTCACAGTTCTTTATTACAACCGTTCCGACGCCTTGGCTTGACAACAAACATACGTGAGTTAAAGCTACCAGTATAAAAATTTATTAACTAAGAAAAACAGTATATTTGGTAGAGCGACAGCAGGTATGGATGTTATACATAAGATAGAGGAGTTGCGTGTCGATAGAAAGGACAAGGTGAGTGTATATCAACCACGATTATCACGCTGAGAAGATTATAAAGCCAGAGGAACCCCCTCAAATAAGTAGTATATCAGTAGATTAAAATATAAATTGTAAAATTCAGCTTAATAAATCAATTATTATACAATAGCAATTTCTTCTCTACCATCAACCATCAAGTCAGGATGGAAGATAAACCTGCAAAAGCGCATCAACAAGCCCATGCGGGTAGAAAAGCCGAAAAGAAGGCTAAGAAATTAGAAGGTCAGAATGGCAGAGAGAAGCCAATCAACCATAAGGTGCGTATACCAGACTGCTAGATATCTCATAGTTTAACAGCAGAAATAGGCTTTTATTAGCACAAATATTAATACGCAGAATAGAACTATTATGAGAAATGCTGAGAAGTCCCAAAGAAGACTGCATGTTCCTATGGTCAACAGAACACCAGGGATTGATCAAGCGCCACCAGTGTTAGTTGCAGTAGCAGGTCCACCGGGTGTAAGTTATAGATCTGTAGATTATACTTCAACTTATCAGCCCACAGGTTGGTAAATCTACTCTCATGAAATCACTCATCAGACGCTACTCTAAGCATACAATAAATGATATTAAGGGTCCAGTCACTGTAGTAGCAGGTAAAACTCGTCGTATCACTTTCGTCGAGTGTCCAAACGACATTAGCTCAATGATTGATATTGCAAAAGTTGCAGATTTGGTTTTGATGATGATAGATTGTACGACTGGTTTTGAGATGGAAAGTATGGAAATGCTTTCAGTCATGCGTACACATGGTTTTCCAAAAGTTATGGGTATCCTATCACATGTCGATCTCATAAAGAAGCAAGCACATTTAAGAGCACAAAAGAAGAGACTGAAACATCGCTTTTGGACTGAGGTTTACGCAGGTGCTCGTTTATTTCAATTATCAGGTGTTATCAATGGTAGATATCCTAATAATGAAGTTTTGAATCTCACTAGATTCATAAACGTGATGAAATTCCGTCCACTTGTCTGGCGTAACACTCACTCATATCTTATGGCGGATAGATTGGAAGATTTAACTGAGAGAGAAGCCATAAGACAAAATCCTACCATGGATAGAAATGTTACTCTCTATGGATATGTCAGAGGTGTTCCACTTAAGCAGCAGACAATGATACACATACCTGGTGCAGGCGATATGAGCATAAAGAATTTACAAGCTTTAGAAGATCCATGTCCACCACCAACGAAAGAAAGTGAAAAGAAGAGAAGATTGGCGGATAAACAACGTTTAATACACGCTCCAATGTCAGATTTAGGTGGTGTTCGTTACGACAAAGATGCAATTTGGGTTAGAATTAATGGTAATTTTGACAAGAATTCGTCAGAAGCCAAAGGCGAAGGTGAAAAGATGGTTATCGATCTTCAAGATGCGCCTTCAACTTTGGAAGAATCTATCAAAAAGTCACAGATTCGCTTACTTGGTGGTTCATCAAAAGCACTTCAAGCTGACAAGCAAGAGGATTCAGATGATGAGCATGGTGAAGAAATTGACTCAAATGCTGAAGAAGAGGATGAAATGTCTGACATGGAAGATGATGATGAGCAAGTGGATGATAAAGGTCGTACAAATATGCGTAAAGGTCGCTTCTACGAGGGTGGTGGGGACGATAACATTCAAGAGGATATTTCATTCGACGATAGTGACTCTGAGGTTGACTTAGCAGATGAAACTGGTCATTTCGAACAAGATGATGCCGGTCAGCTCAATCTTGAAGAGGATGAAGAGGATGATGGTGAAGATGTACCTAGATGGAAACAAAAAATGGGTGAACATGTCTCACTCGTGGCTAAACAATCCAAAGAGAGAACAGACCTTATGACATTAATCTACAAGTCTGATCTTACACCTGAGCAGATTGTTTACGGCGATGACACAGTTGAGGACGCCGAAGAAGAACAAGACGATGATGATTTCTTCACTGTAAAGAAAGCTCCAAAGAAGAACCCATTCGATGGCCAAGCTGATCTGAATCACGAACCAATTAGTCAAGATGTCGTAAATAGATGGAATGACGATGATATGCTTGACTCAATTCGTGGATTGTTCATCACCGGTTCGGAAGAGGATAACGCTCAAGAAAACAACTCAGACAACGACGAAGGCTTTGAAGATCTCGAGGATGAGCAGAATGAAGAAGAGGAAGAAAAAGATGATTCACCTGAATCACGTGAAGAAAAACGCTTGAAAGCCATTGCTGAGAAGAAAGAAAAGCTCAAGAAGAAGTTCGATGAGCAATATGATGACGATGAAGACGGTGAAAAAATGGATTTCTATGACGAGCGCAAGCAAGAAATGCAACAACAACTTGAGAAGAATGCTGAAGAATTTGAAAATGACGATCCGGAAGTTCGCCAACAAGTTGAAGGATTCAGATCAGGTACTTACGTACGTATTGAACTTGACAGTGTACCATGTGAAATGGTTGACAAGTTCAATCCATCTATACCAATCATTGTCGGTGGTTTGCTACCAATTGAAATGCAATTCGGTTACGCACAATCTAGATTAATCAAACACAGGTGGCACGGAAAGATCTTGAAGACTAATGACCCACTTATTTTATCACTTGGTTGGAGAAGATTCCAATCAATACCTTTATACTCACTTGAGGATAGATCTATTCGTAACAGAATGTTAAAATACACACCTGAACATGCTCACTGTTTGGCTTCATTCTACGGTCCATTGGCAACTCCAAACACAGCATTTTGTGCATTCAACACACTTTCTAATGAAACACCTGCCTTTAGAGTTAGCGCCACTGGTATTATCTTGGATAGTGATAAGACAACAGAAATTGTCAAGAAATTGAAATTAACTGGTACTGCTATGAAGGTGCATCACAACACTGCATTCATCAAAGATATGTTCAACTCTTCATTGGAAGTTGCAAGATTTGAAGGAGCTCAAATCCGTACAGTTTCTGGTATAAGAGGTCAAATTAAGAAAGCGATTCATAAACCAGAAGGTGCATTTAGAGCTACATTTGAGGATAAAATTAAGATGTCCGGTGAGTAAAATTATATATCTATTATGTCTATATTGACAATAATAAGATATTATCTTCTTACGCGCTTGGTATGGTATTCAACCACGGAAGTTTTACAACCCAGTCACTAGTTTAATCGATGATGATTGGCAAGGTATGAAGTTGACCGGTGCTATTAGAAAGGAAAGACAAATAAAGACACCATTGGATATTAATTCAGCTTATAGAGTGGGTTTTAATAAACCTAATAATACCTTTACTAACTTCCTATACAGCCTGTTGTTCGTCATAACAAGAAATTCAATCCATTAAAAATACCTAAGCACTTGCAAGCTGAATTACCTTACGCATCTAAGCCAAAATTAACTAAACCTCAAAAGAATGAAACATATATGCAAAAGAGAGCAGTAGTTATGGAACCTGAACAAAAGAAGGCAATTGCAATTATACAACAAATGAGAGCAATTGACAAAGATAAAGGTGCAAAGAGAGCAGCAAAGAAGGATGAGAAGAGAGAAGAACGTCAAAAGAATCTTGAAAAGGTTGAACAAAGACGTCAAGAACATCGTAAAGATGAACATAAAGAAGCTATGAAAAAGTTAGGTATAAAACGTGCAATTAGTGAAAATAGCGGTGGATCAAAGAAGAGACAACGCAATTAGATTTTTTTATTTAAAAAATTGTAATTGACTTATTTATTTGTAAAAACAATAATTGATAGAGAAATAAACAATGAGTAATAATTCTCCAAAAAAGTAAACGAGAAAAAAGATTATATTCGTATCTGTTTTGTGGTATAAAAAAGCTTTTTGCAAAATTCCAACATTCAATCAAATCGTAAAAGCCATAAATTACTCAGCCCATGGTGCTATCCATGAGAAACCTGCGAATTCAGCTTGATCAGATTCTGTGAGTTGACCTTGAACAGGCGTGAGTGTTGGTTGTTCTCTGGTAAATTCAGTATCGAAATTGCTGATATCAGTTGCAGATCCCTTTATATATTGTTAGATTAACAACTAAGAATATAATTAAACTCACAATAGATGGTCTGAAAGGTGGTGGAATACGCTTGTTGAGAACGTCATCAAAGTTGACATCACGGAAGTATGCATGTGATTTAATCTCTTCAGCATCTGATTCACCAGCACCTAATCTCTTGGTTGGGTCTCTAGTCAATAATCTTTGAAGTAAACTGACGCTATCTCTTGGCATATGAATTGGGTAAAGTGGTTCATCTTCAAGGATTGCATCGAAGATTTCATCTTCATCATCACCTCTAAATGGTGATTGTCCTAATAACATTTCATAAATCAAGACACCAAATGCCCACCAATCAACTGCTCTACCATATCTTTGTTCTAATAATATCTCTGGAGCCATAAATTCTGGTGTACCGCAGAACGTTGAAGTTGTATTTCCGAAGAACATATTTTCTTTACATAAACCATAATCAGCAACTTTAACGTGACCATCAAGTGTGAGAAGAATGTTATCCAACTTCAAATCTCTGTAAACTATACCCTCTTGATGGAAATATTCTAATGCTAATAAAACTTCAGATGCGTAGAATTTTGCTTGTCTTGGTGTAAATTGTTGTCTTTGAATATGTAACATTAAATCACCACCTGAAACGTATTCCATAACGAAGTAAATTCTAGTTTCAGTTTGGAAACAACTATGCAATCCTAATAAGAATGGATGTCTTTGCTTAGCTGCTGATAAGAAAACTCTCTTTTCTGATCTGGTTGATTCAACTTCATCATTTTCAATAATGAATTCTTTCTTTAAAACTTTAATAGCAAATAATGATGAACTACGCTTCTCTTCTGCAAGCATAACTTTACCAAAGTTACCTTTACCAATAACAGCGATAAAGTTGAAGTTGTCTAAACCAACTTTACGTTGCACGGCAGGAGCTACTTGTGGAGCTTTAGGTGTAACTTGTTGTTGCTTTTGGAATTGTGGTGGAGGTGCCCTATATGGTTGACCTGGGTGTTGTCTGCTATATGGCGTTGGTGAAGGTACTTGAGCTTGAGGTTGTTGTGAAGGTGGTGGGTATGGTCTAGGAACCTCAACTCGTTGTGGCTTAGCTTGTGGTTGTTGTTGCTGTTGCCTTGATGGTACTTGGGGTTGTGTAACTGGTAATTGTGGTGAAGTGATATCCATCTTTTGAGCACCTTTTTCAATCTCTTCTGTTGTCTTTTCAGCATCATCAATTTTTTCGATTGATGGTGTCTTTGAAGGTATTGGTTGTGGTTTTTGAGTTGGTTGCTTCTTTGCCGCACCAATTGCTTGCATTTGACGTAACAAGCTATTAGCAGTAACCATGGACATACCACAGAAATCTGGTAAAAGATGCGCACATTCAGCGTGACACGTTACTGGACAATCTGAACATTTTCTTGCTTTCTTTGATAATGGGTTGATAATTTCACCACAGTGACAACACCAATTAGGAGTCAATGAACTGATTGGTGCTAATCTGTGTGGGATTCTGTGCTTAACTTTATCTTCATCCTTTTCACCGGAATCTTGTTTTGAAACACATTTTGTGACGACTTTCTCATAACAACTACGATGACAGGTATAACGACAATCGTCACATCTATAAACTCTACCATCAAGTACGAAATCTTCACAATAAGCGCATTTAATGACGTTGGTAATAAATTGTTTTTGTACGAATGCATGTCCGTTCATTTCATGTACTTGACCCTTACGTTTACGAACAGCACCTTGTCTACCCAAACCATTGTTCTCTGCAGGACGTTTACGAACGTTTTGCTTAACAAAGTTGAGTTTGAGAGCGATTGCGCCAGCTGGTTGAATTGAGAACCAACCTTCAACACCATCATCATCGAGTCTAGGTGAAGCTTTTGTAATTGATTGAGTAGGATCAAACTGAGATTTTGGTGAGAGGTCATTAGGACCATCAACAGATGATAAGCTATCCAGTTGTTGACCAGGTCTATCTACGCTGCCTTGTTGGTTCATACGCTCAAGTAAAGCAGATGCTTCAGCGTCAGCTTTCTTTCTACGAAGTTCTTCAACAAGATCGGATACTTTGATCCACATTAAACCGATCGGTACACCTGAATCACTTGCACCTGCTTGACGTTCGTGAATTGCTATTTCGACTTCATTGATCTTGTCAACAGGGACTTCAAAAGACTCGTTCCATTGATTATGGCCAGTTGATCTAGAAGCTCTAGTCTTTACAGGAGAGGTGTCTTCACCAACTTTGATAAGAATTAAAGTTTCAAGCGCAGGTTGACGATGATGACGTGAACTCTGATTTGAGATCAACTTATGATTCAAATCACGGGCTGACTTGATTTGAATCTTGAGTGTACCTGAAAGTGGCTTGCGAAGACCATCTACCTTTGCAGGTTCATCAACTGCACCGGAATCTTCGGAGACGGGCGCGACGTATAAATTTTGGTAACGACGGAGGGCCTGTCTGAGAATAGCCATCTTAGCGTCAGATTCGATTTTCTTAAGTTGTGTTTCTGAACGCGACCGTTTGTCGCCTTCTGCAGAGTAGAGTTGAGCCATTTTCTCTATGCCCGCTTTGTAATGTTGTTCACGAGCGAGCTTGTAGTCTAATTGGTGGAGCATCAAGCTGACCTTTGCGGGTGTGTATGGACAGTCCTCTTTCGTGAGTTCTATGGAGATGTTAGGGTATGATTATGACGTGAGGCTGGCTTACCAAAGTTTGAAATCTGGGTCTTACCGACACGCTTGGAAGACTCCCTTTCTATGGGCTGGCTAGGAGGCTGATCGCCGTCGCCTGGGACTTTTGGTAGTTCGCGTTCGAGCAGTCTCTTCCTGCGCTCTACCAAATCCCTAAGGGTATCCTCGAAGAAAGTGACGTTGCGCTGGGCTTCCCTGATCTGTGTCTCCACGAGAGACCTCGCCATAGCGTTACCCATGTGAGCGTTTCTCATCTTCTGGGCGCTATCTAACATCGTACGCTCAGTGGAGAGCTTATAATGGACGGATTTAACCTTATCATCAAGTTCTTTGCGTTGTGAATCCTGAGTGTTGTTAATTTAAGGTATTTTTATTTTTTTATTATTATTTACCATTTTCACTCCTTGATGGTTTTGGTTGAATAGCGACGATGTTCGATTCATTAACAAACCGTAAGTATTTATATTTCTAATATAAATTATAAAAAATATTAACCTCTGTCTCTCTATACAGGCCCAAACACCGTTCCACAGAAGCAACGCTACGCTCAGGGTAGATCCGAGTTCACTCACTTGAAAATGCCACGTTCAAGGCTCTACTATTACGGTTACTTAGCTGTATTCGGTACCGGTATGGTATTGACCGCTAATGGTATCAGAACTCTCATTCAAGTAGCTCTCGTCTTCTTTCTAGTAACTATCTAACTATTCATACAGGGAAAGTAATTTTATGTACGAAAATACACAAATTTAATCATAATTTGTTGAATCTGAACTTGCTGAATAGCCAGATAAGCTCCCAGTACGCTTCTTCGAGTATCCTTCATTATTGTTACTCGTGCTATAACTAGTAGGGCTGAAAACTCTCGTCAAGCCAGCACCAAAGTTTGTAGCTGATCTCGGCTGCGTAGGCCTCTTCACGGGCATTCCTGGTTGTGAACTTTGTGATCTAGACAGCACCGGCGTTGGAAATCCCAATCCCTTCTCTTTCGCCTTCTTTGATGATTTCATCAATTTTGGTGATTCTGAACGTGATGAATTGTTGCTAGTCGCCATATTTAACGCCGCACTATGAGGTGATGGTGCTAACGGCCTATACGATGATACGTGCACTTGTACAGTCAATTCTGAGACTAAATCCATTATTTGTTGCATTCTTCTCCTCGTTTTTAATGGTAAGCGTTTCATTTCACCTAATCCCTTAACGAGTGAAGCCATCCAGATCACCATCTTCGAACGAATCAATAATCATTATCTTTATAAAATCATACTCACCTTGTTAAACGTAGACGCATTTTCAAATAATTCCCTCACAGATTCTTGGTCTGCAGCCTTTAAACCAATCACGCCGTCTTGATTACTAGCTTGCTTAACCACATTTAAAGATTTACTTAGCTTATCCGTCAACTCCTTAGCTTGATTGTTTTTGTCACGAAGTTCAACCATAACTGGATCAACCGCTGATCCACCGGGACTGAAATCATGAGAATAACTATTATCAACATCTTCATCAAGCACGGGCCAGAAGTTAGTACCAACTACAATGCAATTTTCAATTAATTCAAGTAAATCCTCAGCGTCATCCTGGATTGTACTCGTCGGCGTCTGTGGTGTTACTCGTAAGGTATCCATTTGAGGTTCAGGTGAACGTGAGGTAGGTGTACGAGGATCTTCAACAGCTTTAGATAAGTATGGTAGATTATCTGTATTATCAGATTTACCACTCTTATTCATATTAACATAATCAAAATCTGCTTGAGTAAGTGAAACACCCTGCCTATACATTCTTTTAGTGCTTTTATCAACACTTCCTCGAGGTTTTGATTGTAATTGTTGTAATTGAAGTTGATTTTCTTGTTTTGTAGGTAAATGTTTTGATATTACTTTCCATACATTGGCAATTTCTGACATTGAACCATATAAAGTAAGTATAACACTTCTCAGAACAACAGGATGTACATATTGAACATCATTAACAAACTTGTTTGCTATTCGCGCTCTTAACTCAGATATCAATGGTGAGAAAGCCGCTGAAGATATTTTTACAGCTTCCATTATAGCTTCAGATCTGGTACTTAACTTACGACTATCAAGCGCATCGAATAATGGTTCGAGTCCTTTACCAGCTGAATTAAGTAATGGTATTATAAACAACGCGAAATTATCTGATGTGAGACTAATCAATTGATTAATCGCTGAATGAGTTTGCGATAGTGCAAACAACAAACTATTCGCTGCATCAACAACAATATCAGTGTTCGAAATGCTTAATGGTGAAGGTGGTGTTGGTGTATGTCTATGCTTAAAAGTGGAACTAAAATCTGATGATTTGATAGCTAGCCTTTTAAGGTGTTCTATATTTCTCGTGATTGGTGTCATGACTTCATCATTTTGTGATTGCTGAGATTGTGAGGATGTTTCAGAAGTTGATGAGGGAGCTTGGAAGCCTAAATTTGATATAATATGACCATTGCTAGTTTTTGGTAGATTTGGAATTGGTGGAAGATCGACACTCTCTTTCCTTTCAACCGCATATGTAAGACTATCATTCGTTGTTAAGGTGTTGTTTGACAAAGGCGTTGGATCCGTTAATATTCTATTCGTACCATATCTCATATTTGGAAGACTCTTCTTAACTTTCAAGCCTTCTTGATTTGGATTGCTACGCTTAGGAAGTATAGCCGAACTTGAAGCATTTCGGCCATGATTAGAAGCATAATCTGAGTTGTAGATGTCGAGTGTAGGTGAAAAATAGTGATTACGGCTGTTTGAATTGAAGGTGGTTGACGGTTGACTCAAAGAATCTGGAGAAGTATGCGTAGTCGAGGGGCTAACCAAACCAGGAGTTGGTGGTGTGGTACCTTTAGACATAGGAAATTTGAAGCCAGAGTTCCCACCCAACACTCTGTCTTTCTCTTTCGGTAGTGGTGGGGAATGGATATTTGAATCACCAGAAAATGAATTTGTGGATTGCCTTCTACGATGATAATCACTGTCTTCATCAGTTGTGTAAGCACCCTTCAAGGCCTGCTTATCGGCGTGCTCTTTTAGCCAATCCCTGAGCGCCCTCACCCAAGCTTCCATTTCAACGTCTAATTTATCCTTATCTGAGTCATTTTTCATTGATACAGCACTTTGTGCTTGCTGATTGAAAGATTCTACAGCGGAAGAAGGTGGCCATTCGATGGGATTTGCGTCAATTTTAATGATACGTAAGTTTGTGAATCTGTGAATGTAGGTGGGTATTTTGGTGAGTTTATTCTTTGATATTGAGAATACTTTCAAGTTAACTAGTGTACCCGGATCTTTTGGTAGTTTCTTGATCTTGTTTCTACCAAGTTCGAGTATTTCCAATTGAGGCATTTTAGTGAGCTGTTAGTAAACTTAGCATTCTGATAATGTTATATAATATCTTAAACCTACAACTAGAGGGAAGCTGGTAAACATGTTTGCTCTGAGGTTGAGATATCTGAGCTTATTTAGATTGAGTATCCTATCAGGTAGCCTGGATAGCCTATTGTAGCTCAAAGCTAATCTACAAGTATCTTTTTGTATTAAATCTAGGACTTCTAATGGTATAGCGTCAATACCAGCTTTGGATAGATCCCAGGTATCGACCAACTTAGAATCCTGTTGTACTACACGTTCAACAACCTGTATAATCTCATCCTTTGATAGGTTTATCGATGATTTTGACGACACTTTTCTTAATACTTTGTCATCGCCAATCATGGTAGTGGCTTAAGATATACAGTGATGAGTTATTTTGATAAGAGAATAGGAAACCAATCTAGCAAACTATCAAAGGATCTTCTACAGTTAGTAGAACGTAAACAATCTAATTTATGCGTCTCCGTCGACTTCAACACCAAGGACAGTCTTCTTAAGATGGTTGAGGCTGTTGGTCCATACGTTTGTATGATAAAGGTTCGTCTATCATTCATTTACAACCTTACTTGTATTAACATTCCCCTTATAGACTCATGTAGACATTATCAGCGACTTCGATATCGATTTAGTCGAAAAACTCAAAGAGTTATCTGTTAAATATGACTTTTTAATCTTTGAAGATAGAAAGTTCGCCGATATTGGTGTGTTTATCATATTACTATCTTCTACAGGAACTCATTCGACATTCAGGTAACACTGTCTCACTTCAATACAGCTCAGGTGTGCACAAAATAGCTGACTGGAGTCACATCACAAATGCACATGCTCTCCCAGGTGATGGTATTGTCAAAGGATTGAAGAAAGTTGGTTTAGAAAAGGGTAGAGGTTTGTTATTGCTAGCTCAGATGTCTTCTGAAGGTAGCTTGGCTGTGGGTGACTACACAAAAGCTTCATTGGCGATGGCACAACGTCACAAAGACTTTGTTATCGGTTTCATTGCACAAGAAAAGCTCGGCGGTGAAAATGATGACTTCTTGATTCTCACACCAGGTGTGGGATTAGATGTCAAAGGTGACGGTATGGGCCAACAATACAGAACACCAGAGGAGGTTATCAAAGCCGGTACAGATGTCATCATCGTTGGTAGAGGCGTTACAGGCAGCCAATCAACCGTTGATTACCAAAAGGCTGCAGCAGAAGCTCAAAGATACAAAAAAGCAGGTTGGGAAGCACTCACAAAGGTTCATGGTTTGTAATAAAAAGGAAAATATCTTATAGAGCATTCTACTATAAATCTTTGTATAATGTGTCTTCTAAATGGCATTAAGTTCATTGCAATTTCAGTCTTACTTCACATGTCGTTCTATGTTAAAGTGTGCATTATGAATTAAAATAGAATAAATAATGAAGAATCTATACACGTTTTTTCTTGGATCTCCTACCCTCTGCTTTACGTTTTACTTTCATATCCTCTCCAGTTACAGTTTCCATATCTTGTAAAACATCATCCAATTCACCTTCACTTTCATCACTCTCTGGTGTTCTCTCAACTCTCTTTTTAGTTTCTTCGACTGGAATGACACCGTCCCATTCTAAAACTGTTGGAGTTGATTTGACAAACACCTTACTGAAAATGTTTGCCTTGGTTGTTGGGTTCTTTCCAAGGATTTCTGGAGGTACTATGCTTGTATGTAATCTAAGGTATTTATCCATTGCTCCTGATAATGAGATTTCCTTGTATGGCGTTGGTGCTATAGTATTAATTGCTCCTCCAATACCCTTATAACCATTAATGAGTTTGAGATTACGTATATCTACATTGAACAAGTTGCTGTTGTTATCCGAAACGAATACATTGTACTCATGCTCGCCACGGCGCAAGTATCTTACGCTAGACGACTTAATTAGATCGTTGTTGACGATTGTTGGCTTCTTTGACGCTCTTGTGTCATATAGTCTGACACTACCATTAGCAGAACCAGTTATTATGTTAGTTTCACTGATATAGTCTAAAGACGTGATATGGATTGGTACCCTCAAATTCAAGTTGTCCGGTGGAAGGTTCTTAGCTCTCCAGACTTCACCATCGAGGAGCTGATCTTTAGCTTTCTTGCGCTCTTTCTTTGTTGCACCTTGTATACTGTCCACTTTAGGTGCTGTTGGAGTGTTTTCACTAATTTCGAGCGCTCTTTTCGCATCCCAAATAGAGAGATCGACTTCTAAACCACCGTATGCAAATGTTGAGCCATTTGGTGATACTCTCATATCCTTCAAGTTTGTAGGCAGACTTAGGTAACGCTCTTCAGCTTTTGATGCCTTATAACTCCAATGACCACTGCTAGTAGCAGCTACCAAGCCCCTTCCAAGGGTACTCAAACCAACGTAGTAGTCACCTCCTTTAAACCTAGGTTCATTCCATTCGTTGAGTAGGTTCAGCTTGTCTTCGCTGTTGAATTCATATTGTTGTATACTAGAATCTGCTCTGGCGGTAGATAACTGAAATATTGTTAGAATGATAACACTATATCCTAATAGTCCTACCTTATTAGTCTCCCTGTTGTATTCCATCTTCTGTACTGATCTCGTAGGATCGATATCATCTTGCGTGATGGTAGATGTGCTAACACCAGCCCCATTTACATCTACATCATTTAAGTTAATTTTTATGGATTTTATCAGACCATTCTGATCTCCGCTCAGAAATCTCATTGTGAGAATTAACGAGAGAGATGCGAATATGTATATGAGATATAAGCACTAAAAAAGAAGAATAAATATGTAGATTGTGTTATTGTAATATTTTGTAGAAGATAACAAACTCATAGTCGCGTTTTAGAATACAGGCTATCTAATTCATATTATCAGTACACTAAGAGTAGAAATCTGTTAGGTATAATATCGTACAATAAAACTATACCGTGACAGTTTTTTACATTGGTTAATAATATGCTGACTCTAGTGAGAAATGATAGATGTGAAGATAAATACTCTAATTGGCAGTTAATCTGACTATACCATATACTTTCTATCACCTTTACTTCTCCGTAGTTCAGAAAGTTACTTTAATTACACTGCTTTTGCTCTCGTGAGTCCTCTCCTATCGGTCGCAGCTGCAGCGGGAAATGGAAATTTGAAGTTCATTGCACATATAACAAGGAAGTTGGCTTTTCGTCAACGGATTACATTGGAGATTTAGGAAAATCCTATTTTGGAAAGTATGACAAAAGCATGACGATGATAAGAGAGAGAACTACTACAGGATAACTAGTGTGACGATAAGGACAATGGAAAGAAGGTAGTCTAAGACGGTAAGAGTAACAACAAGGATCTCAGATCTCTCAAGACAAATACGAAATTGTACGAGGATTTAGTTCAAAAGTATGACATCAAAGATATAAACGAATGTATGTTTTGATTTTATACTAGCTAACAAAGTCATAGGATTACAAAATGACCACAAAGAGAACAAACACATTAGAGAAGATAAGACATACGACAACAAAGGTTCAAAGACTATTGCTGGAGATTTGAGTTACGAAAAGTCCACGTAGATGAAGGTAAATAAAGTGGATAAGAAGATTAAAGAGATCACAAATACAATGACGAGAAATGAGGGATATATCACAAAGATGACCTCTATCAACGAAAGGCAGAAGACTATTATAAGAAGTCAGATGCTTGAAAGAAGAACACAAAAGAGTATTATTCAAAACGCGCTAAGAGGGATCAATAACGTGACAGAAAAGGAAGACAATTGAGAAACATGTTGTGAAAGTATACGATAAAAGAATCTAAGGATAGTGATAATATAGCGAGAAGTAATTAATTAGAATTTGTAATATTTGATCGATGAGTTGGCCACTAGGATGCAATCAGTTTAATGAAATTAATGGATGATATAATAATCCAATTTGAGTGAAAAAGTTCGGCTAAAATTAAATTAAATTACTATCATAAAAGCTCTATCTAGAGAAGACTATATTTGAGACATAACTTAAAGAGAAGACTTTTTTACTATGACGCAAAATTTCTAGAACAGTGTAGATCTCAAATGAGGAGCTTTTGACAGCTGAGTTGATAGGGACACTTCGGAATGTAACGGCACGTCAAACAATCCTTTGAGTTTGACAGCCTAGCAAGAAGTTAAGGAACATAATAGAGGCCGTTATAATATATGTGAAATAATAAAATAGATTTTAGATTTTATCAAACTTTATCGGCACGTTCTATAATCAAACGTTGATATCTGGCCGCGATGGCTGAATTTGAGAATACTAAATTTATAGGTGCGACGGATGATCCCTGGCAGCTATTCAGGTAGGTGATACATATAGCCATTAAATATATTCACCCCCTTATTCAGCAACAATGGCCAAGACTACACTATAATGAACCCTATTGGTTATGGTGCAAGCTCAATCGTCTACGCAGCCAAGTTCAACGGCAAGGATGATAGAAAGGAATCTATGTGCGCGGTGAAAGTCATCAATGTGGATAATTTCAATAGACACACTCTAGAATTACTTAGACGTGAATTACAACTTTTATCACTTAGTAAGCATTCGCAAGTCTTGAGAGTACGTGGTATGTGGATGGATGGACCAAAGCTACATATAGCCACACGATTAATGAAGGCCGGTTCAGTACAATCAATACTTAGAGATGCCTACCCTCACGGTTTCGACGAGACCGTTATTGCAACAATACTCAAACAAGCTTTATTGGGTTTACAATATCTTCACTCTAATGGTTTCGTTCATCGCGATTTCAAAGCTGGAAATTTGTTAGTTGATGAGAACGGAACTGTTCTGGTTGGCGACTTGGGTGTCGCTTCTAATTTGAATGAGCACGACGGTAGTACAAAGTCCCATCATCCTGCTTCAATTCCTCCGCATTTGGGTAGGAGACAGTCATTTGTTGGTACACCATGTTGGATGGCACCTGAAGTTGTAGAAAGGAAGCGTTATGATGCCAAAGCGGATATTTGGTGTGTAATTTCTCTTCGTTTCATGCTTATTCTAATTAATTCTCAGGTCATTCGGTATAACAGCGTTAGAATTGAGTTTAGGACATCCACCTAAAGCCAAACTACCACCGGTAACCATCTTGATGAAGACAATACACGAAGAATCGCCGACACTTGAACAGAATCAGGTAAATTCGAAATCTTACAGCTACTCAGATGGTATGAAGAGGGTCGTAGATTGGTGCCTGCGTAAAGATCCCAACCAACGACCGACTGCGTCAGAGTTATTAGCGAGTCCGTGGTTTACCAACAAGGCAAAGAAACCTAGTTATCTAGTATCAACAATTTTGGACGGTTTGGCACCCCTAACAGAACGCATAGAAGCAAAACAGAACCACACCCCTCATATGACGAGAAGTGATAGTTTTGGTTGGGATTTCACAATGATGACACATAACTCTAATGGCATGAATAGCGTTGATAGACGAAGACAATTACTAAACCATTCCTACGGAGAGTCTACGATTATTGACAAAGAAGAAGAAGAAGGAATAGGAGGAGCCGAAGAAGACAGTAACTCATCTGAATCAGATCCCAAACCACTAACACCACCGACGATACCAACTGCATTACCAATTACAGAGAGAGAAAATATACCAGAGCAAGAACACCTAAATAAGCGATACACCGATAACACAAATAAACGAAAGTCATTGAAAACCAAGTTTAACAAAGTTATGAACAAAATAAAGTGATAACCTGTACGAATTTATTGCATACAAACTTCTTTGATCATAACTATCACGACTTAAATGATAAAGAATATCATATGGATACTAATATTCACGATATTACTACCAAAGCTAATTTTATATTTATCACAGTATTTTAGTATCTTCTTAAAACCCCAGCTGCCGTATCTATACGTTGATTATAATAACGATGATATCAGTGGGAGATGTAATATAATACGTTCAAAGGGATTACAACATTGTGAGGATTTAATTACAATTAATGGTTTTGAAGACAACACATCCTATTCACCTTTATTGGCTAGTTGTGATGATAGATTTAAGTACAATACAGTTCTCGGAATATTCAAGGATAGCAGTAAATCTGGTTCAATTCAACTAATAGAACCATATATATCAATAGACGGCTACTTAGACGCGTCAATTATACCACTTGAATTTAAAGGCGTCGAAGAAGATTTCATTTTGCACCCACTTGGAATTGAGAGCTCACCATCTAATAACAGGAGAATATTCGTTGTCAACCACGCCAGGAATAACTCGAAAGTTGAAGTATTCGACATTGATTATGATCTTGGTATGGCCAACCATATCTTCTCAATTGAGGACCCTTTGATTAAAACTCCAAAGTGAGTATCATATGATAATTTTCCAACCCTAACATTTCATTTAGTTCGATAGTCGCCCTTAATGATAACACTTTTTACGTATCAAATGACCATTATTTCAGTTTAAGGGATCGATCTATAATCGGAAAAATACTCAATTGGCTTGAAACATTCTTGAGGTTACCTTTGGGCTCGGTAGAATTAGTCAAATTTGACGAGAATACCGGCGCAGTTGAAGTTAATCATGCACTGCAATATATACCCTATGCAAATGGAATTACTTTAGTTGGCAATTATTTGGCGGTTGCGTCCACAAACAATAATCAAGTTTTATTATATAGTAGAGATAATTTGGACTTTATTAGATCAATTCACTTGCCGTGAGTCTTCTCAGTTACCGATTATACATTTTTTAATCACATAACATTAGTTTCCATGTCGATAATCTCAGTGTTGATAGTAGAACTGGTAATTTAATAGCTAGTGGCCATCCTCATTACCCAACTTTGATCAAATATGTGAAAAGTGGAGGTCAGTCTGAAAAACCTCAAAGTTGGGTTGTAGAGATTGTATTAGACAAAAAACAAGATGATGTTGAAGATACCAGGAATAAAGCAATGGTAGCTCAAAGGAGGTTATTAAAAGGTAACAAAGATGATACAATAAACTCCATTTTACAATCAAGCGGTGAATACATAAATTCAATAACAAAATTAGAGAAAAATAAAGATGCACTATTCGCTAGTGGTTTATATATGGATGGAATTCTATCTTGTAAAATATGAATTTTTATTTTAGTTGGCCGATTGATATTGATTTTCGGTGGTAATCAGTCTCGCCAGATTAAGGTTAAAACCTAAGGTACAATAATTTACAAATAGCTTGGGGTAAAAGTGTCTTGAATTTGTCTTAAAAAGATACCATAATTCAGCTATATAGATTCATAAAACTAAACACAAATTGTCAGCAAATGCCGATTTCATGCATACCACCGGCCAATTTCATAATTAAAAATGATGACAGCGATACGCCGGTACATTCCAGGCACGAAAATTGAATTGATAAAAAGCTGCGTGATTGGATTCTTCTTAATTAGCAAACACAAACGTCTTTCATTCAAAAAAGCCTCTAATGGACGCATTCACATTCAATCAAGGACCTTTGTCTCCATGTACATCTCCTTCAGATTCCCCTATACATTCCATTGGGGTAAGTTATTCGAATGTTGGTATGAATACACATTCTGACATTTGCATTCTTACAGCTACCAAACTACACATTCCCACCTTCACCTCAATCAAGTCAGCCTTCAGTAAAGAGAGTGAGACTCGAAGACAGCAATTTACAAGATTACAGCATTGGATTGTTGAACTCAAGTCCAGGATTGGATAGCTCACCAGTACAAGCAATAAACAAAAAGAGGAAATTGAGCACTGATCTTTCAACAAACACAACAAATGCATTGGGGTTGGATTATAACAAAGAAAATGATTTTGACTATAACTTCAGTAGCTACTTCTACCCAAATCAAGATAATGCAGCACTCAACTTTACATACTCAAACTGGTGGATTCCAAATACCACATCAACATTACCAACTCAAGCTACTACACCTCGCGCATATAATAACAGCTGGTACCTCCTTAATCAGGATGATGAACCAGAGGAGATTGACAGAAGGTCTTCAACTTCTTCAACTGTCTCATCAACTAGTTCGTACTCTGAATCACCAAAGGTGTTAGAGTCCCCTGTTTCTGAAGTGAATGATCCATTTATTAAGGCTATTCAACAATCACCTATTAATATCCCAACTGAGTCAAGGGCTAAGGCAAAGAAGCAACAAGAGAGCGTACCAAGAAAAAGAGGAAAGTTACCAAAACATGTAACTGAAATACTCAGAAAATGGTTAATGGAGCACGCGGGACACCCGTATCCATCCGAGGAGGAGAAGAAGATGCTTTGTGGCATCACAGGATTAACCTTGACACAAACTAGCAATTGGTTTATCAACGCTAGAAGAAGAATATTAGTCCCTGCACCAATGAACAGTACACCAAATCAATCACGTAAAAAATCAACCAAGCAAGCAATTCAATCATCACCCCAATCTAATGTCCAAGATTATGAACGGATGTATAATCAACAATATCAAAAGTTGACGCAGGCGTAACTTTCTACGAACAAAAACTGCATAGGAGCATTTTTTTTTTCTTTTTTCAGGATACAAGAATTCATGGATTCATAATCAAGCGATCATGACTTTATTTCTCATATCAATCGAAAATTTTCATATTCTATCAACTTGTTTAAATAACTTAGGAGAAACTATTTTAGTATATTAACAGCTGTATACACTACATTCATTTTAAAGGATAAAGACCACTTGTTTTTTTGTACTTACAACTCGCATTAAAAATAAATAAAACTTCATCTACAAATTTTACCATGACTTATATTGGTCAATTACCTGGATTATATTGGGATGAGGAAAAGTTAAAATATTTCCCGATTACTAAGAAGAAGCCGATAATTGATAATACTACTAGTAAACCGGCAGAACCCGCTCGCCAAATTCAATTAACTCCAAATCTAATAAAAAATCCCCATCGATTCAATGATGCAATAAATCTATACCATCAAACACTTGATAGGAGGCTAAGAAAGCAACCTAATGTAAAGATATACTCACATTTTTATCCTATATCTGCCGCAGCAGTAAGTTTACTCATCTGAGCTTGGCCATGCAACTAAATTCACGCAGAGTTTAGCCGAGCGGACGATCGCTGTAGCAACATCACAGCTTAATTCACAATTGCAAAAGTTTAATTTGGATACAGAGGAGAGAAAGTATATACTCGAATCTAGTCCTGGTAGTGTCGAAAGTCTAATCGCTATTGATAATGATGATAATATCGGGTAAGATTAAATTAAAAGAGAATGATCATTATTAATACACATTAAGAGTCGTTAAAGTTGCTTACAAATCGACTAATTTGTATAAAACGTGCGTATACTTATTCTTAGTAGAGAAGACATCTGATATCAGGTACAAAGTGATTTCGACGGCCAATCACTAGTGCATTTACATACTATTAATAATTCAAACTATTTTGATAGTGATTTCTTTGACAGAAGTTACTTGCTTGGTGCGTTGAATCTAATCAAAAACGGCAGAACTAACTTTTAAGTAGCCATCGATAAAACACTGAATAGAATAAACCAGCGTAGAGAATTCGTGAAGTACAAGTCAGATGTTGTTTCACTATCTGCCTTAACAGATAATGAGGTGTGCCAGTGTATCTCCATATCGGACAATCTAACATATTATAGACACTCTGTGGATTGAGAAATGGTAATCTACATCTTCACGATTGGAGAATGGGCAATAGAGCGCAGCCTTCAGTGTGTTCTTTCGATAGAACTGTTAATAGACTGAAGAGGCTAAAAAATGGTAACACGTTCGTAATATCAACAATGAATGATGACGTGTGTATTAATATAACATCTAAAAAAAGGTCTGACAACAGCATAGCTACTATTATATGATATACGTATGAATAGACTAACGTCATCACTCAAAGGAAACATTAACAAAACGGTATTAAAGCAGCCATTTAGTACGATATTGAATGATAGCTATTTAGTAGTTGTTGGCGAAGATACCATTATGAGAACCTGGTCACTGCGGACGTCAGAGTTGATAAACAGCCAAGCGATGAGCAACGTTAATTATATAAATAACTACGAGGATAATTTATTAATTTGTAAATCAAATCAAATAGAATTTATTTCATTCTAAAACTAAATTAGTGCGTCCCCATTTTTATCTCAAAAATAAAACGCGTCTTCTGCGCATTCCTCTGTTTCTTAACTAACGCCATGTCAATTGAAAGTGTACAAACAAAGGCATTCCAAGACCAAAAGCCTGGTACATCTGGATTAAGAAAGCGGTTAGTTTGGCTCTATAAGCGTCCATTCTTGACTTACACCATTTAGTGTCAAAGTATTCCAACAAGATCATTACACTGAGAACTTTGTATGGGCTACACTCCAAGCAATGTCAAACCCACCAGCTAAGGGTTCCACTCTAGTCTTAGGTGGTGACGGTCGTTACTATGGTGTTGAATGTGCACAAAAGGTACTCAAATTGAGTGCAGCAGCTGGCGTTAAGAAGGTTATCGTCGGTCAAAACGCTATTTTATCAACACCTGCAGCTAGCAACCTCATTAGAAAGTACAAAGCAGATGGTGGTATCCTTATGACTGCTTCACACAACCCAGGTGGTCCAGACAACGATTTTGGTATCAAATTCAACGTCGCAAACGGTGGCCCAGCTCCGGAATCAGTTACAAACGAAATTTTCAACATCACAAAATCATTGACTTCATATTCCATCGCTCAATTACCTGATCTTGATATTAGCAAAGTTGGTAACTTCAAACACGGTAATTTAGAAGTTGAAGTAGTCGATTCAGTTAAAGATTACGTTGAATTGCTTAAAGGTATCTTTGACTTTGATTTAATCAAGAAATTCTTGTCAGAAAACCCATCATTCAAATTCCTCTTTGATGGTCTTTCCGGTGTTACAGGTAGCTACGGTCAAGCTATCTTCCTTGGTGAACTCGGTTTGTCAAAAGATAGCGTTCAAAACGCTGTTCCACTCCCAGATTTCGGTGGATTACACCCAGACCCTAACCTCACATACGCTCATGATTTGGTTGAACGTGTAGAGAAGGATGATATCACATTCGGTGCTGCATCAGATGGTGATGGTGATAGAAACATGATCATTGGTAAAGGTGTCTTCGTTACACCTTCAGATTCTGTTGCAATCATCGCAGATTGGGCTCACGTTATACCATACTTCAAGGGCGGTTTGAAGGGTTTAGCAAGATCTATGCCAACTTCAGGTGCTATTGATAGAGTCGCAAAAGTTAAGAATGTAGAAGGATTTGAAGTTCCAACAGGATGGAAGTTCTTTGGTAACTTAATGGACGCTGGTAAGCTCTCCATTTGTGGTGAAGAATCATTCGGTACTGGATCTGATCACATTAGAGAGAAGGATGGTTTATGGGCAATCGTCGCTTGGTTAAACATTATCGCAGCTGCCAACCAAGAACACAAGGGATGGAACATCAAAGACATCCTTCAAGCACACTACAACAAGTACGGTCGTAACTTCTTCTCTAGATATGATTATGAGGAGGTCGACTCACAAGCTGCTAACAATATGATTGAACACCTCACAAAAACCTTTGAAACCATTGATGGTACCCAATTAAAGGCAACCACTTCAGATACCACATTCACAGTTAAGGAGTCAGGTAACTTCTCCTACACTGATCCAATTGATGGCTCAGTTTCAAAGAACCAAGGTCTTTACATTGTCTTCCAAGATGGTTCCAGAGTTATCGTTAGATTGTCAGGTACAGGATCGTCTGGTGCAACTATTAGATTATATGTCGAAAAGTACTCAACTGAATCATCAGAATATGGTCAAGATGCACAAGTTGGACTTTTACCTTTGATTGAAGTAGCATTGTCATTATCAAAATTACAAGAATTTACTGGCAGAACTAAGCCAACTGTTATCACTTAGATATTTTGATTCATTCGTTGTTGAGTTTGTTTAATCTTCTCTTGAAGTTTGTGAAATTCATTATTTAGAATAAAATGCCGTTGTTTAAGACTAAAATGAGTGTGTCAGTCTTTGTATCTAACAAGTAAAGAAGACACTGACCTTGTCAATTCATTTCTATAGGCTTGCTTATCAAATAACTCCTTGCGTAACTCCTCAGCCGTCTGTAGAGGTGCTCTATGCGACACTTTCTCTGTCGTATGCTCCTGTTGTTGTTCACGAAGGTATACACCAAAAATTAAACTAGCTGGAATATGATAAGCAAATTAAGATAGTTATAAATAAGCTAACCTGGTATAATTACTGCAGAAGATATTAATATTTGTTTTTTGCTCAATCCCATTAGTCGAGGTTGTTAATGAAGTCACGAGGAGCTACTGATTCCGGACGGCCATCATCGTGAAATGTCGCACGAAGAAATACCGCTACCATTGGGATGGTGAGCTTATCTTATTACAACTTTATTTATCTAATAGCTCCACCTAGGATTAGAGAATTCGATCCAAATCATCAGACTTACTTTTATGTCGAGTATGTTCGAGTACAGTTAATATAACTACTCACTAATACACTCATAGCACTCAGCAAACTCCAGCTCATGTAACTTGGGATGATCCTAGGCTAAACCCGCTATACAACAATCTCTTACCTTCACAATCAAGCAACAGTCAGCCATTCACGAAAGCTGATAGCCCACCTACAAAGCAGCAAGTCTCCGATCAATTCGAAATTACTAGAAACTGGTTTGAACAACTCACCGATGACGAAGCTACTCCACAATCTAGTAATTGCGTAAAAGACCTAGCTGCGGGTAGTTTAGGTATTCTAGCTTTATCAGCAGTCGCATTTAAGCAATCTAATGTCAATAACTTACAAAATAACCGTACACGCGGTGCTGGTTGGGGTTCAGGTTTATCGAATTAGCCAATAAATTGATATGGATTTGAATGATTTTATGAATAAATATTGTATTTAACGTTATTGCGCTTGCTTTTAAGTTGTAGCTTTAGCAACATCATAGATCATGACGTCATTTGTATTTCATGATACTTTTAATCTCTGTTGACAGTTGCGATAGCTACTTTCCCTGATTAGAATGAATTATTAATCAGATACTTATATATGTGTTTTTGGTAAACCATATGAATCAATGTTAAGACACTAGTGTATCATACTATGATAGGTAATATTAAGGTACTTGAATGTGCATTCCTAACAAATATACGATGACTTGGACCAACTCGCAAGTTGATGATGTCCTTGTCCTCCTATACTCACACGTTCTATACGGATCGGTGCAGTCTTCCTTCACTTAAGAGACATATTGGGGGTCTGACTGTTATTCGCTGAACTTTTACACTACATTGACACATGTACCATGCTATTTCATATTCTCACAGGCTCACTATTTGCCTAGTCTCTTAACTGACGAACGTTTCGCACCTCTATTTATTAGGACATTTCTTGACGAGTTGAGGACACTAAGTATAGAAAATGAATTTTTTGTAGGCTCTAAACAAGTGGCGTTAGTCACAAAAAACCAACCAACTAGCAAACATGACAGCAATCACGCTAGACACAACTCACAGGACTTGCACTTGATCTTGGCCCTATCGACAATACAGACTTCGTGGACTATGTAATAGATGTAGCTAAGCAATATCAAGGTGGCAACATAGATCTTGACAAAAAAAAAAGACACAAGGAAGATAGGCGGAATTTTTTCGATTATGTTATGATGATTTTGGATCCTTTTCAATAAATAATATGATATTATCTCTGAGACTTCAACAAATAAAGGTATTGTTTAGGTATATGTTTTACGTTATCGTTAAGGATCACAAAATGCTCGAGGTTTATCTTGAAACAAAGATATATTCTTGAAGCATGTACTAATCCAGGGTCAGATGATGTATAATCTTGATGCATATATACGCACTAATAGATAAATTAAGAAATACATAGAAGTATTTAACATGATTGACTTTGAGGTCGTTACATACATTGCATCTATGAATAAATATATCAATTTCATGCTGATTATTCTACCGTATCAGTAGTGTCCTGTGATGTATTTATTGCATACATTTTCGTAGTATCTTGCCGTGAGATTCTATTTGAAGTCATAACTTTAACTCAACAACTAAGAGTACTTTCGACATAGTCAACTATTACAAATGTATGATGTTTATAGCAAATTCGATTCGACTGTTATATAATCTTATTCTTCAATTCACTACATTACAAAAATTACAAGATTATGATGTTGGATTGACAAATCTCAATAACTAAACGAAGATAGTAGAGACAAAAAGGTATACAGAGAATTAAACGTATTGCCGCATTGATCTGCCTCACAACATCCGCATCATTACATCGATTATATGTCCTGAGAAGATAAGACAGATTCAACATGAATACATAAAATTAAGTCCCATTTATATATGTTCCAAAATTATAAAGTTTGACGCCCTCCACCTTAGGTCCTACTTCTTGTATCTAGTGAGATATAAAATTTGTTGGAAGGGTCTGGTAGTGATAACAATAAATACTATGCAGCAAAGAGGACATCCGTGTGATTATAAATAAATACTTGATTATATAGTATACAGGTGCCGAGAAATCACAATTGTATTGCATAACACCACTAAGAGAGAAGACATTAGAGAGAAGACTATATACCCCGAAAGTACTAAATTTTTATAAATAAATAAAGCTATACATTTTCCTGTATTATTTCCCGACTGCCTGACAGACAAATAAAATTTAAAATCTCTCCCCATAAATTTGAACCCACAAATCTTTTCTTCTTCCTCAGATTCTATCATCTTAAAATGGGTAAAGTGGGTAAAATATCAAACAATCCTAGCAAATATCTAATAGAATAAAAAGGAAAAGCTCCACCTTAACGTCGTCGTTATCGGTCACGTCGATTCCGGTAAGTCAACCACCACTGGTCACTTGATCTACAAGTGTGGTGGTATTGACAAGCGTACCATCGAAAAGTTCGAGAAGGAAGCTGCTGAACTCGGTAAGGGTTCCTTCAAGTACGCTTGGGTTCTCGACAAGCTGAAGGCTGAGCGTGAACGTGGTATCACCATTGACATTGCTCTCTGGAAGTTCGAAACTCCAAAGTACAACGTTACTGTCATCGATGCCCCAGGTCACAGAGATTTCATTAAGAACATGATTACTGGTACCTCCCAAGGTGAGACAAATTTTCTACTCAAAATTTTTGTTCTAACATTAGCCAACAGCTGACTGTGCTATCCTCATCATTGGTGGTGGTGTTGGTGAATTCGAAGCTGGTATCTCCAAGGATGGTCAAACCAGAGAACACGCTCTTCTCTCCTTCACCCTCGGTGTCAGACAACTCATTGTCGCCGTCAACAAGATGGACACCACTCAATACTCTGAAGCTCGTTTCACAGAAATTATCAAGGAAACCCAAAACTTCATCAAGAAGGTTGGTTACAACCCTAAGAACACCGCCTTCGTTCCAGTCTCAGGTTGGAACGGTGACAACATGTTGGAAGCCTCAACCAACATGCCATGGTACAAGGGTTGGGAGCGTGAAACCAAGGCTGGTGTCCTCAAGGGTAAGACCCTCATCGAAGCCATTGACGCTATCGAACCACCAACCCGTCCAACCGACAAGCCACTCCGTCTTCCACTCCAAGATGTTTACAAGATTGGTGGTATTGGTACAGTACCAGTTGGTCGTGTTGAAACTGGTACTATCAAGCCAGGTATGGTTGTTACCTTCGCTCCATCAGCCGTCACCACTGAAGTTAAGTCCGTTGAAATGCACCACGAATCATTAGAAGCTGGTTACCCAGGTGACAACGTCGGTTTCAACGTCAAGAACGTTTCAGTTAAGGATATCCGTCGTGGTAACGTCTGTTCTGACTCCAAGAACGACCCAGCAAAGGAAGCTGCTTCATTCAACGCACAAGTTATTGTCCTCAACCACCCAGGTCAAGTTGGTGCTGGTTACTCACCAGTTCTCGACTGTCACACCGCCCACATTGCTTGTAGATTCTCAGAACTCGTTGAGAAGATCGACAGACGTACCGGTAAGACCCTCGAAGCTTCACCAAAGTTCGTCAAGTCAGGTGATGCTGCCATTGTCAAGCTCGTTCCAACCAAGCCAATGTGTGTTGAGACTTACAACGAGTACCCACCACTCGGTCGTTTCGCTGTCCGTGACATGCGTCAAACCGTCGCTGTCGGTGTCATCAAGTCAGTTGAGAAGACCGAAAAGGGTGGTAAGACCACCAAGGCTGCTGAAAAGGCCGGTAAGAAGAAGTAAATTGCTTCAAATCAGTAGCTGCCCCTTTAATTTAACATCAAATACCGCATTCCTTTTTCCTTCACGTCGTCCCTCGTGTACCGTTTCAGGGCCCGCTACGGCATTTTATAAATATTTATTCTTTTGGATTTGATCGTGTGTTTTGCTAGTTTATTCAATGTGTTGATGTCCAAAAATGGTAAAGTTGTTTGTTCCGAAACTTTCGAAAAAGAAAAGATTGACATTTTTTTTCCAATTAATTTCTGTTCTTAGCTCAACAGGTCGATTAAATATGTGCATCTGTCATGCTTTCCAATAATTTAAGCAATATACATGATAGATTTGACAACGTTACATGACATTTCCAATAGCTTTTTAAACACCTATCAGTTGATTTTCACGTATTTTTCATTTTTTTAAGTATATAATTCCATTACATATGGTGATATCTTATTGTACTATTTTATGGAATAGATGAGATCGTCCTTATTCGTATAATCGATGCTTTCAATTGGTTTAAATTGATTTCCTATCATATTGTACGTACTAAAGAGTTATCTGACAACAAAACTCCCAAAAATTTACATTAAGAAACATTCTATATGTTACCTTGAAATCTATAACATTGAAAATTTTAGTGTCTATTTCCAGTGAATCACGTAGTTGAATGAAACTTTGTTTTTTACAAGCCAAAACACAATAACATGATGAGATACTTCGGTGTTTATGTTGTTTACAGAAATAGAAAGAGACAATGCAATGAGATGAAACTAAATTACTCCCCTCTAATCAGTTTGCATAGCGTCACTGAATTGAGATGCCGTTAAATTTGAGCAAGAAAGAAAAGTATTTCTAAACTGAGCATTAGGTTCAACAGTTTGTTTAATGACTTTATTGAGATGTTCATTTCTTTCCATTGAAATCACACTATTAAGTGTTGCCAATGTACGTAAAACTGATGTTTGCAATTCAGAGTTACGTTCATGTTCCATCTTCGTTGCACTATCTTTTGGTTTGAATAGTAAAACCTTCTCTAACTTTTGAATGATTTCTTCAATTGCTAGTAATTATGTCAAAGAAAATCATCATCATATTGTAAACTCACAATTCATGACAACGTCTCTGTCAATCATAACTAATCTATTCAAAATGAGATAGGTTAAGATTTTAATCTCATCAACATCATTTAAACCTTTGAGAACTTGACCAATCAGGTCGTCTTTGCTAATTAAACTAACGCAGTGATTTGAAATTGTATATAAACATTCATAAGCAGTTTTCCTAATTGGTAAACCATCATCAATCTTTTCTTTAAATGGACCTAAGGTAATTTCTCTAATTAATTCAGGTTTTGAATCAGTTTGTTGTAATAATAAAGGTATGTTTGATTCTTTAATAAGGGTTGGTTTATGTCTAGCTGCTGAATTAATTGTTGATAAGGTCATTTTCTTTACTTCCAAGTTAGAATCTACCAATAATTGATCAAATTTGTTAAATATATCAACCAAGTAGTTTTCATTTGTGGACTCAGTTAAGGTGTATCTAATGGCAACAATTGAGATTAATTTTGTTTCTTCAAAGTCAAGTAAATCTTTTACTTTTGGTAAATATGTGGAAGGCATTGATAAACAAAGTTTACCAAGACATTCAGCGCTGACATTTCTAACATTCTCATCATCACCAACTGAGATTAAAGAATTAAATAACTTGTCAATTTGATCTTGATCAATTTGTTCAACTGATTGTGAAATTACTTGCTTTATTGATGATAATATTAAATAATCAGAGTTCTTCATTAATTTAAGCAACTCTGGTAGGAATATTTTTGTACTACCAGCCGAGATGTTACCTAAACTGAATGAGGACGCTCTGCGGATATTATCTTGATCATTATTGAAGTATCCGCCAACGATTGTGAACAAATCCGGATATTTGACTGAAAGATCTATATCTTTACCAACTTCACCAACCACCAATAAAGATAAGTACACATGTGATACTTGATTTGGTGATTTGAGTACGTTCAAGAAATTTTCAATATCACCTTTACTTGTTACAATTACACCACCAATGAGTTTGCTAACATTTGCGAGTATATGTTCACCCTCACCACCTACATCACTAACACTGACATCTTTAACTTGATCTAAAAGGTTACTGACAATTTCAGGACCAGCAGATGGGTTATATGTGACAGTCAATTGGTAAAACTTTTCTAATGAATCTAACCCTTGACCACCGAGAACGAGAAGAGGTGATAGAACGAGTGAGTATGATTGATGTAATACTTTAACAATAGAGTTTCTAATTTCATCTCTGCCTTGAACCAATTGACTTGCAATATTTAAAGCATATGGAAGAGTATGAAGATCATTAATCGTTATAAGTGGTAAAGTACTAGTGATCAATTCATTTGCAAGATCAAGATCGATTTCATTGACGACCCTATCAAGCAAAGCTTCCAAACATTCAAAAGTAGTGATTTTAACTACTCTATCGTTTTGCTTGATCAAAGGTGTAATTTGCTTGAGAAATTCCAAAAACCAAGTTTGGAATAATTGACCATCACATGTAGTTGAATTTGCAGCAACCTTAATAGCTTTGATGGCAGCTAATCGCGTGAGATTATTCGATAATCTTGAACTGAGAAGTGAAAGTGAACGACTGTCATTATTCTTAGTTATAATATCACCTGCATGTGATAATAAAACAGCAACGACGTTTATTGCATCTTCTTTGACATTGTTTGAAAGTTCACTATCTTGAATACTCTCATTGACTGCATTATTTATTAATTCAAGGTAACTGTCAATGCGTTCTTGCTGAAGTGGATATGGAGAAACCTTACCATCTTCTCTCAATGGACGAAGTAGAGTGACAAGGTTCTCAAGTGATGTAAGTGCGAGTGAACAAAGCTTGTGATACTTTGTAAGTTTTGTCGTGTTGATGAGTGCATCTGTAAGTGATGGTATGGCTTGGTGAATAGAACGGTATGTGTGAGTTCTGAACAGTGAATTCAAGAATGTTAAAATTTCAATTGGTAAACCTGTTGATGGTGTTAGAAGGAAGTATTATTTGCAATGCAAAACACACCTGCAGAGATTGTTGATTGAATATCTTTCAAACCTTGCTCGATGAATGGAGTGATATCATCAATGTGGGGAGATTGCAATGAATCTTGGAAAGTATTGACCAAAGTGTTTAACAGCTTGTATGCGTTGAGTCTGATAACTAGAGATTTATCGTTGAGATGCTTCGTGATCGTCTTTATGAGTGGCTTTTGATAGGTTTCGTTTTGCAAATCACTGTTAAGATCTAGATCCATCTCGTTGTGTTTGCGTTTGAGAGAACACCTTTCATTCAATGAAGCGTTGATCAAGAAGAAAGAGTTTATTGCGTTAAACATCTCTAGTTTGACACTCTCTTCACGCTCATTTGAGGTAATATTGAGAAGGTTTAAGAAGATGGAGGAACATAACTGATGCAACAAATGTGGATTATTGAGAGTGATAGTAGATATCAACTTCGCAGAAGCCTTTCTTACTTTCCAACTGAGGTCATCGTTATCGGAAAGGGGTTCATCCTCTTGATCTTCATCGTCATCTTCATCGATGTCATCATCATCATCATCAATTTCAAAGTAATTTGGGTTGTAAGAAATGAATTTCGATGACAACGCTATTAATGATTCTAAATGTTGTTGTGGGTTCAGATGCTTAATGAAGGCTTCCAAAGTCAACAAAGCGGATTCTTTGATTTCATCGTCTGAGTTATCTAGATGGTGGATAATGATGTCCAGATGATTTGTGTTGTTTAAGATATTCAAAGTATTTGTTATTAAGAGATTTGTGATGATGAATTGGCTGTTAATGTTGTTGTTAATAAATTCATTCAGCTTGTCTTGATAGTAATCATCTATCAGGAGCGAAATGATGTAAATTGACTTCTTTTTTAATGAGTATCTAGCTGACGACGATAAAATATTAAATTGAGAATCTAAAACCTCAATTGATTGGTCCCTGTTGAGAATGAAATTATGAATCAATTCGAGTAAGATGTCTAAACTTTCGATTGATAAGTCCAAAACTAAAACATTCTTTATTAGTTTATCGAGATTGATGAATTGAATGTTATCTAAGTTCTTAATAATCAACTTGATAGTAACTAAATAGATGTCATTCAAATCATCTTTCTTGTTATTCTTTAATAACTCGAACAAGTTATCAATCAAGTAGTTTAAAGATTTCAATTTTAGTTTATTTAATAATAATTCTATAGAGTTACTTGTTAACTGTTTAACTTCAAAGTTATTATCATCTAAACTTTTTAATAAACTATCGATTAATTCAATCTCTAGATCGTCATTTATAATTTGATAGTTCTTAATTAATAAGTTTAAATCATTCATTGCCATAAATCTATAGTCACTATCGACATCTTTCAGTTTATTTATTAATGATATCACTTTTTGCTGTTGAGCCATCTTGGACGTCAATCTAGAAGAGAGATGAGCGATTTAATTAATAAAAGAGAAGATATAAATAATGAATTAAATATAATATTTAGTTATTTTAAAGATAATAATATTAAGAAATCTACACCTTTACTAGATAAAGAAGGTTTCCCAAGGAATGATTTAGATATAGTGACTATAACTCAGTATAGACAAAGGTTGACTGTATTACAAAATGATTTAGAGAGAATTAATCAAGATATTTATAAATTCCTGGAGCAACAACCGAAAACAGCGGCGTCAAGTGATAGAAAGCCGATTAAACATTCAACCCCTTGGTCTATCGTGAAATCAATAAAACCATCTTCAATAGCAGACAACGCTGGTTTGTTGAAAGATGATCTGATCATCCAATTCGGTCCATTTAGTCATCTCACGTTAGATAACTTTGAAAAGTTACCAGGATTCATACAGGAGAATAGAGGCGTAAGGAAGCTTTTATAAAGAGATTCACCTATTGACATCCTCCAGAACGACGTCAGAGTTATCATTCTTAGAGATAATCAAGAAATTACCTATACTTTCAATTTAAATGGTAGTCCATTAGGGTGGGTAATTTTTTTGTTTTAACTTGATCTCCCTAACATCCCCGAGTTTACATATCGTACCTTTGTAATTATGTGCTTAATTAGTTTCATGACATCACCTTAATTAGCCTCCTATCTTTCCCACATACTCTCATGTCCGAAATGTTTAATCAATTGCCAACTCATGATGGTACGGGTACCTTCATTGGAGGTGACTTTGATAACATTACATTCACACCTTCGAGCATATCATCCAGTTTACCCTCAAACATTTCAGCTGAAATTTTAGATCTCTTTACAGATGAAGACTTAGTTAATAGACAGCCTTTATTAGTTAGTCAGAGAGTTAAAAGAGGTAGAAGATCTTCAAAACCAAATTTATGTTCAAATTGCATTGATTTTTATAGTGATTTAGATAACTCAATATACGCACAATCAGCTGGCTTAAATAAGCGACCAATTTTAGATTGCAATCATGTTGAATTACCAACATTTAGTAATTATTTTTTATGCTTTTTAGAATATTTACACATTTTACCATCAAGTAGCAATTTTGATATGCAATCAACTCAATCAAACAATGGTGTACCTTTATTCACAAGCTTTACATCAATTCCAGAAGAAATTTTCAGAGTTTAGATTAAAATTATACAACGCCTGTTGACCTAGAAGATTTTTTATACTTAAGAATCCATGGGTGATTTTGTACTTTCTCCAAACTCAAACGTTGTTCAGGTTCATGTACTAGTAATTTGCTTATCAAATCTTGTGCTTCAGGTGATACGTGTGAAGGTATACTATAATCAACTCTACTTATACGTCTATATGTTGCACTATGCCCACTCTCTTCAAATGGTGGTCCACCAACCAAAAATTCATAAGCTAAAACACCTAAACTCCATAAATCAACTGCTGCTGTATGTTCCCTTCCCTCAATCATCTCAGGTGGTAGATAATCTAATGTACCACATAATGTTGTTCTTCTATTTCCTGGCGCATGTACCGACCAACCGAAATCACCAATCTTCAATTCTCCGTTTATACCTAAGAGTAGATTTTCTGGTTTGATATCTCTATGAATGACGTGTTTACTGTGAAGATAAAGTAAAGCATCTGCCATTTGTGCTATGTATCTACTACTACGCTTATCGCTAAATCTACCTAATTTATTGAGTTGTTTGTAAAGTTCACCCTTTCCAGCAAACTCTATCATGAGGAAAATACGTTTACCATCATAAAAGAAACCATATAAACGTAAAATATTAGGATGTCTATGATATTGTTACTTTTGTTGTAATTCAAAAAGGAGATATTTACCTTAAATTAGCTTGAATTTCTATCTCTCTTCTTAATTGCTTTTCTACGCGTGCTTCTACTAATTCAGTCTTATAAAGACACTTCAATGCAACGACGAATGGTGGTTGAGTTCGCGTACGTGCCATGTAAACTCTACCAAATTTACCTTTACCTAGAGGTCTACCAACGTCAAACATATTCAAGTTCCACGCTTGTCCACGTAATTGTAAATCTAATATTCTACCTTTATCACCACCTGCTAAGTCACTCTTTCTATCCTCTTCATCGCGTTCTAAACCACCATCATATGTACCGATGAGACTATCGTTATTTGCCTTATGCGTCGTTGATTGAGTGTTCAAACTGTTAGCCATTTTGATTAAATTTGGCATCCTATTAACATCATTTGGTTTATATTTACTAGGTAACTTTTGTATGGTTTTCGGTTTATTACTATCACCTAAGGATAATCCTTGCATTTGTGAATGTAAATTCGCCATCTTGGTGGTAGTTAATTAAAGAAATCCTAGAGAAAATATCACCATGCGTGTATTTTTAAATCAAGAATTAAATATATAAGTTATACAAATGATTTTACACGTTGATTTACGCGTAAATGCTTATATTTTAATATGCATCCTATTAATTATGACGCGATTAGTAAAGTTTTGAGTTGTTCACTTATCACTTACGTCCTCATAATCAATTTTATTACCAGATTGTGAAGATACTTGGTTTTTGTACATTTCTGCAACCTATCGGAGGTGTTAATCGTAAATTATATATATATATTCTGACTTACTTGTTCAGAAGATGTTGCATCATCTGCTGCTTTATCATCTCTAACTCTAATGAAACGTGGGAAACGTAAACTAATACCGCGTTCACTTATTTCACCTGCTGCTGCTGTATACACAGGTGATAATGATAAATCTGCTGTTAGAACTTCCCAAACTGCTTGAGGTTCAAAATAAACATCTGGTTTCGCTGAACCAAGTTTGTAATATGATTTTGGTGCTGTAATCTCTAGTGGATTTAGTAGTTTGTAATGCGAGTCAAGCATTTCTTCACTAAATCCAGTACCAATTTTACATATACTTTGATATGATTCACTATCTTGATCATAACATGCTAATAAATATGCGCCATATACATTTGTACGTTTACCTTTACCATAGTATCCACCAATAACAACCAAATCCAATGAATCACCAACCCCACTTAGATAGTCTTTCTTCAATTTCAGCCAATTCATTGATCTCTTGGAAGGTGTATACCAAGCGCTTTCACCTTGATTCATTTTGACCATTAATCCTTCACAGCTATCTTTTACACTTTCTTCCAAGAATGCTTGAATCTCTTCAGTTGATTGGGCTTCCATTGACTTTGCCATTGCAAACTCATCTTCAACTGTTTCGAAATTATCACTTAACATTTCGCGACGTCGAGTTAGATCTTCATGAAGAAGTGGTTTATCATTGAAGTAAAGTAAGTCAAACGCGAAAATATGTACCTTTACTGTAATATCTTCAACTTTGACATCTTTACGTTTACGACGGGTGAGTTCTTGAAATGGTAATATTTTCTTCGTTTGTTTATCGAAAGCAACTGCTTCACTGTCAATAACGAAGTTCTTTACACCCGGTTTGATTGCCTATGGAGTTATAAGTGGATGTGAAATTAGTAAATTTCTCATACTCACCCTTGGTAACTGTTCCACCAAATCTGGATATTTCATAGACATATCTTCAGAATTACGAGAGAAAACCTTTACTTTACCATCATGATAGTGGATTTGTGCACGTTCACCGTCGTATTTATACTCGCAGGTGAAGCTACGTCCTTCAAACCTATCGAGTACTTCGGTGACTGCTTTGGTTGGTTTCGCAAGCATCGGTTTAAGCGGAATTCCTGGTGTTAAATGACATCTTTCTTGTAGGTTATCAACACCACCGTCAAGTAGAGCAGGTATAATTAAGTCATACGATGGTAACTCAGAGTAAACTTGTTTTACAATTTCAACACCCCTTTCGAGATCTTCCTTTGTAGCATCCTCATTGTTTGATAAAACAATAGCATTAGCGAGACTAACGACGACAGTCTTCTCTGCTAAACCAATGCGTAATTTACCTTCTAATAATCTAATCAGGAATTTAACTTCATTAGTGTTTGAATTGCAACTTGTGAGCATTTTCATAATTATACCTATCTTTTTGGTTTGAGACTGACTACCAGATGCTGTAGCAATCTCTTTGAGGTTTTTAAATACCGTCGGTACATTTAAGTCTTTTGATTTAAACATAGTTGGTTGATTTTTACGCGCTGATTGTGCGACAGTACCAAGATCACCAACTTTCTTTAGTTCCTCTTTCACTTTTGCTGTTGTACGTCCCGTTGATTCAACGACAGCTTTAATGAGTATACTCTCACCGATACCAAGTTCTAAACCTTCATAATCAGGGCAAAGACGATTAATAGTGAGATAAAGTGTCATCAAAAGTTCCTCCGGTTTGGTTAAAATAACTTGTTTGTAAAATTGTGTAAGGTAGTCAGTGATTTCCAAACGTTTGGTGGTTGCTTCGATCTTTGTGAATGTATCCGTTAGTTGCGCGAATGTGATGGTATCTTGATCAGTGGAAGGTAGTGATTTTTTATTCGTTGTCTTTTTATCTATTGCATTGTCATTCTTTACAGCTGACTTCTTATCGCTGACTTTATCTTCAGCAAGCGCCTTCTGTTGCTGTTTAGGAAGAAACATAGGATGTATTTTCTTCTCTGAACTAGCTGGCGGTGTTTTCTTTACGCGTTTTACAGAGTTTTCTTTCGTTGAACTCTGTTCAGCATCTGATGAAGTTGGTGATTCAATTACGCGTTTTTGAGTGGATGGCATTCTGATAAAGGGAGTTGTATGCTTAGAAATGTTAAATTATACTTCTATATAGATCTCACTCACAAATTTATTTATTGAAGTTATTAATCTCACACCCCTCGTTATCATAAATCAAGTTGTTTAAATATCAGAAATATGATTTATAAAATAAAAATCCAAACAAATAAGAAATAATTATTTTGTTGCGTTATGAGTGGTGATGTTCTTTTTGATGCATTTTCTTAACGATTTTAGAAGCCCATTCCTGCAAGTGTTTGTTAGTATGAAATATATTCTAAAATATCACTACTCACCTCCCATTCCACCGCCCATGCCGCCCATACCTGGCATGGCTGGTGCACTTGCCTTTTCTTCTGGTGCGTCTACAACAGCAGTCTCTGAGGTGAAGAGAAGTGAAGCGACACCGGAGGCATCAATTAATGCTTGCTTGGTAACCTTGACTGGATCCAAGATACCCTTGTCAAACATGTTGCAGAATTCATCTTTGCTGGCATCGTAACCCATGTTGAAATCTTGTGGGTGCTTCTCAAGTACTTGACCAACGACCAAGGCACCTTCACCACCAGCGTTTTCAACGATAGTACGCATTGGACGAGCAAGGGCGTTCTTGACCATTGAGATACCCAAGCCTTGGTCGAAGTTGGTAGCATCAACGGTAAGAGCATCACTAGCTCTGAGGAGACCTACACCACCACCTGGGATAACACCTTCAGCGACGGCAGCACGCGTGGCGTTGAGAGCGTCATCGTATCTGTCCTTCTTTTCACCGACTTCAACTTCAGAAGCACCACCGACACGGATAACGGCGACACCACCGCTCAACTTTGCGAGACGTTCTTGTAACTTTGATCTGTCGTAGTCGGAAGTGGTTGGGTCATTGATGAGAGCTCTGATTTGTTCGCAACGGTTTGCGACGAGTTCACCTTCACCTTCACCGTTGAGGATGAGAGTGTCTTCCTTAGTGATAGAGGTGCTGCCACATTGACCGAGCATGTCTACGGTAGCCTTTTCAAGCTTGACGTCGAGTTCCTCTGTGAAGACGGTACCACCAGTGAGGATAGCGAGATCACCGAGGATGCTCTTTCTGTTGTCACCGAAACCTGGTGCCTTGATAGCGCAAACTTGGAGTTGACCACGAAGCTTGTTGAGGATACAAGCGGCGAGAGCTTCACCGTCGATGTCCTCAGCGACGATGATGAGAGGACGACGAGAGGTTGCAGCAATTTCGAGTGCTGGCATGATATCTGCGAGTGCAGAGATCTTCTTCTCTGAGAGAAGGATGAATGGCTTCTCGAATTCAGCCTTTTGAGACTTTACGTCTGTGATGAAGTATGGGGAGATGAAACCGCGGTCAAATCTCATACCCTCGGTGATTTCAACCTCATCATCGATAGTCTTACCTTCTTTGACGGTGATGACACCTTCTTTGCCGACTTTTTCCATGGCGTTGGCGATCAACTGACCAACGTGTACGTCACCGTTAGCTGAGATGGTAGCGACTTGAGCGATTTCCTCTGAAGTGGTGACGACCTTCTTGTTAGCTTCGAGTACTTTGATAACTTCTTCGACTGCCTTTTGTACACCTCTACGAAGGTCCATTGGGTTGCAACCAGCGGCGACGTTCTTAACACCTTCAGCGTAGATAGCCTTTGCGAGAACGGTTGCAGTTGTAGTACCGTCACCAGCGATTTCGTTGGTCTTTGATGCGACGTCTTGTACGAGACGAGCGCCGAGGTTTTCAAACTTGTCCTTCAAAGTGATGGACTTAGCGACGGTAACACCATCCTTGGTAATCTTTGGACCGCCGAATGCTTGTTCAATGATAACGTTGCGTCCTAAGAACGGTTTTGTGAGTAAAATTATCTCTAGAGGGAAGAAGATAGAAACCTTTTGGACCGAGGGTGGATGAAACGGCTTTAGTGAGTAATTCAATACCACTGAGCATAGAAGCACGTGCATCTACACCGAATTTGATATCCTATTGGCCGTGTCAGCTGTATATAGATAGAGACTAAGATACAGACCTTGTGTGCACCTCTAGACAATACAGATGGTACTCTTTGGATGTTCTTGTGGGCTGCGCGACAGGTTCTTGGGAGCATTGTTTATGGTGGTTGCTGTATGAGATGAGATTTCAGTCTCTTGAATAGCGACAACTTCTAGAAGAAAATGACTGGAATACAAGGGACGATACAAGTGGGTGCTTTTAAATTTCAGTTTTTTATTTAACAATTATAGACGCAATTCTGGGCTGTAAGGGATTATTTGGCACCCGTCAGTATCTATCTACTAGCTGGGTTCTACTAACAGGAGTAGATACTAAGGGAATCAAAGTTCAAAGAACACGGTCGTATTACACCGGGTCTGTATAGTATATTTATTTACCAGAGCGCTAACACTTCACAGATGAGTTTGTTGCTGCTGGTGACTTTCTTACCTACAAATTCCCAACCTGGCAATGGACTGGCGGCGACGAATCCAAACGTAGAGAGTACTTACCCTCTGATAAGCAATACCTAATAACTAGGAACGTACCTTCTCTTCGCAGAGCAAAAGATATCGCGTACACCGATAGCTCAGGTGATCCTGATAATGAAGCTTTCCTGAAATTCGTTAACGATGAGCTAACAATTGGCGATGACGAAGGCGAGGATGACTGGGTACAAACACATGCAGGTAATAACCCAAGTGGCAGAGCTGAATTACCTGATATCATACCTTCAATCTCACCAGTAAACTCTCCTTCTATACACTCAGCAACTCCCAAGAAACCAGAGAACAGTCAAGATATACCTGACATCGAAGACGACGATGACTTTGGCGTTATTGACGAACCCGAAGATCCTGCAGCAGCTGAGATATCTCAAACAGGTGTTTTGAAAGTACGGACATATGATTGTATTATTACGTACGACAAGTACTACCAAACTCCTCGCTTATGGTTACAGGGGTACGATGAGGTAGGTAGCTTTTCTACCACAATCAATAAATATCAGACTAATAAACTCTAGCACCAAAATCCATTGACATACAATCAAATACTCGAAGATGTACCTTCAGATCACGCTAACAAGACAGTCACCTCAGAGCCATTCCCTCATTCAGCTTCAAACACACCGATGTTGTCTGTTCATCCATGCAAACACGCGTCTGTGATGAAGAAGATGATAGAGAGAATGGATAGCAAGACTAAACTAGAGCCTTCACCTGTGACGACAACTGGAGTGCCGCCTGCGACACCAAAGAAGAAAGGCTGGTTGAGTTCTGTAGTTGGTGGCTCTAAAAAGCAGCAGCCACAGCAGCCCCAGAATCCATTAGAATTTGAGGATGGCTTACGCGTAGATCAATACCTTGTCATGTTCCTCAAATTCATGGCGGGCATACTGACCGTTGAGATTGATGCGACGACGTCTTTCTAAATTAAGAATAATGTAATTTATACCCAATTGTTTTGTATTTTTTATTTCTACGATTACGATTTTTATGTTTTCTATTTCGCTGCGTACGTTTAACTCTTCAACGTCATCCACGATGGACCCATCTATGCCAATTGTTGTAAGTAAATTGCTTATAAAGTGAATAAATTAATAAAACAACCAACAGATCGATAACGGTACCGGTTTCGTTAAAACTGGTTACGCTGGCTCGAATTTCCCAGAGCACGTATTCCCTTCAATCCTCGGTAGACCAATCCTTAGAGCCGAAGAGAGAGTCGGTAGCGCAGAAATAAAGGATCTTATGATCGGTGATGAGGCTGAACAGTACAGAACTTATCTTCAAGTCACCTCCCCACTCGAGCACGGTGTCATCAAGAATTGGCCTGATATGAAGAAATTATGGGACTACACTATTTATGATAAGCTCCGTATTGATCCTTCAGGCAGAAAAGTTCTCCTTACCGAACCACCAATGAACCCACTTGCAAACAGAGAGAAGATGTGTCAAGTTATGTTCGAGGAGTACGGCTTTGATTATGTTTACATCGCTATTCAAGCTGTATTGACTCTTTACGCACAAGGTGAGTCAGTTTATTGAACTATACGATATTTTAACACCTATAGGTCTTCAAACAGGTGTTGTCGTGGACTCTGGTGATGGTGTCACCCATGTTGTTCCAGTTTATGAAGGTTTCGCCCTCCCTCATCTCACAAAGCGTCTTGATGTCGCAGGTCGCGATGTCACCAGATACCTTATCAAGCTCCTCCTCATGCGTGGATACGCTTTCAATAGAACGGCTGACTTCGAAACAGTCCGTGAAATTAAGGAGAAGCTTTGCTTCACTAGGTGGGCTTTTTTAAACTTTAAAATGACTCTAACCCAATCATAGTTATGATTTAGAAGCAGATAAGCAGCTCGCAGAAGACACAACCACTTTGGTAGAATCTTACACCCTCCCTGATGGTAGAATCATCAAGATAGCCAACGAGCGTTTCGAAGCGCCTGAATGTATGTTCCAGCCCCACCTCGTCGACGTTGAGCAACCAGGTATTGCTGAATTACTTTTCAACACCATTCAATCAGCCGCTGTCGATACTAGATCTGAATTATACAAACATATCGTCCTCTCAGGTGGTAGCAGTATGTATCCGGGTCTTCCATCACGTTTAGAAAAGGAGGTCAAACAGCTTTACCTCCAAAACGTTGCTGGTGGTAATCCAGAGCGTCTGAAGGTGAGTTTTTTTGAATGTTTTAGATGCGACACTCATTGACGCGTTTTAGAATCTCAAAATTCGTATTGAGGACCCACCACGGAGAAAGCATATGGTTTTCGTTGGTGCTGCTGTTCTTGGTCAAATTATGGCACAACGTACCAACGATTTCTGGGTCTCAAGGCAAGAATGGCTCGAAGAAGGCCCAAGAGTTTTGCAAAAGTTACACTAAATGCCATCCATAAGCTAGAATATTAGAATACACGACGAATTTGAATGCTCTAGAAAAGCCAAAGCGTTACTATGGATTGTAAACTTATAAAAATATACCATTTTCACTTGAGAGGCTGTGTATTATGTATGACGTTTCTTTAATAATATTAAGGGTGTCAGAAGTAGAAAAAATAGAAAATATCTAGAGCGGCATATTTCACTAAGAGTAATCGCAAATGTATTTAACTAATAAGAAATTTCGACTTCAAACATTCGTAGGAATAAACAGTACGTACGTGTACTACTTTAAGCTTCACCTGTTTTATTAGAAGAATCTAATGGACACCAACCCCTTTATGATGTTTTTAATTAGTGGTGGAGTTCCTTAGATAACTCCCAAATTCAAATTTAGTTTTAAAGTGCTATTGAACAGATTCGGTTTATGTCTGCAAGGTTTTATTATTATTAAGATAATGATTGCAATCATCACAGTACTGAAAGCAAACGCGGGTACGGCGATGAATTTTTCGTATCATATTGTAACCAAAAGATTTGCACTTAGAAAAGTATTTTTTTTTTCTTGCAGAAGAATCACTGCTAGTAGTATAAACTGATTGTTACCTGAATGAAGCTAAATTATAATTTGTCATTTCTGATAGTGTTGTTCATATACGTAACAAGCTACAACGTGACCTCTGGGAAAAGTACTACTATTATCAAGAGTCATGATCGTGGTGAAGCAGGGTTTTTTTGCTCAAGCCCTTACCAGTGCAGGAAATCCTAACGTCAGAGCTGGTGTAGTTTCAGTTGGTATAGCTACTTTCAGTGATTACCAACTCTGTGAAAAAGAAAACACAGGCGAAACAGCTACTCCATTTGCATGCCTACTTAAGTCGATAGAAGGAACACTTTTCTTAATATATGGAATGTATAGGTTGGGCGGGGATTTTCTAACCAGCTATTACGTAGGGGAATAATTCTAGCATTGATAATCTTCATGTTTGTACCAAACCTCTGGAAGATCACAAGATTAATATTACAATACCAGCTTCTGGGAAACCAAGTTTGCGTAAAGTAGATAGATGCGACTATACTATAGTGTACTTGGTTATATCCGATTGCACGCGAACTATTACGCTGTAAATTATATGATTATGAACTCACTTCTGTCTATATCAAGGTTAGCGGTTGAAATTTGCTGAGGATGTACAATTCAATGGAAAAGACGATGAATAACTCTGTACAACGACTATATAACAATTTATTGTGGTTTGTTCGATAGAGATATTTTGAGACAGTCTCCTTTTGTGTGAGATCAAGTTTAAGCACTGTCCGCTTAATTTTTCGGCATTAAGGGGATGAGTCTGATTGGAACACAAACAGCCGAGCGCAAGGAAGAGATATTTTCAGGCTGTACAGCTTGGTAGTATATCTAATTACCACTTTTCGAGTTCTTTAATTGTCATATCATGAGTTAACGAGGTTTAAAGTCCTTTATCATTACCGACGTACATTGAACAGTATCTACCTCGATCTTGATGTGTCAGAATTCGGATACAGGACTGAAGATACAGCGCCATTGAATGACTAGGGACAAAAGTAATAAGGCGATACAGCGAATACAAGAGGAATGCCAAGGTGCTGAATCATTAAGAGGAAGATGAGGAAGATGGGGACAGCGGAGAGCATATAAGGAGACATATCTTGTACACAAACCATCATCTTACATTATCATTATATAATGTATTTATACGTCACAACCAATAATCGAGCATGTTTTGTGTTTACGTTACAACGTGATTAAAGTACATGATGTAAATAACCTATGAAGCTCAGTCTTTTTTACAAAAATGTTTTGCTGAACCATCTTTTTTTTTTACCTTGTTCTGTTTTACATAACATAAACCTTACTTCTTACAAGCTGGAAATCTTCCATCAAATTGTTAGGATCGAAAGCTATGGACTCAAGTCTACCGTAGGTTACGGTTACACCCATTACCGTCTATCGTTCATTTCATTCTCATAAACGATGGCACCATACCCCCTTCGATATCGAGTAGCTCACGAGAAGATGGAACTCAGCCGACTCAAATCCCCTTCAGATCCATTTGTGCCTCAACAGAGTCGCACCGAATACGCACAAAGGTACATATACGATAAAGCTTACATAGACTCACATTTACGAATTATCAAGCTTCTTAGACGTCTTCCTAAGGATATCAATACAGATAGCTACTATATGACAGTTTACCCTGGTGAGCTCTTGGCTTTGTTTAATGGCTCTGCTACAGTTAGTCTAGTATCACACAAACCTAGCATCAGAGACGTTGAGGAATACGAAGATTGGGTATATGTTGGCCATTCTGTAGCAATGCTCCTTATCGCTCCGAAATACAAGGATGGTCTTTTTCGTAAGCTTAGAAGTCTCAACTACGCGATTGAGCTTGCTCCGTATAGATGCGCTTTCATTAAAGGAAATCAAATCACTTTGATGTCCATTCTTGTCCATTGCTTGGAGGCGATACGTTGTAATGCTGTTAGAATTCAAGCCTACGGTTTAAAAGCTCCTATTAATCTTTCAGAAGAACTTATTACTTTTCGTTCGCCACATCCACATCGACACACTAATTCATTTGATATCGGTGTCACCGAGAGACCAGATATTACCGGCCTAGCTCTCCTCAAAGGAGTAAGGCCACTGGTAGTAACGTTTCCCATCTGTGCTCCAGCTGGAAAGGGCTATGGTACCGTTCGTTTGGAAACAAAAGTTTCGCAAAAATTCATAGACCCTTTCGCACTTAAAGACCAAATGATAGAGACCAAGATGTATTCAAAAGTAGCACATGTTATCAAATCATTTGGATGCAAGTATCCTTTATTCAAGGCGAAAACTATAAATGTATTAAAAAGAGATATAATTCGGCTAAGCAAACCTTTGAAAAAATCCGCAACAAATCTGATGAAGACATTCAAGGTTACAGTCCCAATCTAGGCCACAAAAACGGGATCCTCGAAAATGAGAGAAGAGCAGATATTCACTGAATGGACGTGCAGGAATAACCTGGTAGTATTCTTGTGGCTGTAGCTGAGATATGGAAATGCTCACCTATGACCATAGGGTTAGGTTACGGTTACGGATTGGTTGGTTAGGTTTTAGGTTACAAAATACTATCAAAAGATCGTTACTAAAATGAAAATTTTCAAAATAAGACATCTTAAAATACTGCCTAAATCAACCGGAAGTTTGTCACTCTCTTCCTTACGAACGCAAAAGAAATAAGCCTTTGCAAGTAATCCCAATTTGGAGTAATTCTGCTCCACTGCTTGAAGTGCTCCGTTAGGTTACGATTACGTCTTGATTCATTGTTTGCACCAATGTTATTATTTATGATACTTAACAGTATTTTATGTGGTTCATTTTCTGGAGTAACGCGAGTTCCACATCGAACGATTGTATGATGAATTGCTATAATTTCCTTTGTTTGGTTTTGGATATTTGTGTTGGTAAGATATTGAAATATCCTTGATCTCTAAACTAAATATGAAAAGGATATAACCATTTGATGAGATATTACAAATGTAATATGGAAGATGATATAATTTGGAAAACAAATGTAGTTATGATAGTCAGTTGAGAAAGTTAATGCCTTCAATGCATTGACATACTTTATGAGAGTTTCAGTTGTGTTCATGACACCAGCATATGCGTCACTACCAAGATCGCTCGAAAAGCATCTCTTTATCCTTGACAAGACCTGTGCCAGTGAGGAGCTTAATAATACGCTTTGAACCCTCTTTATGATCACCAGGTTGGTTGCCATGTGTAGCCTTAAACATATCTTCGCTTGGCTTTGAAATGGCTTCATAATCTCCGATAGATATGCCAGCGTCAATGAAGACAGTACTGTTTGGGAATGATGTTCTGAAGTAACCAGGCTCGCTGAGCAGCATTTTTGTATCAAGATGTGCCACCTCGTTGCTGAGTGATCCAAATATGGCTTCGAGGGTTTATTTCGAAGCCTTATAGTGTGACCCGTACAGCAAAGAAACCATTGCCCCTAATGAAATAATTGCAGCGACGTCACCTGATTCCTGCTACTTAAACATTGTGGCATGTATTCGTAAGTTTCAGTATGCCGAAGTAGTTTGTGTCAAATTACTGGATGACACTGTCAAGGCCAACTTCCTCAATAATAAATCATTTGGTATAATTTGCAGGAGATAATAAAGAAATCAAATAGGATTAATAGATTTAGAATTTACTTATGTCACCACCATCACTCTAAACATCTTAGCAAATAGACTCGGTCTGTGGCAGGACAGACAAAATGACATAAATCACCTTAAGTTTAGCTTTAAACTTCTAGCACATGCACACGCCGCTTACCTAAAGTAGCATTATGTAAGGTCATGACGTAACCAATATAAAAAATCCTGTGAAAGGAATTAATTACCCTTCTGCATTAACCACGACACATAAAAATGGTATCATTATTGACCGGAGTTACAGGCAACCAAGGCTCGCAAGTCTTGGAGCATATGAAAGGACAGCCAGTTAGAGCATTTGTTAGAAACACCAAGAACAACAAGACCAAAAAGCTTCAAGAGAGGGGGATCGAGCTAGCCAGTGGTGATCTGAAAGATGAAGAGTCTATTTACACCGCTTTAGAGAATGTGGATGGTGAGTTTTTGCTCTGGATGGGTTTGGAAGGTGAATATTTTCACAGGGGAGTGGCACTTGAAGGACGCCCTTGGAAATCCCATTCAACCTTTCTCAACCTGACACCTCTCTAACACCTCAATTAGGTGCTTACCTAGTCACTCTCATGCTTGAAAAGGGTGCTCAAGACGAAGTCGAGCAAGGAAAAGCCTTTTTGGCAGCCGCAAAGAGACGCAATTTGAAGCACCTTGTCTACTCAAGCGTCGAGGGTGCTGAACGTCAGACAGGCATACCTCACTTCGACTCAAAATTTGAAGTTGAAGAGTTGATTAGAGAGAGTGGCATTCCGCACACAATCGTCCGCCCAGTCGCATTTTTCGATAACTTCCCAAAGCAGAGAGGTCTTGCCTCTTTCTTCACGTTGGGTATATTCAGGGCTGGTACTGGATACAGCAAGAAGATCCAGTTGGTCAGTTGTTATGACATCGGAAGAGTCGTTGCAGCCGCACTTAAAAACCCATCAAAGTACGCGGGCCAGGTCATTCCTCTTGCCGCAGAGGAGCTTTACGTGTCTGAAATTCAGGACAAGTACGAGAAGGCACTAGGGACTCGCCCTTGGAAGGCTTGGTTGCCTCGTTTCTTTCTCTATTTGCTCCCGTACGACATTAGGTGCATGTTCCTATGGTTTGGTCAGCGTGGCCGAGGCTACAGAGCCAATATTCCTGCTCTTAGACGTGAGTACCCTGGCTTGCTCACCTTTGACGAGTGGGTGAAGAGAGGATAATGTGCGGCTTACAGTGGTAATAAGAACTGTGATATTTGCCAGGGTGGTGAATATTGTAAGGTAAAGATTATGACTCCTTAAATGTTTTTTTTATCAGTTGTAATTTTCATTTTTATGCAATGCTACTTAATGTTGACCATAGGTTAGGTTAGGTTAGGTTAGGTTAGGTTAGGTTAGGTTAGGTTAGGTTAGGTTAGGTTAG